ATCTCTATTATGACATTCTTTCTAGCATTAATTCTCACATTCTTTCTGGCGTTCTATCTGGCATCTCTATTCTGACATTCTTTCTGGCATATATCATCATATATCCTCACTTTCTTTCTGGCATCTCTATTCTGACATTCTTTCTGGCATATATTCTCACATTATTTCTGGCATTCTGTCTGGCATCTCTATTCGGACAATCTTTCTCTGACATTCTTTCTGGCATTCATCTCTATCTGGCATCTCTATTCGGACATTCTTTCTAGCATATATTCTCACATTCTTTTCTGCCATTCTATCTGACATATGTCCTGACATTCTTCCTGGCATCTATTCAGGAATTTCATTCCACATGGAATTCCATCTGGCATCTTTTCAGGCGTTCATTTTGGCATTTTCTGACATCTATATTCTGACATTCTATCTGACATCCATTCAGGCAATTCATGCTATATGGCATTCTAAGCATCTTTTCAGGCGTTCATTTTGGCATTCTCTGACATCTATATTCTGACATTCTATCTGGCATCTATTCAGGCAATTCATGCCATATGGCATTCTATCTGGCATCTTTTTAGGCGTTCATTTTGGCATTCTCTGACATCTATATTCTCATATTCTATCTGGCATCTATTCAGGCAATTCATGCCATATGGCATTCTATCTGGCATCTTTTTAGGCGTTCATTTTGGCATTCTCTGACATCTATATTCTCATATTCTATCTGGGATTTTTCCGGCCATTCTATCTGGCATCTATTCTAAAAGTCTTTCTGCCATTCTATCTGGCATGCGTTCTCACATACTATCTTGAATATATTCTGACTTCTGTCCTTCTGTCTGGCCTTCTGTCTGGCATTCTATCTGGCATCTCTATTCTGACATTCTTTCTAGCATTTATTCTCACATTCTTTCTGGCGTTCTATCTGGCATCTCTATTCTGACATTCTTTCTGGCATATATCCTCACTTTCTTTCTGGCATTCTATCTGGCATCTCTATTCTGACATTTTTTCCGGCATATATTCTCACATTATTTCTGACATTTTATCTGGCATCTCTATTCTGACATTCTTTCTAGCATATATGCTCACATTCTTTCTGGCATTCAATTCTATCTGGCATCTCTATTCTGACATTCTTTCTAGCATATATTCTCACATTCTTTCTGGCATTCTATCGGGTATCTCTATTCTGACATGTTTTCTTGCATATATTCTCACATTCTTTTTGGCATTCTATCTGGCATCTCTATTATGACATTCTTTCTAGCATATATTCTCACATTCTTTCTGGCATACTATCTGGCATCTCTATTCTGGCATTCTTTCTGGCATATACTGTATCTGGCATCGCTGTTCTGGCATTCTTTCTGTTCTATCTCGCATCTATTCTGACATTATTTCTGACATTCTTTTTGGCATTCTCGCTGACATGTGCTCTGACATTCTATCTGGCAATTTTTCCGCCATTCTATCTGGCATCTAATTATTCTGGCATTCTTTCTGGCATGTGTTCTGGCATACTTTCTGGCATATCTTCAAACTTCTGACATTCTTTCTGGCATTCTATCTGGCATCTCTATTCGGACATTCTTTACGGCAAATACTCTGACATTCTTTCTGGCATTCTATCTGGCATCTCTATTCGGACATTCTTTCTGGCAAATACTCTGACATTCTGTCTGGCATTCTATCTGGCATCTCTATTCTGACATTCTTTCTAGCATTAATTCTCACATTCTTTCTGGCGTTCTATCTGGCATCTCTATTCTGACATTCTTTCTGGCATATATCATCATATATCCTCACTTTCTTTCTGGCATCTCTATTCTGACATTCTTTCTGGCATATATTCTCACATTATTTCTGGCATTCTATCTGGCATCTCTATTCGGACAATCTTTCTCTGACATTCTTTCTGGCATTCATCTCTATCTGGCATCTCTATTCGGACATTCTTTCTAGCATATATTCTCACATTCTTTTCTGCCATTCTATCTGACATATGTCCTGACATTCTTCCTGGCATCTATTCAGGAATTTCATTCCACATGGAATTCCATCTGGCATCTTTTCAGGCGTTCATTTTGGCATTTTCTGACATCTATATTCTGACATTCTATCTGGCATCCATTCCGGCAATTCATGCTATATGGCATTCTAAGCATCTTTTCAGGCGTTCATTTTGGCATTCTCTGACATCTATATTCTGACATTCTATCTGGCATATATTCAGGCAATTCATGCCATATGGCATTCTATCTGGCATCTTTTCAGGCGTTCATTTTGGCATTCTCTGACATCTATATTCTGACATTCTATCTGGCATCTATTCAGGCAATTCATTTCATATGGCATTCTATCTGGCATCTTTTTAGGCGTTCATTTTGGCATTCTCTGACATCTATATTCTCATATTCTATCTGGGATTTTTCCGGCCATTCTATCTGGCATCTATTCTAAAAGTCTTTCTGCCATTCTATCTGGCATGCGTTCTCACATACTATCTTGAATATATTCTGACTTCTGTCCTTCTGTCTGGCCTTCTGTCTGGCATTCTATCTGGCATCTCTATTCTGACATTCTTTCTAGCATTTATTCTCACATTCTTTCTGGCGTTCTATCTGGCATCTCTATTCTGACATTCTTTCTGGCATATATCCTCACTTTCTTTCTGGCATTCTATCTGGCATCTCTATTCTGACATTTTTTCCGGCATATATTATCACATTATTTCTGACATTTTATCTGGCATCTCTATTCTGACATTCTTTCTAGCATATATGCTCACATTCTTTCTGGCATTCAATTCTATCTGGCATCTCTATTCTGACATTCTTTCTAGCATATATTCTCACATTCTTTCTGGCGTTCTATCGGGTATCTCTATTCTGACATGTTTTCTTGCATATATTCTCACATTCTTTTTGGCATTCTATCTGGCATCTCTATTATGACATTCTTTCTAGCATATATTCTCACATTCTTTCTGGCATACTATCTGGCATCTCTATTCTGGCATTCTTTCTGGCATATACTCTATCTGGCATCTCTGTTCTGGCATTCTTTCTGTTCTATCTCGCATCTATTCTGACATTATTTCTGACATTCTTTGTGGCATTCTCGCTGACATGTGCTCTGACATTCTATCTGGAATTTTTCCGCCATTCTATCTGGCATCTAATTATTCTGGCATTCTTTCTGGCATGTGTTCTGGCATACTTTCTGGCATATTTTCAAACTTCTGACATTCTTTCTGGCATTCTATCTGGCATCTCTATTCCAACATTCTTTCTGGCATATTAATTCTCTCATTCTATCTGACATGGGGGTTGTCCAAAATACCTTTTCCCGGACAGCCCTCAATCGCTCAGCCAATCGCGTAGCAACCGCGGTACCACAGTGAGCAATCGCGGAAGGGTTTGTTCTTCGTTGATCAGATCATATACATAAAATATAAGTTATGTATTATATAATGAGGATCCATGCGTGAACGCATTCGATTTCAAATTTGGAAACAAAATAAGCTCGCGCGGTCCCGAAACGGTCCGGAAAACTCACAGTAGTACCAGCAGCAGTAGTACTAGTAGTACTAGTAGTACTAGTAGTACTAGTAGTACTAGTAGTACTAGTAGTACTAGTAGTACTAGTAGTACTAGTCGTACTAGTCGTAGTAGTAGTAGTAGTAGTTAGTAGTAGTAGTAGTACTAGTAGTAGTAGTAGTAGTAGTAGTAGTAGTTGTAGTAGTAGTAGAAGTAGTAGTAGTAGTAGTCGTACTCGTACTCGTAGTAGTAGTAGTAGTAGTAGTAGTAGTAGTAGTAGTAGTAGTCGTAGTAGTCGTTAGTAGTCGTAGTAGTCGTAGTAGTCGTAGTAGTCGTAGTAGTCGTAGTAGTCGTAGTAGTCGTAGTAGTCGTAGTAGTCGTAGTAGTCGTAGTAGTAGTAGTAGTACTATCAGTACTAGTAGTAAAAGTAGTACGAGTAGTACGAGTAGTACGAGTAGTACGAGTAGTACGAGTAGTACGAGTAGTAGTAGTAGTAGTAGTAGTAGTAGTAGTAGTAGTAGTAGTAGTAGTACTAGCAGTACTAGTAGTAAAAGTAGTACGAGTAGTACGAGTAGTACGAGTAGTAGTAGTAGTAGTAGTAGTAGTAGTAGTCGTAGTCGTCGTAGTAGTCGTAGTAGTCGTAGTAGTCGTAGTAGTCGTAGTAGTCGTAGTAGTAGTAGTAGTAATAGTAGTAGTAGTAGTAGTAGTACTATCAGTACTAGTAGTAAAAGTAGTACGAGTAGTACGAGTAGTACGAGTAGTACGAGTAGTACGAGTAGTAGTAGTAGTAGTAGTAGTAGTAGTAGCAGTAGTAGTAGTAGTACTAGTACTAGTACTAGTAGTAGTACTAGTAGTAGTAGTACTAGTAGTAGTAGTAGTAGTAGTAGTAGTACTAGTAGTAGTAGTAGTAGTAGTAATAGGGTGGTAGCCGTATAACCAATCGCCAACCAATCGCTCAGCCTATCGCGATGCAGGTTTTAGCAATCGCGCAAAGCAAAGTAAACGCATCAATTCATAAATTTGTGACCTGCTTTTACGGACGGCTCCCACATATATTCTGACATTCTGTCTGGCGTTCTGTCTGGCACCCCGCCTTGTGTTCGGGTCCAGGCGTGCCCAGCTGCATCCGGAGCTCGCGATATCGCTTGGGTACATTGGTGCCCTCATTCACGACGAGCTGGCAGAGGAGGCGAAGGAGAAGGAGGTGAAGAAGAAAAAGAAGAAGGAGTTGCACCGTTGTTAAAATAATCTACAGTAAAATCTAGAGACCCTCACCTGGCAGGTGGGGAATTGAGTCAATGGAAAAAAACGTCAGTACTTGCTAGACTATCATGATCATTTCCGCATAGATGGAAAATCAAGGCACCAACATCAGCCAGTCAAATATTAGCGAAAGAAATTGGCTGGTCTGTCTACCCCTCTTTCTCCATGACATTCTTGGCCACCGACGACTTTTTTTCATTGCTCCTCGAAGGCCAAGGCTGGGCCATCTGTTCGAATCCAGACGGCTGTGCCCGGTGCCCTGATGTACTCTGAGTAGAACGTCTTGCATCCGGGCCTTGGAGGTCGGGCTCCACTTGGCGATGAAGGCAACCCTGATGGAAAAGTAATGAATAGTAATGTTGTTTCCAGGAGATGATGTTTTCCCCATCATTTCATATCGATTTAAAGGTTTAAATTCATATTTGGTTTATCTATTTGGGGCTTACTAATCATGGTTTTCCATGGCTTCAAAGGTGTGCTCTTTTAGTGTACGCCTCCAACTGAGTCACTGGCCGTGGCCATTTCTTGTGTTCACCTTGGTTTTCACTGAGCTGACCGCGGATACCCTGCAGAACAGTTGCTGCTATGATAGTTGGTTAAGATTTCGCCCTCCATAAACGTGGTTGTTGGTGGTTAACATTTGCCCTCAAGAGCCCCAAACATTACTGGGGCCTATATTGGAGGTCGATTTTGTTCATGATTTTCACTGGTTCTGATGTGTTCCTGGATCAACATCTATCCTTTCACAAGGTTTGCCCAGTTTCAGCGGGTCCAGTTTGAGCACCTTTTGAAACAGTTTCTAGAAAGGTATGGGTCAAGAATTGTGCACAGGATGGGATGGTATACTATTGAAATGACAAGAACCACTACCCTTTCTACCCTTTCACCAGAAGCAGCTGCTCGGAGAGCGGAGTCAGCTGCTCGCCCCCTAAACGAATCTAATCTACGAACCCTGGTTGAACAGCAGCCATGTCCCGTTGGATTTGCCGAACGGGCATATTACTAACCCCACCTTTGTAGTGGGTATCGACATCAGTGAGTCTATGACAAGAAACACTGGTCCCTAGGACAAAATATTTTACCCAAAACGTGAACTGAACGCAGCCTGTGGGTCCATGAGTTGTGAATTTCGGCCAACAACCAATTGGACCTTTACCAGTGGAACCACCTGGAATCATCGTCAAAAATCACCAATTCTGAATGATTTGGAGGTTCCAATTTCCCAACCCGGTGTGTCACCTCCAAGAAACCCTGGTTTAGTAGGGGATGAAACCACATGTTTGGGACCATTAATCTTGGGTGGGGGTGTTTAAGGACTGAATGTGGGGGATACGATTGGTAGTATATGATTATAGTATATGTTTTTTTTGCTGGTCTGTGTAGTACTATAATTAACCATTATAGTTCTATGCCAAGTCGAAAACACCGAGGCTGGGCCCTGGGTGGCCCTTGCGGCATTTTGTGACAAAGTCCTTCTGCAACTCGGCCAAAAGTTTTTTGGCCTCTTCTTGTCCTTCCTGGGGCGACAAAAAAGTCTCAAGTGTCAGAATGTGGATATCAGCTACTGTATATGTATAATGATATATTTTTTAGGACGTTTTGAAGGTCATATGATACCTCCCAGAATGAAACTGGATCAATCTGTCTCCCTATGCCTCATTGGTGATTTCTCTGGTCTCTCGGGGTGTCTGACATTGAGTGGATGGGACTAGGATAACCAGTAGTCAAACATGATAGCCATCCACAGGAGGGATTCAAGCGACGATGGAGACAGGAAATTCAACACCACCAACCTATGGTACTGGTAGGACCTGTCCAGTTATGTATGCTGGTTTAGTATCACCAATCTGTATAACAATATTATATTATATAGTATATATCATATATATATATATTATTATAAATTATATATACTGTAGAATCTGTATCTATATATATATATATACGCGTTGATATATCCATGAAATAAACCCAAGCTAACCATAGTCAATCATAGTTAACCTAGTTGTAAATGGCATTAAATGGCCACGTGTTTTTCAAATTCGGGCCTTAAAGTTCTCCGGTGGGCAGCTGATACAGAGTCTCAAAGGAATCGGTGCCTGGCGACCCAGCGAGCCCCACAGTACCATTTTGCACAGGGATTCAACCATATTTAACCAAGAAAAGCAGCTTTACCTGCTGTAGCCAAAATGATGTTCTTTAATCCAACAAAAGTGGATTTGAGTACATAACATTATATTACAACAAAAGGATACTGTACAAAGTATAAACATCAAACAGCAGGTTCAAGCAACAAACATGCGGATTTGACCAACAAAAAACTGATTGGTGGTCTTCACCCATCCCAAAAAAAAGGGTCATCTCAACCAATCATCCCAAGGTTGAACAACAATTAATATGTGAAACCACCAATCAGAGAATTTTTATAAACCAGCTCAGTGCAGCACCAACACGGAGGATCTCGCCAACAGCAGGGATGGCACCAGCAATGACTCAAAATGAAGGCACGTAATTCATGGTAATCCCGCAACGTCCATGGCCTTTTCTTCTTTGATTTATCGATTTGTTCGGCTTATCCAATGTAGCCGGTCAATATTCTTGAGGTAGCAATACAGAGTTTGATGACTGCAAAGACATAACTAGACACCCAAGCATCCAATTTGAGGAAAAATAATCATCGTCCTTGTCGCTAAATGAACGAACAATGAACGATTATATAAACATCCTCAACCAGTCTTCAAAAGTTTATGGCCTCCACAAAAAAAAATACAACATAAAAGGCACCCATTAGGATGATCATAGATGATCACATAACTGAGAAACATATACTGGGTGATAGCATGTGTGGGTGGTTTTTTCAGGATGGTATACAGTCTGTGGTCATCCGCCCCATGCCATGGGAATCCGAATCCACAGCACTTGCGATATTCCTATCAGGTGGTACCCCATAGTAAGTTGGATTATAATTCCATTAACTGGCGGTTATGACACATATTGGGTATGGGTCAATACCTATAGATACATTTTTAGTGGGATGAACATCCATTTACCAGCTATTTTGGTGTTCACTAGGTCCACTAGGTACCAGGGTTTTGACCCATCCCCATATGTCTATATTTAGATGGTTTGTAAACCAACTTTTATTTTTTTGGGATGCGGGGCACCAGCGTGTGAATGATGACCATCCCCTTTTTTGGCCGGGCCTCACGATCTTTGTGTTCAAAATACCTGCTTCCCATTCCTCGAAACCGCACCTGCCACGGACTCACCAAATCACTTTTACTCTGCAAATGTTCCTCGGACTGCTTTGGGATCATGGAGCACAAATCGTTCCCGCCGGTTTTCCATGTGCCTTGCCGTTGCATTGTTCGGCGATCCCCTTGGTCTTTTTGCCTCCGCCTTGCTCGGATGATCCAACTCAAGTGATTGGATGCATGCTAAGTATGTGTATATATATAAATGAAATAGGTATGTAGGTATGTGTGAAAACAACACATATCATATACGTATCGTGAACATACGTGTGTATATATATATACAATTATATATACTATATACATATATATATATATATATGTATAGTATACATACACATTTATATACATGGGCATCGATACACACATATGTACATATATATATATATACATATCTATATCATGTATAAACATCACAACCTGTATGTATATAGTGCTTTCTGCAATATATATATACACATCATATCTACATATGAGTGTATATACAGTATATAAGTATGCATATATGATTTTTGTGTCATTCTATACCATGTGTATATATCATGACATGTGTATATATATATATACACGGCCAGGACGGATGTGCTGCCCGGGGAAGTGCGTTTTGACTGCGCAAGGCCAGTCTTCTATGCATTTTGGGATGTCGGCCAACTTGCAACTTGGCTGACGAGATTTGTTTCCAAAGCACAAAACCCTAAACCCAAACCCTAAATCCTCAACCCTAAATCTAACATGAAACCCTACGTACGCCTTGAAAGAAAACCGTGGAAAAAATAAAACCGTGGAAAAACCGTGGAAAAACCTTGAAAAACTTATTAAAAGCCTAAAGAGTTGGTCACATGATAAACCTTCGGGCGGCACACCTGGCCTGGGGGTATTTACATTATATATATATATATAGTGCATCATGCATTGTATATAGTAGGTAGGTATGTATGTATGCATGCATTTACGTATGTATGTATATAATATAATATAATATAATATAATATAATATAATATAATATAATATTATATATATGTATATATATATATGCGGATATACTGTGTATGTATATATATATATAGTATGAATATAGATGAATACTGTATATATATATATATTACACACGTATCCATCCATTAACATCTATTGTATATGCACCCCAGCGAAAGTGGGACATCGAGTGCTTGAAAAAACTTCAGTGATTATAATTCTCTTTCACAAAGGATGGAGCTGTAGAAAAGGTTACCAGCAAATGAGATCTGCGTGTGTATATATACACATTTAGTATAACCTGCGGTAATCAAACATGGCAATGCAGAGTCCCTCCATTTATTATTTGTAAACAACCAGAAATAAATGATGCTTTCGAAACAACCATTTGTTATTTCTGGCTCTTTGGCCTTCCAGGTATACATGTGCATATATGTATTATACCGGCAAAAAAATAGAAAAAGTAGGAAACTTACTTTTTTTCTAGCCATAAGACCTTTGGTATGATAGTATGATATGAAACTTTTCTATCTTAGTAGGATATTACAACCTGACCCCCAAACAAACTAGTACCAAATGTGCGATATGGCTATGAGTCTATGAGTCAAAACGCTGGCACACTACAGTAGGTACCCTAAGTTATAGCGGGTGAATGGAAGGCTCTTCCCCAAAATCTTTTGACCCCATCTCCATATTTATGCAATTATAAAAATCGGATTCTACCTACTATAACTAAGCTTATATATCATGAAATCATCCCATTTATAATAGTTATAGTAGTTATAATATGTTATAGTAGTTATATAAGATAGCTTAGCTATAGTAGTTGTAATATGTTATAATCCCATTCATAATTCATATAACTGTTAGTTGGGCCATTAACTCTTAATTAACTGTGTCAAAGAAAAGCACTGCTGCACAGCGACGATCAATGCCCTTCGGGACCAGCTCAAATTCCTGGTGACAACCATCAACACGGCAATTCATGGGGATATGGAAATGAACAAATCATGGGAATTTTTGAGATCATAGAAGTGAAACTGATGTATATATATATATATATGTATGGATATTAGGTGTAACCTCTGAATTAGTTGATTCGAGGGTAGCGTTTAAGGGGATGGTGAAACCATCTTACCCATGTCTGAAAATTCATTGTAGCAGCCCCCAAAAAGATAGAGAAATAAAATCCCACTAAAATAGTGATGATTTGTTTTGCATCTTTTTTGGGGTTACTATAGGGAGTGTTGATTATTTTGTTTACCCTAAGAAAAAGTTACAACGTCCTGTACAGTAGTTGGGCTGCAATTGGCATGTAGACATTTAACCCCAGGGTATCCGTGAATTGATGGGAGGACTTAAATCATCCTAAAGCAAACCTCCAGATAATAGCCTCTGCTAAACTAACATAACTATGGAAAATCACCATTTTAATGGGAAAATTCACTATAAATGGTCATTTTCAATAGCTATGTTAAATTACCAGAGGGTAGAACATGCTTGCAAAGCACCACAGATTCAGGCACAAAAGAGCCAGGACCCTTTAGACTGCCGTTAAAGATTCTCCGATCAAATATGATCAAACTACCAACCGCACAGAACGTGTCTGTCTGACCTTGCGAGAAATGTGTGTGTGTGTGGGCTGACATGTCCCGTTCAGGTTGAAGCATCTTTGACGATCGCAGGGTCGGGTTGCAAAGGATTCATCAATATGTTTGCCCAACATGTTAGCACTTGCACTTGTCATGGCTAACTTTCAATACTAAGCACACATTATTTTATTTGAGACGATATGTAGTAACTGTAGTACACTGTGGTAAACCCAATCATAAACCATCCCCATCCCAATATTGCCACAAATGGTTCGCAAACACTACCATCAAATGGTAGGTTTACTATTGGGTTGACCACATAATTACGTATGTCCCAGTATCCAACCAAAAGTAGCTCATTATCCACCGTCAAGAGCTGCCCGTTCGTCAGTCAGTAACCCACAAACTACTTCTTCTGGAAGAATTCACCATATATTCACCATTATTTACGCTTGGTTTATACACAAATTTGACCTCACCCAAACCAAGATTTCCAGTTGGTCAAAGCCTTATGTTCTGTCAAAGCTTTAAGTTAATTAATCGTCCTGATTTCCTGAACGGGTTTTAATTGCCCTCATGTTAGTTGGCTATACTTAACAAGATAGACAAATGCAGAAATATACATATACCGGGGTATACCGTATTATATGCCCCAAATCAACCGTTTATATATTAATCTAAACATTCCCCAGGAACAAAAAAAATGAATATGTGTGGAACATACTTTTTTCAAGACAGGCCCAGCTTACTGTGCTCTCATGTCTCGCAAAGTTCAACCAACATTCAACCCAATGAATATCACATTGGACAATCTTAACCCATGACGTCATAAAAGTTCCCAACATATTTTCTGGATAAACCACATTTTTTTCTGCCCTTGGGGCCTTGGGGGCAGTCCTCAAAAGCCAACTTGTCATCCCTAAATATACGTAAACACACTGCTTGGTGAAGTTCGGGATTCCCAGTTCATGGGTCCTCTTTGTAAAATTCCAGATGAACGAAGTAAGTCAATGACCCCCTATAATGATCAACCAACAATTTTCATGGTTATCATTGGGGTTTAACCATCAAAATATATCAAAATACCATCATAATAACCATCAATTTTCAAATATAATCTCCGTATTTTGATGGTCAAACCCTGTTAAACCCCAATGATTGATGGTTAAATCCAATTGACCTCTCATGAAACTATCATATTAAGTTGAGTCTCCCATGCTATCCGCATCAAATGTCCAAATATCACCATAATTCAATAGAGTGAATGGATGTGAATGGCTAAAATATAACCCCCACTTTCAGGATCTTTCAAGGTCCTGTTATCCAGCCACAACAGGGCACCTCCAGTAAGTAGTGGTCAGGCTGGAAGACATATTCGACCACGGAATTCTTAGGCCCTGAATCCTCAGTCGGAGCATGGCCACATCCCGCCATGGGATTCCCCCGTGGGATGACCGTGGCGCCTGGTGGTGCTGGCTGTGCCCATCTTGAAAAATCAGAAGGACGACTCGTCGTTATGGGGTTGGGATGACATCCCAGATATGATTTCTGGAACATGAAAAAATCATGTTTGAAACTTGAAACCACCAAACAGTAACGCATTGTAAATCCCTACTGCTACTAGTGGCTTGACCCTTCATGAGTAAATCCATGGAGCCACCATGGCGTATCGAGAATGCATGGGAAATGACTATAAATGACTGGTTGGTGGTTTCAACCCCGCTGAAAAATATTAGTCAGTTATTGGGATGATGACATTCCCAATATATGGAAAAATAAAAGCCATGTTCCAAACCACCAACCAGATGAGTATTTAAGTACCACTTATGCGGAGGAAAAGAGTGGTTTGATCAGCATGTCTTTTTAATCGATCGAACTATCACAAAAGTGAACGGCCCATCAAAAACGGCGGTTTACCCGTTCAACCATCAACTGGAACGCAACCACCGCAAGAAATCCCAACGCTCTATTATCTATTAATATCTATGTCATGGTGGATTTAAAGCCAACAAATAATAATAATATCATGAGTAAACACTTCTTCGCAAGAAATCAACGTAAGCATACGTATTCGGACGTATTCGGAAAGGACCGTTTTGGCGTGACTAAGACGAACCCATCCCAAATGCAAAAAAAACTGGAGATTGCATGTGGGACATCCATTGATTTTGACATACAAGGTGCCCCATACTTAGCTAAGTCGGTTTATATACCTATAGGTTAAACGGTTAAACTATGGATTATGGGATATGTATATATAACTACATATATTATATGTATATATATATATAATCTACGTATATATATATATATATATATATTTATAACTATATACATTATATATGTATATATATATATATATATCGAACTAGATAATGGGGTTGATAAGTCCACGTCTGTAACTCGGGGAGCACCACCTTGTATTGAGGTAATGTTCCGGCTGAGAGAGCCCCCATGAAAAGTCTTGGAAACCATCATCCCATGTTCCGGGGTGGAAAACAACATTTGAAAGTTCCAAGAAAGACCATATACATTATCATACATTTTATATATATACATAGTGGATTTGTCCCAATCAGGACAAGAACGTGGGATCTATCTTTGCGTCTATTGGATGTTGCAACCCAATCAGTGGCTCCTTTAATCTGGATGCTTAAAAAAATAGGAGATCCTCACAAAATCGGATGAAACAACCAACTTCCCACAAAATCTCCGATGCTTTTGGACCAAGCCATACTTTGATTGGCCCAAAACTAGGGTACCATGTTGAACCATCTATCCATGTTGAACCACCCAAAACTGCTGGGTGACCGGGTGATGGAGAAAACCCCTTCCCAGCTCGACAAGTGACATGGCCCCTCTTCTTTGCGCCTAGGTTTGATCTTCTGAGCCCATCCATACTGTGGATGGTTGCGAAATCCTGCACCAGTTGATAAGTATGCAATTATTTATAGGGCTGAAAAACCATCAAATATTGGTGATGCAGGATTTCTTCCACCATATATTGTGTTGTATCTTAGTAGGGCATGAATATGATACTTCAAGCCCCCACACACATGACACATATGTATATCAGTTAATGTGGTAAAGCTAATAAACCATCCCACCCACCATGGGGATCAAAACGTTCACCATCCAAATTGGGCACCCAAGAATTTAAGTGCCCTGTTGGGGATGGTTTACTATTGGGCCACATTAGTAGTACGTATAATATATATATATATATCCACATAAATATCCATATAAGATTACATAAGTATAAGAGTATCAGTATAACAGTATAACATAGCATAACTGAACCCATTCAGGTCTATGGCATTGAGTTTACCACACTAAACATCGTTTACAGCAACTGTGAAAAGAGCACATCGGATCTATCTTTCGAATGGTCTTTTGGGCAGCTGAGTCTCGTGGAAAAAAAATCTGTCTGCCAGCGTTTCCAGAAGGATTTCTACTGTTATATATCTTGCGATTGTTCGGCTGGTTTTCCTCTAGCTTGCTCAAGAATAGGGATATTAAATCCTAACACTCACGGTGGTTGATTCACCAACAATTCACATCGCTGTTCGCTAGCTCTCTGGACTGGATCCAAGCTGCGTTTGTTCTTCCATTGCTTTGGGGGCTCCTAGCAGGCCATGGCAGCAGGGATTTCCAGTGCGACTGCATCATCCATTGGGGGTTTCCAGCTGGGACACATCCTGTTCCGCCATCACAATGCTATGGGGATGAGACAATGGGTAAAATTAGGCATCAGATGTATTATGTAAAATAGGTAGCCATTGGTAACAAGAAAATATGAATCATAATATATCACAATCGCATAGAATCGCGGCATGTATATCACAATCCAACCGGGTTGGATCCCCCAGCAGAAAAACATCACCAAATTTCACCAGTCAGATCCGACTTCTGCCACCTTCTGCCGCTAACAACCGTCCCCACCGGTCGGGAAAGATCCCGTTGCGCGCCCGGGGTGTGTCGGTGCTTTCGGTCCGCGGACTCGCTTGGGCTTTGCCTCACGATGCCCACAACTGTTCTGGTTGGTGGTTGACCTACCCCTCTGAAAAATGATGGAGTGAGTAACAGTTGGGATGACATTCCCAATATATGGAAAAAATAACAAATGTTCCAAACCACCAACCAGTGTTTCATTCAAAGAAGATAAAAGAAGTTGAGGTTTCCTAAGTCTAGATTGACTGAGATCTAGGACGTGACATGCTTCATGTTGAGTACGCAAGGTGGCTTTAATCTGAGTAGCCCCACTCTCAAGACATGGCTAACCTTGGGTGCCCTCAATTCTTAGCTGGTTGGTCGAGCTTTTCCCGTTTTCTGATCCAAAAAGATCCAAAAAGCCAGCCCATTCAACTACCGGATGGAGGCATGATGGACTCAGCAATCCCAGTCATGTCCCAGTTGATGTCCCAGTCATGAATTGTTCTCGCAACTTCAACTCATACCAAGTGACATCAAGTGACATCAAGTGACTAAACGACTTGACCCAATCTGTTCCGTGGGGGGTTCGTTCAATTCTCGACCACAGTTGGGCGTTCAATGCTGAAAATCTCCGCCATTTTGAAAGGTAGCTTTGTCTGAAAATTGGGTTTCCTAAAATGGGGGTGTCCCAAAACCATGGGTTTCAATACGGTCTAATGACTTGGACGATTTGGGGTATCCCTATTCTAGGAACCCCCATGTAAATATATACATTGACATATCTATCTATCAAATCTCATCACAAACCGCATGGTATCCTCGCATTTCTTACTTCAAAATCGCAAAAAAATCGTCAGGCCGCCATCTCCGCCTTTGAGCAGGTCATCACTCAACACTTTCGTCGCAGTCTTGATCATCTCCTGCGAGTTTCGCTTGGGAAAATCATTGGGACATCATCAAACATAAAAAACCTAAAACGCCTATGTAAAACATTGTGGTTTTAGATGGTGATACACTAGGATAAACTGATATAAATTGGGATTATACAAATGATATAACCAATAATAGGATGATTATGGATACTTGGGATCTAAAATCAACCACAATGAGGATATAATGGATATTGATGTGGATACCTTCTTGCAATCAAACATGGAAAGGGCCGCTGGGAAATCCCCCAACTGTTCGAGGCTTCGTTCGCTGGGAACATCAAACCAGTGCCGGGGGATTGTTGGGGGATTGTCCAGCAAGCCACAATTGAATACCGGAGGGTAAACTTCATCGGGGTGCAGTTCATAAGTGTACGACCTATGTCTGTATAGTATTCTGTAGTTGGATGGCTGAGACTATTTTATAAAGCAAACCAACTGACATGTTTTCTGGAGAACCTAGCCCGTCAACATGCCGAAACGAAGTTAGAAAATAAAAAGGGATTTTGGCAATATAAACATTGTCATTGCGAACATCACTTTTGACTTTTGCTACGGGTCCGTTTTGGCATGCCGACGGTACAATATGATATTCTTCTAATGGTCAAAACCCTGCACCCCTTTTGTTCACTCCAAGAATAGCTGGTAAATGGATGTTCATCCCGCCAAATCTGGTATTTCAAATGGTATTTCATCCATCCCAATATGGGTGTGTCTGAAAATCTGGGGGCACACCCCCAAATTCCAACGGATTATCATTTAAGAAATCACTGTTAGAATGGATATATATGTGTGGATATCCTCCATTTTCATCCATCCCCATATATTTTTACTAGATCCATCCCGCATTTTGGTCGTTTCGCTCCTCCGTCTTCTCCGAGCTCAACTTCAAGCTGGTCTCTACGGCGGTTTCACCTTTTCAGCAGCTGCAGATTAAAAACTGGCAGTTTCATGGCGAAAAGAACTGCTGATTCACAAGAAAACATGAAGATGTTGTTATCAACAAAATAGTGATTTTTACATCAAAGATGGCGATTTAATATTTAACCATCCCAAAATGGTGATTGACTGGCCCGAAATGAGGATTTTAGCATCCAACATGATGGTATCATGGTGGATATCATGGGTTAGGTGTTATCCCCAGGGACGATTTCAAGGCGTTTTTCCACGAGGATTTCCATGGATTTCTATTCACCAAAATGAGATGATTTTCTAGACATTTTTTTTTACAGCTATAGATATCACCCAAAATGGATGAGCCTTTTGGGATGCTTCTCCAAGGTTGAAAGGGGATGGAAAGACTGGAATCTGCGTATGCTGCATGCTTCATTATGTACCTCGGCACATTTGAGACATCACAATACAACATGGAGGTTTCCTGAAATAGGGCTACCCCCAAATCATCCATTTTAATGAGGATTTTCCCGTATAAATATTCTATTTTGGGGTACAGTACCCCCATTTATGGAACCCCCTACATATCTGGTCATACTGTCGATGTCCACCTTGCACTTCTCACAGAGAGAACGGATCCCATTCTGGATGGCTACCACTGCAGGCAATGTCAAATCTTGGTAACTGGGCGAATCCCGTATGTGATTTTCATGTCAACATATATATATATAATGTAGGCTGCCTAATAGTAAACCCCCCCTAAATAAAATATTTTTTTAAAAAAAAAGGGGGGTCAGCATTCCAATAGTAATTTTTTGGAACCTTATAGCTGGGATCATGATATTCTCCATGGTTTTGTTGGGTTTCTGATAGATTCTGAATGGATTTGGTTGAGTTTCTGAGAGATTGGCGAAGAGTTGGGAAAGGAGAAGGAGGAGGAGAAGGAGAAGGAGAAGGAGAAGGAGGGCAACAAAATTGGAGTTGCGGAAAAAAGTTTCCACTATTGCCATGCCTGGTGCAGGTTTGTTATTGCTATTCTGGGGCTTGCAAAGGGGGTACCCTTTGTGGACCTGTTTTCTTGCTTTTTTTAATAAGGGTTTTATAAGGAAATCAGCTGTTTGGTAATTGGATCAGATTTCTGGAATCTAAGCGTTTGCTAATCAAAAGTGAAGGCTGCTTTGAAAAGGATTTGCTTTACTTGACTCTTTTGGCAATACTAAAAGTAAATGGAGCTAATTGACTTTTAGTATTATTGGAAAAAAAATTGGAGTTGGGAAAACAGTTTCCACTATTGCCATGTTGGGTCCACTATTGGCCATGCCCTCTGGACAAGGTCTGAACATGACTCTTTTGGCAATACTAAAAGTAAATGGAGCAAATTGACTTTTAGTATTGGAGAAAAATTGGAGTTGCGGAAAAATGTTTCTACTATTGACAAGATATCACTATTTGCTAGACAACATTATATATATCAGCCTATCCAGCTACCAAAGCCATTAAATAATCAATAGTCATTTCATTAACCTAATTTGGAGGTACCCACCATATAAAAGGCCTATGTGTTTGCGAAATTTAAGGGAGGAACATCCCAAAAAAATATGGCCAAAAATATGCTTATGTTACAGTAGCTCCATCTTAGGATCCTGAAAATCCCACGAAATCAACTTGAATCCTGGAATTCATTGGGCAAAATCTTCAAATCTCGACCAGTCAAGGCTGCCCATTCAGTTGGTAATCACCATATCTACCTAGGTACTGACAGGCTAGCAAATGCCCCCACAACCACCGCCGTTTGAGAAGGTCTTTGGATCCATCCATGTACGTATAGAATCGTGTATATATATATATATATGTTTATATTTAAGTACTTATATTTGGAACACCCTTCAGTAAATCTGCACATCCTTGCCTGAATCATTTCAGCCCCAAAAAGGCTCGGCCGCCTGTGACAACCTCTGGAAAGAACTGGTCCCCGTCCGAAGCCTCCCTGACCACGCGGCCTGGTCATGGACGCATTTTGGCACGGTGCTATCGGCCTGAAATATGGATAGTGTAATCAAAGGTCTGGAATGGAAAATCCGGTGTAAATGGTGGGTGTTTTAATGTGTTTTAATGTGTTTCAATTTTGTGTCTTAATGGGAAAATCACCAAACTGACTGGGGGATTTGCCAGCATGCCATGTTTGATTACCAGATGGGTAAGCCGGGTAAGCAACAAAATATGAGGGTACAACGGGAATATCATCGGTGCACAGATAATACTATTGGGGATATGACTACAATATGACTATCATATGACTATCTGGTTGGGAGTTGGGAAACTCAATTTGCAGCTTCTTGGCTCCCAATTCAAAATGGATACCCGCTCGTAACCCCGCATAGACAACCAGAACGACAACAAGAAACCGAATAGAGGAAAAAACAGAACAAGAGGAAGAGGAATAATAAGGTAAATGACACACACACAATAGCCAAACTAACAAACTTGGGAACAAACACCTGTAACTTACAATTTACAATTCAGTAACACATGGAAGAACCAACTCACACTCGACCGAAGAAGATAGTCACATCGCATCAAAACGGCTACCGAGTCGGAGTGCGGCGAGGGTAGACCCATGCTGCTGATGAACGGGGATGGAACTTGAAGTTTCTGTAGGATAAATAGTTGTTCCGTGTTCAAATTCTCTGTCCGGTTTGTAAATATTAGAGGCATTCCCACTTCATGGATTATGCTAATCCGCAATATTGGGTAGTATAACCCTAATCACCAACAAACGCGGCTGCTCAGTTTCGAAGTGAAATATAGGGACGGCTGCTCAGTTACGAAGTGAAATATAATGAAATATAGGGACGGTATAATGGGATATCACCCATCTAGTCACTGTCAAGTGGCTCTGAAATGCGCTTCCCTCAAATCGTAGTACCCTGTGAGAGTGTTTGCAAAACGACTGCGATTGATCAGGTTCGCAGGTAGTAGCCCAATGATTATATACGTAGTTATATAATACCAAAAAGAATTGGCCACAAATGATCAATGCTTAACTCCATCACAACGACTTTGTCTCTCAGGCTGGAAATTTCAAAACCACCAACTTCCCACCGTCTCCTTCAAAGTCCGATCAACATCTAGCATGGCTAATCACGGCCAGTCACGGCAGCTGATTGTTTGTTTATACACACATCAACTCATACTAGTTACTAGTTCGAATTTCCATCAACGGTTATATACACACAAAGGTAACATATTATTATACTTATATGTGTCAATATACACATACTGTAGTATATCATGATTAATATGTATGTAATATTTGTATGTAATGATTAATAAGTGTGTATATATATATATATAACGGTTCATGGATATCTATCTAATCTAATCTAATCTACTGTAATATAATCTAATCTAATCCATCCATCCATCTTAGCTTCATATATCTATATTATATATATCTATATATATATGATGTTACAAATCCGTGGTTCATCAAAAAAAAACAACCCCCACCTGTGGGAAGAGGCTGCGCGTTCCGCACCACCACGCTCATTCCGGCGGCCTTGGCCTTGGCCTCACCGAGGAGGCACATGGGGATTTCCATGGGATTGAACCCTGAAACATGGTGAAACATGGTGATTTATGGTGAAACATAACCTGAAACGTGGTGATTGATCTATCAATTTGAGTGTGATTAACCATCCAAAATGAGGATTTAATCCTGAAAAAGGGTGATGTCACCATCAAGAACCGTTGGTTTAGGCAGCAAAGGTTTGATTATTTTACCATCAAACATGGGGATTTAAGATGATTTAAGCATTAAACATGCTGGCATAAAATATGGTAACATGGGATGTTCATGGAGATATGACTGGAAATAATGGGAGACCCCAGAGGGTCATTTCTTACATAACTATGGAATCACAAGTTTAGTAAATAAAGAATCTAGAAATGGGATGAAATGGGCAGTTTTCAATAGCTATGTTAAGATGCCGAAGGGTAAGGGCTCCTGCCTGGTTCAAAATTGTGATTTGATAATATGTTCTCTGAAAATGAGATACCCACAAATTCGGTAGACTATCATCAAGTTTCGGAACAACATGCACACGGTATCCACCATGTTTGTTGATTTTCGGACAAGCCCATACTTAGTAGCAATGGATCACGTGAGTTGACACTTTTTGGGGTACTTGGGCTCCACATGATCATGAAACATGCCTCAGGTTATAGTCATTTTAAAATTTATGATGAGTATAGTATAGTAAATAAAAGATTAAATGTGTACACTTTCAGAGAATGATGAGGACAGTTTCAACCCCAAATCACATCAAAGGATCCTATAGATTCTATATATAAGAGATATGAATTGTATATATATATCATTTCAATTGATTTTCTGCTGAAATACCCACACAAAATCAATGTTAGTTTGGTAACCTTTAGATACTTACACATGTTTCCCATTGGGCCATTTTGACGTTCACCAGCGAGTTAACATCCAGACCTGACCGTACCTCACTGGGTCTTGAATGACACCATCTGCCGGCAGCCTCCAACAGATTATAAATAGACATCGTCATACAGTTCACCAATTTTACATAGATTTACCTATATTATCCATGATTATCCTATGTTTCGGATTATTTAGGAGTTTTTGTTCATAAGTGGGGGAGCAAAACATGGAGGAAAATCAACCAGCACACATAGCCGATAGCCCATCTGGCAACGGAATCCTACCTGGGTGGGCTCCGTTGCAACTGGGAAGGGGCAAGATCTCGCATTGAAGCTCTGGGCCTTGGGAACCAATCTGTGGTCAGTTGGGTCATAGGTCAACGCATGAAGAACCATGGTAGCCTTGGGAACATTCATATAAAGAACACAGACACAGACACACAAAAAAAAATGGATTTAAAGAGTAGTAGAATGGGATGGTCATTGAATTGACATAGAATATCATGTACTCAATCTACTGTAGAGCTGTTTCATGTCGGTCCATACCATTTAGGGGTATGGCTTTGATTCGGAGCCGATGGCGGAACATAGATTTGGGTCAGTCTTTGATATGTCCTAGTATCAACATGCCATTAAAACGAGTTTTGGGGGAATACATTTATGACTTTGGGCACGGCACAATCATTGAGGGAATAATGGAGTGACAATGTTTGATAATATGTGCCGTTTGGAATAAGAATGCATCATAATTCATCCAGGTTGCGCAAGTGATTTTGAGCCATTGCCACATGAGTATGACTCAAGATCCAACTGTAAAAACCCGCCAGTAAAAGTATTTTTACACAAAAGATCAGGGTTTTAACGGGACGTTTGACATGCAGCCAAGTTCCATCCACTACTCCACTACCATTCAAAGAGTTAGCTCAACCCGATCTGAGGATTCGTGGGTCGGGTCATGGCTAGCCTGCGACCATCCAAAGTTAAGTCTACCCGGGCTACCCCAATAGCTGGATGGCGACTATTTTATGGAAAATGCTACAAAAGTGGATGATGACTAGGGGTCCCTATTTTAGAACCCCCCCCCTAATAGATACAAAATGATATAAAGGGATCACAATAGTGGAATATAGTAGAATGGGATCGTGAACCAGTCGAAATATGATATCGTTTGCTGGTTTACTCAAGTTGGAGCTGTTTCATGTTGGCCCATACCATTTGGGTCATGGCATTGAACAGAAAGGATCACACTCGGAGTCTAACTTGGAGAGAAGCCATCCGGTTGATGTGTTCTTCCCCGTACAGCCACCTTTTTTAACCCTGCTTTTGTATTGGATCTCTATGAATTTGGGGTTCCCTTATTGCGTGTAAGCTTAGTGCTCACCAGTTTCCCAATTCGAGCATCGTTGCGCTACATCTTCCGATGATTTCAAAGGTATTCCGGCAATGATTGATGGCTATCTACTTGCCAGTGATTACATACAAGTAGACTCCAAGGGCGACTACTATGTAGTTCATGTAGTTATCCCCATTCTTCATATTGAATGTGTCCCACGACTGGCAGGGCTCCCCAAACAGTATAGGTACTTACAAAAGTTGGTTTACAGACGTTTATGGTCAGGCCTCCGGTAATTTAACATTGCCATAGCTACACAAAATGGCCCGTTTATACCGGATGTACCAGTGATGTACCTATTACAGTAAAATGGTGATTTTTCCATGGCTATGTTAGTGTACCACAAGCTAACCATTGGATTCATGGCCATGTCAACCTATGACTTGGGCAGCCCATGGATACAGTACTTGATTAGCCAAAGATCAACCGCAGTTCTGGAAAAAAAAAACATACATGGCGATTCAGCCAACCTCCCAATAGGGGGAGTTCATGGGATTTCTATAGAATGGGAATTTATAACGAGCGATGAAGATAGAATATATAGAACAAGGGTCACCGTTCAAGGGGGTTGGTTAACTCCTCATGGAAACAAACACACACACACACATCCTACAGTTCTGACCCTCAATGGATTCACTGGCCTATATATGGCTAGCGGTATATATCCCTTACATAAGGCTTATATACTCCTATTTGTAAGGCACGGCCCATGTATTCGAATATATGTTTTGTTCATTTTGTAAGTTTGTAAGCACTGTAGGTCCCTGGCAAGATGTTCAACAAATCAAACTGTCGAGAACAGTAATGTTTGGATCTTATCTATTTTGAATTGAAATTATGGTACTCATCACGCAGTTGCCCACTTTATTATGGGCCACCAAGCCTAAAGTTTCAAAGTGTGACCAAAAAAGACAGTATTTTGCTTTGGAAAAATTGAGCCAATTTGGGGGATTCCCACACAGCTCCAAAATGTGGAAAAACTCTAGTGTTTTGGCCCTCAGTATGTAAGCAGTATGTAAGGGCTATGTAAGGGCTATGTATTGCTTACATACTGGGGAGTTCATGGTAAGCAGTATGTAAGCAGTATGTAAGCAGTATGTAAGGGCTATGTAAGGGCTATGTATTGCTTACATACTGCTCCCAGGTAGCAGTATGTAAGGCAGTATGTAAGGCAGCATGTAAGGGCTATGTAAGGGCTATGTATTGCTTACATACAGATGGGCAGTATGTAAGCAGTAACGCCTGTGTAAAGACCCAAGAAATGGCGGCTAAGTAATGTTTATTTGTATATGCCATCATCCTCCACCACAAAAAAAAAATTAGCTCCACCGTGACCCCAACCATGTTCAATGACACCCCCCTATGTAAGAATCACCCTTTTTGGGAACAACCATTGTCGTTCACTTCTGGCACAAGAATTCAAACTAATACGGGTTGAAGAGTAAAAATCACAACATTATGTAAGAAGCAACTTTTTGGGGTAGGAAGGGCATACCCTCAGATCCTCATTTTTAAGCTCCTGAAAAATCCGTAGACTCAACAGTCAAAAATGTGATTCCAACTTTTATAACTAAGAGTATAGATCATGAAATAATATGAACGAATCCCAGTTATAACTCTTAGTTGCCCAAAAAAACTGTAAAATAGGTCCAGTCGCTGAGATTCCCATGTTAGTTTGATCCCTATGGTTGGATAGTTATTCCCCATATACTCATCATTTCTTGATTATATATCCACAAAAAAAAACCCAAATACTCTGATGCTTACCCTAGGCAAAACTCACATAGATATGGAAAATCCACCATTTGTTTGGATCATTTTCCTAGGGTTTCCCCATGGGCTTTTCACATCGATGTAAACCTTTACCCTAGGGTAGCATCCTTCAACTACGGTTGAATTACCCTCTGGTAATGACTAACATAGCTATTGAAAATTGCCATTTATAGTGGATTTACCCATTAAAACTAGTGATTTTCCATAGCTATGTTAGTTTACCAGAGGGTATGTTGAATTAAAATATCCCCATATCGATCAAAAAAGAAGAAACAAAAGTGGACAAAACGATAAAGATAACATGTATATATATATATCCCTACCATCATTGATAAGACATTGGGGATACTAGGGCTTTGATGCTTAACATCCCTATAAAAAGTTACTACAATCATCAGCACTGCCGGATGTCTTGCAGCCACTGCCCGTGGTCCCCGACGCGGCACTGATCTTCACCCTTCTTCGTCCCGCAGTCCTTTCTTCCGTGCTGCGGTTTTGGACGGTCAGAGGCTGCAGTGCCAATCTGCCATTTGGAGATGTAGTCTCTATCTGTAATATGTAGTCTCTATCTATATATGTCTACATGCCTGCTAGGCAGCTGAGAGCTCCCGAGTGCCTGGAGGAAAATAAATGTATGCATAGATTTACATATATATATATACATAAATATTATATCATTATATATATTATTATATCTATTATATAATACTTAAGGATGTTATAGATGTATACGTATCGTATTGTTGCATGCATATACCCGTCCCAGATTATCTCGGTCGCGTAAGGCCTCGGCCAGGCCCCACGGCGAAGTGAACGGACAGGGACAACTCCATGCCTGGCGCTACGATGGCGAACCAATATGATTGATAGATATATATATGAGATTTATAGTTAGTAATATAGTATGACTAAACTATAGTTGAATTAATAGTTAGTCAACTAAATATGATTACTACAGTTTGTAAACTAGCAATGATTATATACTTATAGTGTAGTAAACTAAAAATGATTGCTGTAACTTTGTGCGAATTGGAACCATGATGCTGCTCATGATAAAACAGTATGATTATAACAATATGTAACAATAATATATACTGTAACAATATAGCCGCTGCTATTGCAAATATTTACGAATACTATATCTGAGTATATAATAGTACGATAGTCTATAGTATACAATGTTGCAATAATAACAATAGTCAATAGTGATGAGTCAACAGTAAGAGTCCCTTGAAATAGTCAGATTAAATATTACGATCTCACCCTATGTATGTCAAAACATGATAGTAACACTCAATAGTAATGACACCGACAATGCACCAATCATAATGATACCAATAACTAATAGTGACAAGCATACTAAGGCTACAATGATAATAGCTAGACCATGCTATACCCTCTGGTACTCAAACATGTCAGTGGAAAATCCACCATATATATATATATATACATATAATTATATACCCTCTAGTAATTTAACATAGCTATGGAAAATCACCATTTTTAATGGGAAAATCCACTATAAATGGTCATTTTCAATAGCTATGTTAAATTACCAGAGGGTATATATGTGAATGATGTTCCGATGAAAAACCTCCATTTTATCGGCATTTTCCAGCCACCTTTGATTACCAGATGGTAGCTATCGTCAGGCCTCCAATCCGTCGATCATCGCTTAGGGAAAAAATGGATGATGACAACGAATTCCACATAAGACACATATTTGCGCCGCCGCCCCCCCAAAAAGAGGTGGTTTATAACAAAGGATGAGGTTTTTGAAGGCCACCAAGATATGAAGATCTCTGGTGGGAGATCATGGGATGTATAAGTGAATTCATCGAGTAATCTGGCATGAAAAGGTGCCACAAGAACATGAAGATATCAGGTGCCAAAATTTCTAGGGATTCCCATTGACAGACATTGATGTGCAAAAGGCCAGAAACATAGAAACATATCCTTCTTTAGTGAACTTGTGCCTATTATATCACATCGTAATTGTCACGAATTGTTGTACTGTTGTAATTCACATCCTATATTTAAGAAGTATCTACTCATATGTGTATGTATATATATACACACATATGAGTAATGATGATCATCATACCTACACTTGTATCATCTTATATCCATGAGCCAACTTAAGCATGTCATAGATATGCCGCGCCCCTGCTTTTCTCCCATTTTTTCCACGGAATCCCACCTGAGTGCGTTCTTTCACCTTGAGAGGAAAGCCTGGTGGCGGACCTGACAAAACTGCGCGAATGTTTGTGTTTTTTGGCTTGATTTGGTCAACCGCCATTGCACCTCAAAAAAAAATGGATCCCTTTCGACAGAAAACTATGTAGGTCTCTTCATGCGCATGCCAGTTGTGTGTATCCATTGTTTTGGGGGATCCATTTTGCCAGTTTGGTGCATCTGAACCCACCCATCTACCCCTCTGTTTAACTAATTACACCACATGTATGTAATCATACACAATGATAACAGAAACATCATATGACAGTATTATGATATATTATGTATATCTATACAGACATGAATATATATATATAATTATATATATATATACCCTCTGGTAAACTAGCATAACTGTGGAAAATCACCATTTTGAATGGGAAAATCAACTATAAATGATTTTCAATAGCTATGTTTGTTTACCAGAGGGTGTATATATATATATATATACGTGGGTTTGTCTGAAAATGCCCCTGAAATCCATCGTTGATCATATGCTTCCGATAAAACCTGAACAAACAAACCCATGGATATATAACGATATCTATCTATACAAATCTTCAAATATGTGGCAACCACCAAAAAAAATGATGATAGCAAAAACCTACCAAAATTGTCATAAATTAAACTTTCCTATCTTTCTTGGGATTACTATAAATACATTGGACAATGAATCATAGCTGGCCTTCCAAAGGTGGACGTTCCAACCTCAGCACGCGCTCAGGCGGCCACGGTGGTGAGCTACTCATCAAACACCCGGATAGTCATCCATGGAACATTGTTATACATTGTCGATTTGCATCTATTCAGTATAATAAAGAAATATATTAAAATTTGCAATATATAGAATATAGAATAGATTATAAATTGTCAATAGTAACTATAATATAATGCATAGAATATATATAGAATATATATAGAATATATATAGAATATATATATAATATGCGTATATTATATATTACGTAATATATATGTAGTATGATATAACGCTAATGCCAAGTTCGTATTGATAAACCTTCTTAGAAGGCTAGAAGGGCTTGTCATACATTGGGGGATGGGATTTAAAAACGGTAAATGTAGCCTCCGATAGTCAAACATGACATGGCTTTCAGGAAAATCCCCATCTGGTTGGTGGTTTCAACCCCCTCTGAAAAACATTAGTCAGTTGGGATTATGATTCCTAATATATGGAAAAATAAAAAATGTTCCAAACCACCAACTAGCCATTTATAGAGGATTTTTAGTTCGGGGATTTACTATTGACCTGTTTGATTACCGCAGGGTGTTGTTTACCACATTGTAGAATCCAGGGGACCGACATCTTCTATACACGGAGGAGTAATGTTTTATGTCCCATGTGGGTCATATACCAGAGTCTGAGTTGGTAACCCATCTTGCGCAGTAAAATCCTTTCTTTATCCCACTTGTTCTTTGGTTGAATCATGCCAAATCCCGATTTTTCTTCTTGGTTAAATTTCATTTGTGGACCTTAAATCCTACCCTCTGGTAAACATCACCATAACTATGGAAAATCACCATGCTATCAATGGGTAAATCCACGATTTCTATGGCCATGTTCAATAGCTATTTTGACATAACCAGAGGGTCATCGTAGTGAAATGGTGGCAACAAAATTCACCATGGTCTCAACCGTAGATTTTTCATCAGATTCTTGATGCTATATCCCAAAAAAATACCATCGGGTAAACATACAAAAAGCTATTGAACATAGTCATTTATAGATGATTTAGCCATGAAACATTGTGATTTTCCAGTTCGCTATGTTGGTTTACCAGAGGGTACACATATATTAGTATTATATAATATTATATAATATTCCTATATGATCTATATGTAATATATTCCCATCAAATATCCATGAAATCACCATGAAATCTGCAGAAATCTTCCACCATGAGCATCCAGGCGAGGCCAAACTCAGACAGGTCCTGAGAATCTCGATGTGTTTTTCACGATGATTTTATTGGAATGCATATGGACGATATGGAAAATCAAAAGATGCAAAAAAAAAATGTTTGTGTGTCTTCAATGTTTTGTGTAAAACAGGGATGTGTGAACAAAGTACGAGATCCCCGCGTTGTTTGTTTGGGTGTAAGATTATGAAAATAAAATAATCCATGATTCAATGTCTTTCGATGATGTGTTCGAGTGGGAAAATCTGCAAAAACTGCAGGCTTAATCAGCAGGAAGTGTGAATTGTCGTACATAGAAACTCCAGTCACATTTGGATTTTGATATACTTGTGGTCTTGTATTGTTCCCAATCCCATGCAGATTTGATCACGAACATCTCTGTCCAAACATTGGGTATACTTCAGGTATACTCCAAATCCACTGGTCGCAACGAAACCGCCATTGTTGTGACGTGACAGCCAGATCCCCCAACGAAACCATGCCAAGGGTCTGAATTTTCTGGGGGTCCATGAACGAGGAGATGCCCTGCTGCCGATGTGCATTTTGAGTGGATCTATCTGACCTATATGTCTATATATGTCTATATTGTTCTACATATCTATATCGAACATAATTTACACATCTACACCGCTGTGCATATTTGTATTGCATATAATATTATATCATATATTACGTATACCTGGTGTATACGATTTTAATATAATTAGTGTACTGTAATACATATTGTATCCACATCACATGGCGTGCCCCAGCAAGTGAATCCAGATAATTCCATCCAGTTGCCCATCAACAAACATTGTCTTCAGATGTTTTTTCAGTGTGGATGGGTCAACACCTATTAAATAGCCATATGATTGCCATATTTGGGGAATAAACATCCATAAGCAAGCTATGACTTAGGGTATCTGACATACCAGGTTTTGAGCAATAAACCTAGTGTCCAGGGACAAGTCATCTCTTTCCCAAGGCTGTTTTTCTTGACCAGGACTCATTGATGGGATGGGATTAATGTATCATTAGAATTACATACATGATACAAACATATTTTGATACTATAATATACACATAATACAACATGATACTGTATTTACATACATATCACGACATATATATATATATATCACAGTTTTATCTATTCATATTATACATCGTGGATCACAGTGCTATGGGTGGACTAACGTTTAATCCTATGTTTATAGATGTTTTGTGGATGGCATACCAAGACCGAGACCCAAAAATGGCCTCCCGCAGCCCGGCGCCTTTCGGGTCATCTCATCCCCCCGAAGGTCCGGATTGGCTCTTGGCCTAGCCGCAATGTGGTGGTAGGAGGATCAATCATCATGGTAACAATTATAATAAGAGATACTAATGGTGATGCGTAGGAATGATACTAAGCAGAATGATCATAAGAATAGTAATCAAGAAGAACAATAATGATAATGATAATAATGATGTATATGTATATATATATACAACAATAATACTAATCATCATCACCATCCTCATCTCCCAAGAAACCACGAGACTCCTATCCGAAAAATGGTTGACCGGTTGAGCCATGGCAAAAAGATGCTATAGGACCATAGGATGGACATCCATTCCATCATGGAAATCCGTTACCACAGTCATAGTAATAATAAGTATACTACTAATAATAATAATAGTACTAATATGTACTAGCATGTACTAATATGTACTAATATGTACTAGTAATAATAAAATATAATAAGTAGTAATAATGTCATAATTAGTACCAATGGCAATGGTAGTAGTTATTGCTTGTTTAAAGATAATAAATGGTGGTGGTGGTAGCAGCAGCAGTAAATTTGATCGTCCCCCAAAGACTGGAAGGCCGCCATTCCCATCGAAATTGACCATGGCAAATCATGGCAAATATTGAGATGTCCAATTCATGGGGCTACCCCTTATTTTCATCCATTGATGGATTTTCCAACCTAAACCATCCAGCTATTGGGTACCCCCCATTTAGGGTACCGATCCCCATGAAATTCCCATAGGCGTCCGCACCACCCAACGCCGAGGTGATGATCATCGAGCTCGCTGCGAGCAGCCCAGATCTGGGAGTTGAATGAGGAGCCCGTGAAAATCATTACTTTCTAAGGGGATTTTCATGTTTGATGGGGGCTTCATGCTGGGAATAAACGAGCTTCATAGAGCTTTAGTGGAATTGAAATGAGTTTAAATGGGGCTTTGGCAATTTCGAATGGGACTGAATGGGCTTGCAGGTGATTGGGAAGCAAGCCATCATCGAGAATCTGATATACTTAACTTGGATTGGAAAAAACTCAGATTTCTCTGGATATTTAGAGTGGCGGATCTGCGGCGGATCTTGCATCCGGCCAATATGTACACCCTCGCCAACGGCAACCAATTAAACTATTAAGATGCACTTTGTTCCACCTTCAACCCATCTATTGGGCATGCCACTTAAATAGTCCCATCAATCCTGTTGGGGGACGAGTGTCCAAGATTTCCGCGCCTGCTGCACCATGGGGGCGTGTGCTTCTGGTCCAGTGAGACAGGAAAGCCACCAGGGTGGTAGATATTCTTGAAGCCCGGGAAGCCAAGCTTGCTGCTGGTTCAGCACCTGCACCAGCGGAGTCTCGTCTGACACGTTGGATCATCCTAAATAGGATAAAGAAGTAAGCAAACATATTGAAACTGCCAGTCGAAACCCGAACTGGTTGATTCAAGAGAGGATACCGGTTCATGGGTCATAATATAATCCTGGATAAACCAGGTAGAATAAGATATAACATATCCCACATAGCCCCGTACAATAGCTAATCAATCATCTACAATACAAACCATCATGTATCAACTATCCTCATAATGTTGATGGTCAAATTCCATCATTGATGAGTGAATCCCATTGGACTCAGGTTAGAAAACCCCGCCACAATAAAGTACGTCAACCTCGGGCCAAAACAATAACCCACCTGATAAAGTACGCCCATTGCTTTTGGGGATGCTACTTAAAGAGTCACCAGTTTCTGAAGTTGACCCGAATTATCCCGAATTGTATCAACAAGCTTCTAGCTAAGACCCTGCCAAAATTATAATCCACATCATCCCCATTTGGCTGAAAATCATCCACTTTAGCATATTAGTTTTCAATTAGGCGGTGTGTTCGGTCGACTTCGGTGTGGAGGCCAAATATCCCCATAACACAGGGCTGCTCCCAACACCCCACAAGGAGGGGAACATGTGGCTGGCGTTCACCTGCAATAGGTTGGAGCAACCCTGAATTGTTGGTCAAATAATCCCGTTAAATCCACATATATCCACGTTTGTTTGTTGGTTAAATCCTATGAAATCCACCTTGGTTAAAGTTAAACCCAATCAAATCCCTACAGTACCCTCTGGTAATTTAACATAGCTATTGAAAATGACAATTTATAGTGGATTTTCCCATTAAAAATGGTGATTCTCCATAGCTATGTTGGTTCACCAGAGGGTACATCCCCAAAAATTCCCATTTTTTGCGGTGAAATCCAGTCTCCTGCACCTCTGGTGTGTCGCCTGAGGGCGACAAAAAAAGGGGTGAGAACAACACCATATACCACCATGGGACCATGAGCGGACCATGAGGATATATGATATGGCCGATATGGCTTCAACAAATGATATGCTGTGAGATATGAGCTATGATATGAGATATGAGATGTGAGATAGGGTATGTGATATATTATATATATATATATAATTATGATATATAAAATATGATTCAGCAAACAATTTGTTTAAGCTCCCACCAGTAAAAATATGGCTTAGAGAACGGGATTGATGTGTACGTTCCATGAGATTACGATCATCCCCAGCAGGTTTTCATGTTCGTTATATGCAATAGGAATCCATCCCCAAATTTACAATTTCTATGGGTGGTAAAAACACCCTTTAATTACTCAGGGATTCTCATATAGGGTGTTTAATAGCAGGGTATTTAATGGTATTGACAAATAAAAACAATGACAATTCATCAAGTATATTGGAAAAGGTCGATAGGGATTCCTGTAGGTGACACTGAACACTGAGAACGCTGCTGAAGATCCTGCTGATGACAGTACTGACATTGGTTATCATTGGTTTATGAGCGCTTTTAACGAAACTTGACTCGTGATTGCTGCATCCCTTTTGGTCCTTGATGAATTGCCTAGTTGATTGATCTCAAGTGCTCCAAGTCCTTGTTCTTGTCCGGATCAAACGGTCGAGGGGTTGCTGCAACGTGCTCCTGTCGGTAGCTCTGGGCTCCTGGCCCTCGAAATATTGCGTCGCCAGGGATTTGCCTGCATGGAGAACCCGTTGTCACTGCCAAGCAGAGAACGGTCACGTGTTCTCGCCGTTTCAATCATCAAAAACTTGCTGTGTTTGGTCAAGAGTCAAGAGGTATTGCAACCCCCAGTCATAGATAGAACATTTGGAAACTTGGAAATTATATATGAAACATTATGAAACTATGGGAAAATACCGTCCTTTTCACATCCTGGAAAAACAGTTTGGCAATGTGTGGCATCTTTTTTCGGCATCCTGGAAAAAATGTATTTGACGGTTTCAGTTGGGTGAACGGTTTCGACCTGTGACACATTCTGCAAGAACTAGTGGCGACATCCGCACCTCTCTGACTGTCATGATGCTCCTTCTGAGGAAACCTGAGATGAGTTGCCGCCCACCAACACAAATGGCCGCAAAGCGAAGGGACCTATAGGTAGATGTGGATGTCTCAAAATCGTGGAACACACAAGCGTATCATGATGCATTGGTCTCAGTACATCACAATGTGCCGTGCCCGTCTTATACATCCTCAAAAGAGCACACCATTCCTATATTGACAGCGCATCCTAATTGTGCCGTGGGTGATGTCATGGTCAAAACATGGTATAATATCATCTCACAATCATTGGGGATTCCTGATCATGCGTATATTCACCCCTCTTCACAGGGGAATGACCATCTCGGTTCATGAAAAAAACACACAAGCTATGACCTGATCACAGATGATCACGGCACACACAGACTGACTTGACCCATCCCGATGTTCAAGACCAAGCCACAGCATGGCCGAAATGGCCCAAGTCGGCCACCACGGGATCTCGCTGACTTTCCCTGCCCAGTCAAGGGGCCGAGCGAAAACTGCGGTCGGTTTATCCTGCCGGTTGTGATGGCAGTGAGGTCGTGATATGTCGTGATGGCATTTATCCAGATTAAGGGCGGTTCAGAAGCCATCTATTAAGAGTCTCCCAATATTAAGGGCTTATAGAATCTTATAGATGTGTTTATTTCATAGACCCTTTTCATCTTTTGAGAGGAGTTACCTTTCGGGATGGGTTGATGGCTTGTCCATGGCAATCGAAGTGATGGGTCATACATAACCCAGCACTTCAATGGGTCAACCGGGACCCCGTTTTCACTAGGGGCTGCGTTGGCAACCGCTAGTTACACATCAAGTATACAATTATAGCTAATCTTAGGTGCCCTACAACATCAAATTACATTTAAGATCATTGAACATATAATATTTAGCAATATTAAAACATAATGCATAATATAATGCAATGTACCACTAACACCCCCAGTTGTGGCACAAGATTAAACTCTGAACTCGCCAACCAATGCAAAAGACTCGGAGTTTCTGGGACGATAACGGAAAAATCCCAGTTGTTGATCGATTTACCAATGAAAATACTACTGTGGATGGTTTAGACATCCTAGACCACCAAAAGGATGGTATTTCAACCCTAGAAATCCTGGGACAACAACAACAACAACAGTGCAATGCAAAGTCGGCTCCTCCACTGAAACTCCAGGGACGCGCCAGCTCAGAGCCAGCAGCTTGCGGACATGAAATAAATCGCCATCAATCCCCATTCACCACTTGTTATTTCCTGGATGCTTTCTCTAGATTATTACAAATCGGTATTAATAAGCAATGTTGTTATAATTACATAAATCTCGATTTATTTATGTATATATATATATATAGTATCATGATTATCATTAGTGTCATTACCATTAATTTATATATATATATATATTATCATATATTTTCCCAGATTCCATATTATATCATTAGATATGACACTATGAATATCATTAATATTATCCATATAATCACCATATTGGATCTATATAATATATGATTATAATGATATATCATAATGGGATTCATATATCATAATATGGTATTGTATATTATTATCATATATTATTATAGAATCATTATATAGAATATAGACCCTAATAATCACTATTCTATATTATTAATATGATTATATTACATAATCATATATTACTAATAACATTATAGAATACAGACCCTAACCATAATCACTATTCTATATATATATATATATGGCAGTGTGTCAAAACCCTATACCCATGGTGAACCCCAAAATAGCTGGGATTTATGGATGTTCATCCCACTAAAATGTATCTATAGGTATTGACCCATACCCATATCTGTGGAATTATTAATTATCAATGAACCTTGGTTGACATCCCAGTAGACCATATTGACTATATTTAAATGGTAATTCTAATGGGATAATATGGGCATATCAACGAACCATTCACTGTTATGACATAATCACTGTTCTGAATCCCATTCACAGCCGGTGAGTAAAAAAGCTCCATTCCTGAGATGTGTCCCATTCTCGCCTCCCGGGCGCGGAAACCTGGTGGATTTGCGAAAATCCATTGAGGGTTGTGAACATGGGGGAATTTCATGGATTTTCACCATATGTTCACCATATGTTCACCAAATGTTCACCACTTTTCACCATATTTTCACCATGTTCACCATATTTTCACAATTGTTCACCATTTTTCACCATATTTTCACACTTGTTCACCATTTTTCACCATATTTTCACAATTTTTCACCATATGTTCACCATATGTTCACCAAAATGATGGGGATTTCACCACATGACAATGGAGGACTTGGAGGATCAATTGGTGTTCCGCATCTATGGTAGTTTACCCCACTGGTACCAACCCAGTGACGATTCTTAGGATGATCCTCTAAGTATGCCTATATGGTTGAATGGTACAGCAGTAATGTGCATTCCTCACAAGCTATGGACTACTGATATTGAATGATGACACGCGGTATAGAATCCTATATATATAGAGGATCATAGCTACGATTTCGATCCATCATCTAAGTCAATTTACCATTGATGATCGTTTACTGTACTGATCGTTGGTTCTTCAATGGCTTGTTCCTTGATCAACCAACCAGTGGGAAGGCCACTGTCGCGACTGTCTCCCGGCGAAAACAGCTTCGTCTCCAAAAGTTGCCACTTTATGGTGATGCAAAAAGTGGTTACATCTTTAAAGGGCACCAAAAAATCTGCGTACCGCAAGACATGGCATTGCATTTGTGGATTGTGGATGTATGTCACCAAATGGCCACCCAAATTCGGCTTGGCTTCCCAGTTTCCTCTTTGCACAGCACCCCAGTTAGACATGAGGCTGCCATGCGACGACTTCACAAACACAAGATAAAAAGCTCCAATGCAACGGAGATGTGTTTGTATCAAACCATCCCATCTGCCACACATGATGTACCCTCCAGTATTTGAACATAGCTATAGAACGTGGCCCATTTAATTCCTTGATTTACCTTTTTTCGAATGGTGGTTTTCCATAGCTATGTTAAATTAGGGTAAACATCTGGTATCAATGTTTAATTTGACATAGCGAAACTAAAAATGGTGGATGTCCTCCATGATTTCCCACCCTCTTTGATGCTCGAATGTCGATTTCAGGTGACAAAAAAAATCACCATGGTTTGATGGTTAACTCCTAATGTTTCACCATTTTTCATGGTTAAATCCTCATTTTAGGTGCTTAAATCATCATGTTTGATGGTTACCCTCTGGTAAACTAACATAACTATTGAAAATGGCCATTTATAGTGGATTTTCCCATTAAAAATGGTGATTTTCCATAGTTATGTTAGTTTACCAGAGGGTAAATCATGTTAATTCCCCAACCTCAGCCCCATCCCCAGCTCCACCTGGCAGATTCAGCTCAACCTCATCACCCAAGACACGGCCCGTCATGGCGCGGACATCCTTTCGACTGCGGCACCAGGGTATAGATGGGCGACATTAGATGGGGATATACAGGAACTGGCAACATTGGCGATGTAGAAATAGATGGGCGATAAAAAAACAGTTACGGAAAATCACCATGTTTTAATAGGCAAATCATCTGTTGCGGCAAATCATCGAACTCAATGGGCCTACATATATGTATCTGGTTGGTGGTATACCTACCCCTCTGAAAAATATGAAAGTCAGTTGGGATATTTATTCCCAATATATGGAAAAATAAAAGCCATGTTCCAAACCACCAATCAGGTATAATATATATAGACATAAACTGCTAGTTTCCTGGAGGCCAAATCTTCAATTCGGAAAGCTGGCAAATTGCTGGTTGCGTCCTGTCAACTTGCGAGGTCATCATGAGCCAAGTGGGATCATCAACCCATTTTTAGAGATGGAACATCTGCAATTTACGGAAAACAGGAGCCAAATCATTTGGTAATACCTTCTGGCAAACATGGTTTGCTGGACAATCCTCCATTTATAGATGAATTTCCTATTCAACCATCCATTTATAGTTGAGTTTTTGGGTTTCCCATATGTTTTCTTGTTTTCCCATGTTTTCCCATGATTTTGCCATTAAAAAACAACATCTTTGATGGTGGATCATCGAAAATCACCCCTGCCCCTGCGCTCGCGAATCCTGCGTGATGCCACCCGGCTCATGAGGCGCCACATTGGTGCCACAAAGAGCATCCAGCAAGGTGGTTTTGCCATGGTTGATGTGACCCAGCCTGAGCAATCTAGGGATGATACTAGACTTATGTGGGGATGGGTCAAAACCCTATACCCATGGTGAACCCCAAAATAGCTGGGATTTATGGATGTTCATCCCATTAAAAATGTATCTATTGGTATTGACCCATACCCATGTAAATTCATGTAATAAATATAGTAATAGTATGTAATATATAGTATGTGTATATATATATATACATAATATGTACAGTATATTATATGCTGTCTGGCTGAATCACAATTATTCACCAACCTGGAAATAACTAAAACGTAAGGCCATTTGAGCCATTTGGGGATGATTCTCCGCGATCAAACCATCATTCCAGTGACGTCACGACGTCCAGAACCAATGCCTGCTTGATTGAAAAACACATACCAGAAACTTATGGATTCTTATCCCTAAAGATGTTGGGGGTTGCTGCAGAGTCAACCAGTCGGATTGGTTCGTTGATTCACTTCAATCCCCTATGAACAAGAATTGATGGTCCCCATCCTGAGGATACAAGAACAAAACGGGCTTGGCTACATTTGGCGTGTAGACTCCGCACTAAGCAAAGGATGTCCATACCCAAGTATCCCCAATTGATTTGCTTCACAATCTCAAGTGTTGCTACCCAAATCCCAGTGTTTGCTGCCAACATTCCCCCCTCTTGTAGGGTCAATAAGGCAATAAGAATCTCCCACATTAGTCTGCAATCAAGGGGGAGTCTCCCCGTATTTGTTGATAATTATCCGTTGAAGTTGAAGTTGATGTCCAAACGGATATAAACGGCAGTTACCAACTCAAATTTCTGATGTCGTTGTACTTGGGCAATCAAACCGTGCAATCAATCACCTCTATAACTGGAGATTTCAATCGACAATTAGTCTAAAAATAGGGGATTTCCCAGCAAACCATGTGTGATTACCAAGGGTAAGCTCTCCAAAATCTCATTGTATCCCCATTTTTGATGCTTAAGTCATGGTTGTATCATGGTTGTATCATGGTTGTATCATGGCTAAGTCATAGTTAAGTCATGGTAAAGTCACCATTTTCTTAGGTTTCCCCATGGCTCCCCATGGCGCCAAGCCACACCACGACCACTGGGATGGCCGTTGGATCCCTTGGCAGCAGCGGCCAGTCGGGCTCCACGTCCACCTCAAAGGGGATGTCATGGGATTGAATGATATAATATATATATATACCCTCTAGTAAACTAACATAGCTATGGAAAATCACCATTTTCAATGGGAAAATCCACTATAAATCACCATTTTCAATAGCTATGTTAAATTACCAGAGGGTATATAATATATATATATATATACTGGTTGGTGGTTTCAACCCCTCTGAAAAATATTAGTCAATTGGGCTGATTATTCCCAATATATGGAAAAATAAAAAATGTTCCAAACCACCAATAAGTATATATTGTAGGTTGCTCCCTATTAATGGCACATCTACTTTTACGTTCTGGTAACCAAACATGGCAATGCACAATCCAGTAATTATTCAATATATATATATATATATTGTATATATGGAATCATCAGGTGATTATCTGTAATCAATAGTATTAATAGGTAATAATAATAGGGTAAATTGTATTGTATAGATACATTTATCTGTGTAAATTATAATATTTCACTAACCTGAATAGTTCGGCCATTTGGTGATGATTTCCCTTATTAACCATGATTCCAGTGAGGTAGCAGTGAGGTAGCTGTGAGGTCGTTATAAATTTGCCCAGATTTATATATATATATAACTAACCGACAAAAAAATTATATCAAGCCTAATCCAATATGGATACCTGCAAGAGATATGACAACATGAAATGGAATTTATAATGTTAAGTATCCATCGTGGGATTGAATGGTATATAACATTATATTATATATATACATAATTAACAACGAAGAAGATGATATCAATCCCTAATCCAATAGGGATACCATCCCTAATCCAATCGCGATACCTGCTGGTTATTTAACACAGCTATGAAAAATGATCCATCGATTTATAGATTACGTATGATGATTTACCAAAAAAATGATGATTTCCACAGCTACAGTAGATACCAGAAGGTAAAACAAGTCTTTGGGATCGTTTTTGGGGATTATTACGATCCGGATAGATAATATAGTTTGAATATACTTTAACCGTCAAACATATGCATGTTCACTTTCACCGATAAATCAAGATGTTCCAACCCACCAGATTTGGGGTACCCTGCATGAAGAAAATAAAGAAGTAACGGCTGTAAAAGAAGAAGGAACGATTGATAAAACAAGAGCAAAGCGGATCTGGGAGGAGTTGAACCTCCAAAGTTTGCGTTCAAGCCATCATGGCTGAAAGAGCAACGCCACACCCATAGGGCAACAGATTCCGTTGCTTCCATTTTCTCTTATTTTTTGATGCCGTGCATTGCTTGATGATGCTGGATAGGCCCCGCGGCCGAAATGCATGTGCTGCCCATGCCGCAGCTTGTGCGGAATCTGGTTAATACCCCCAGTGGAAGTTCTTCCTCTGTAGTTGGTGTTAAAGAACAGCAATCGCAGCTGGGCTCGCAATTTGTCGCTAATATAGGCAATTTCCTTGTTATTGATATATCAGTCATGGTACTGGCCGGTGTAGAGGGGTTCCCACTTCATGAGTCACCCAATGATAATCCTAACTTAAAAGCCAGGTAGTCTGAGAATCCCGTAATCAGCTCCATGGCTGGAAATCGCCCAGCTATATTTCGATGAGTTTGCGAGCTACAAACCTCCATGGCTAGTTCGGGGATTTCCCAGCCATGTTTGAGGACACCAAAGATATCATTCCACTACATTCCTCCTTTATTTTCCCATTGTATACCTGTTATATCACCATTGTTGATGGTTAAATCATAGTTAGATCCTCATGTTGGATGCTTAAATCACCATATGTTTGATTGTTAAATCACCATGTTTGATGATTCAATCCTTATGTTTGACGGTGAATCACCATGTTTGATCATGAAAAATCACCGTTGTTGGTAGTTAAATCATCACTTTGGATGGTTAAATCCTCGTTTCTCTGGTTCATCACCAGTACCAAGAACTCCCGGAGATCCCCCCGGGATCCCCCCACCCCTCGGTCCCTGGACCAGCTCAGGCTCATAGCCGAACTTCTGCAGGGGGTATGCCAGCATGTCGAAGGGCAGCAAGACCTTTCGCTTCGAAGTGGATTCGAATTCGCGGCCTTCGAAGTCCTGCAGGATGTCTTTTGGTGCTGGATCTTGGAGGAGTTGCTTCATTGTTTGACTAAAGAGAATCTATCAATTATCGATCTATATATTATTCTACATATAGTTTAATATGTATTATATACTGTATATGTCATGTGTATACATATATATATATATACATATGTACATGTGTGTATATCTGTGTATATTTGTGTGTATATCTCTATCACCAGTGTGTGTTCGTATTCCATTTGTGTATTCTTGTTTCCCCTGCCGTTTCTCTTACGACCTGAAACTTGCATAAACTTGCCCTCTTCGTCACAGTTTCTGGTGGTTTGAACCTCCTTGAAGAATATGACTGCAGTCAATTGATCATCCCAAACAGGGACCAGCCAAACATAGAAATAGATAGAAATAGATAGAAATAGTTCAAACATGTTCAAACATGTTAGCACCAGCCACGTTACAGCAGGGATGCCTGGAATCGGGCGGATCGATGGGATTACATCAAAATCCCACATGTCAGGGGTCAAAACAGCCTGAACATAAGACACGATCCAACTTGGGGCACAGAATTTCACCCAAAAAAAAACACGCATGGTACGACTCCAGTCCTTCCAGTAGTACTTCCCGCCCAGTGAACCTCGGCACATGAAAAAAATGAGGCATTCTACGACAAATTTAGATCCGTTAATCTGGTAAACCCAATATCCAAGTCACCAACAATTTGCGATTTTTCATTACACACAACTGGGATCTATGTACCCTCACAAACCTCAATTCTGCACCATCTCGGAGATGATTTCCGAAAAAAAAAAAAAACTATTTACTCCCCCGGGTATTTCAATACCCCCCAACAAATCCTAGTTTAGGACCTAGTTTAGTACTGGATCTGTTATTTTTGGGGGGGGCAAGAAGAGTTTGCAGATCGTTCCAAGGCGGGGCCCCCTAGATAGCTAAGTTGGATTATGTGAAACAGCAAGGGTTTAGGCTAACCATAACCATAGTTAATGCTGTGTATAGACAATAAACCAACATTCAAACACGACATTAAACATCCTTTAGTCACTTTAGTCTAAGTGGCCCCTTTTCCATGTCCATGTTGTCCGATGTGTCCGGTCCTTCTTCCTTGAGTGCCGCACGGACGCCTAAGACGCGCATGGTGTTGGCATAGTCCAGCCTGGGGTAACCACTAAGCCCACTGGATGGGATTCTTTTGGTTCCAAAGTGTGAGCAAATTCTCATATGATTTGCATATATATATATATGGATTTTATTACCAGAAATGGGGGCTGGCCCCACATTTATATATATTTATGGCTAATCTATGGCGGGTAAATGATGATAAAAAACCTCTGGATCCCCAGCATCGGTTCGAGGATGTGACTCATCAACGGCCACGGTTTTTACATGTTTTTACCCCCCACTTTGTTGCTCTTTCCTGAATATGTTCCCTTAAACCAAGTCTGGGATTTAAGATTATTTAAGATGATTAAGATTATTTAGGATCATTATTCTAAGATTTAAGATTACTTAAGAATGAATAAAAATGATTCAAGGAACAGATTCCTGGAAACACACTATGTTTGCGGGCTTCAAGCCTATGGTATGCCTGCCTGTGGTTTTTTCGCGTCCATGGATTTCAACACTGATGTTTCCACTGCCTCAGCAGCACCCGCAACTCTGTCGCGGAGACGAAGGTTGGGAGCCTCGGGGAATGACGAAGGGGAGTTCACCTTGGATATACCAAAGGAAAATAAGATGAATTCCGAAATTCAACCAGACAATTAGGTCTGAAACGGACCAAATCTTGGAATTTCATGGAATTTCTGACTCCTAACATTGATATACTTGGACAATTTTCGGGGAATGGGGGGTGGCTTCCCAATTGCGATGGCGAGATCATGCGCATCGCTGTGAAGCCCTGCCGGAGCAGTCCAGGTTTTCCTGGGTGGTTTTTGCTGGTTCATGGGGATTCCCAGCTCATGGATTGCATCCCCAAGATATTTCTGGTTGGTGGTTATAAAACCATCTTGAAAAATGTGAAAGTCAGTTGGGATGATGACATCCCATATATGGAAAATAAAATTCGTGTTTGAAAGCACCAACCAGATTTAGTGTGAATATGTTGTCTCAAAATGGTGTGTCCCCAAATGGCAATTGTTATAGGGCCTTAGTGATGATCAACAACCGTTGGATTTGGAGGTACCCTGTTCACCGTGCCCCGTTTTCAGACATTCTCTTTGCATCATGTAGCCGACATGTTGCACCAAACGCTTTCACACAAAGAAGCGTCAAAGTATAGTCAAGCATACCAACTACTATGTAGGGCTACAAACAGCAATGTATCGTTCTATGTTCAAATGCATATAAATCCAACAATAAACCTCCAATATTGGGCTGAACTTCCTTCTATTTCAGATAAAAGTCTGGTTGAAATTGGGCATGGTTTATTATTGGGCCACAGAAAAACCACTGTGAGACCTCACTGCGTCCCTTCCGGACTTATTGGCTTTAATGCTGGCTTTCCTGCATTACCTTCTGGTAATTTAACTGTTAGCTATGGAACATGACCCATTCAGTTCGATAATTCACCTAATTAAACTGCGATTTTCCATGGCAAACCGTTGAATTACCAGAGGGTAAATCCCATTGGATCCCATTAAACCACCATAAATCCCATTAAATCCCATTAGATCCCATTAATTTCCCGTGTCCAAGGCCGGGGCAAGACGGTGCTTTCGGCATTTCTTCGAGTAGCTTTCGTCAGGGAGGCGCGCGCCACCTGGAGTCAGTTCACCCATGGAATCCCATGTCGTTCTCACCAAGATAGCTGGTGAAATCTAGTACCCTCTGGTTATTTATCATAGCCATGGGAAATGGCCCATTTATAGATGGTTTACCTATTAAAAATGGGGATTTTCCATGGCTATGTTAAATAACCAGATGGTAAATGGAGGTTCATACTCCTGACATCTCCTGACTATATGACTTGATAGATTTTGACCCATCTCCAGTTGACTAGTTTCAAGTTGGGATTCAGAATGTTTCAGACTGCGCTAGGCTTTCTCTAAAAATATCGTGCCGTTGAAAACCTCATCTTCCCTTTTTGTAGAAGCGCTGAAGGTGGGCGCTCAATCCCCCATTTCTGGACTTACTCAGTTGGATCTGAATATGAAAACCATGCTCTAAGATGTTCTCCCGGAAAGAGCCCTAGGTTGCCTGAGATCAGTTTACAGTAAGACTTGTGTCCAGTGTGCCGTTGGCATACCCAGTCATTGACCGCAATGCTTGAACACTTGTACAGAAAGTTAGCTATGGTTCATGATTGGATTTAGATTCGATTTGGAACCGAGCACATTAGGGGCGCTTTTCGATTCTTTGCATGGTAATTTGCCTGTATACATTGGGTCATATCCGGGGTAAATGCAAGCAATTATCGCGTACGTAACATGATAAGCGTATTATTGTGTAATTACAATACTATATTCTAGGATGGATTGTGATGGTGGGGTCATATTCTTTCATCCGGAAACGGCCATTCTTCCGGAAATATAATGTGACTTTCGCAAACTTTGGCAAACTCAATGTTTAAATCTTCCGCGGGACCCCTTAGGGGCAACAATGCCTCCTAATGCCTCCTATGAAGACTCAGTCATTACCTGCCAATTATCATAGGTTGCTTTATGATAGCCTTGTAAATATGCAGCTAGCATCATACAATCCCTTCTCAGGACAGATTACTGCTTGTTGGGTACATATTATTTGCAAGGCTTGCGGGCCATCCCGGTCAAAACGAACTTTCACTTTCGCCCGCTCCTTCACGTAGCTTTCGCGCAACTTTTACAAAACTATCCCTATAAGTTATATAATATAAACATTATAAACATGTGTACAATGATGATGCATTATATGAATCATATAGTAATATCAAACTTTTGTCAAACTTTCACGAAATAACATGTTACTTTCGCATTGAAAGGACGTGTCGTATGGCTTCTCCCAGCCTTCCGTGGGACATAGACACAGCCACGATGTCTGGCCTAACGTCACAGGGGCGTGATGCCCAGCATGATGCCCAATGTCTGGGCCCACGATTTAGCTAATTACCCCAAACGAAGGATTTAGATATTTAGTTTCTATATATGATATATATGTTTCTCTAAACTTGGTTTCAATATTCAAAGGTAAAAGATTTTCCAAACAGGGATAAAGATGGATAAAGAATAATGTCAACCCATTCATTATAGCGGCTATTTGGCGGGCATATCATTTCCGTAGCGGATTTTAGCACGGATTTTTGCGGCTACCGCCCTAGTTGATTAAGCAGAGTCTAAAACTCCAGGCTTAACAACAGTGATGGATACCATCTGGTTATTTAACATAGCCATGGAAAATCCACCCATTTTTAATAGGTAAACCATCTATAAATGGGCCATTTCTCATGGCTATGTTAGTCATAACCAGATGGCAAGAGTTCGGCCATTTGGGGATGATTCCCCTCCGATCCTCACCATGGAGAGAAAGAAAGCCATGCCAACTTCTGACTTCACGCTTCACCCAAATGTGCGGACGTGAATCATCTATCAAAGAATGACCAAAGTTGCATCATCTTGTTGAGTGCAAGCCTATATTGTTTGGATATGATCGGAAATGTGCGTGCTTTATGATGCTTTCAATCAGCTCAAGCCTGGGTTCCTTCGTGGTTTTTTGGCGGTCTTTGAAGGTTTTCGGTGCCCCTCTTCTACCCAGAAAAGACAGAAAACCGCTTCCCCTCCGACCAGACCCCTTAGGCGTCTGCTCTGACTCCGAAGGAGCGAGTGGCCTGAATAGATGGTAAGACATGGTAAGCATGTTTGCGATGGAAAATCACATATGTTGGTAAATCATTGAACTACCCTCTGGTTATTTAACATAGCCATGGAAAATCCCCATTTTTTATAGGTAGTAAACCATCTATAAATGGGCCATCTATACCATGGCTATGTTAAATAACCAAAGGGTAAATGAACTGGCCATCTACTGTAAACATAGCTATGTTAAGTTGTCAGAAGGTCACGCTTCAGAGCCCTTCGAAATCTTCGAACTGAGAGCTATCAGGTATCAGCTATGTTTATTTATCAATTTTCAGGGATCATTTGAGTGTCAGACAATGAATCATCGACGGGTATGGTTCGGATCCTGTTTCATATATAGAACTTTGTAGAACTGCATGTTGGATGGTTTTGATTATTTTTGAATGCTAAAATACACGGCAAACCTAGCAAAATCCGTGCCAGTCGAAATCCAGATAGTTCGTAGAAAATTCTTTGCATGGTAAATCGCAAATCCAGATTCTTGAAGGTGTGCCATAATGCGAAAAAACAAAGATGATCAAATTATATATAGGCGTGGTCCTGCTTAGTGTTCATGGGTCAAATCGGTGAAATCCAGTGGGATTCCTGATTCTGGATCCCCAATTTGAGGAAACCTCCATGAAAAAACAATCCTGGAGAGAGCTTATACAGTATATCCCAGCTACAATGGGTCATAACCCTCTCATTCATCATTTACTCACTTCAGTAGTTGTTGTTTTGGTGTTTACCATTAAATTATGATTACACGCAAGTTTTTTTGCGGTGACTGCATACCAATGCTCCATGTACATGGTATATCTACCATGGTTTAATATTGTTTACCTACATTTGGGTGAATTGGTAATCAATGGTAAACAATGTGCTGGGATATTTGCAATGCAATATTTACCATGTGATTAATCAATATTTACTATTAGTATGTATCAACAATTTACCATGTGATTTTTACAAATAATTATGAGTATATTTACCATATTTATTGTATATTACCAAAAATAATATATTACCGTGGTATACCCTTTGGTAAACTAACATGGCTATGGAAAATCACCCATGTTCATAGGTAGATCAGATCAACTATAAACAACCATTTTCAATAGCTATGATAAATTACCAGAGGGTATTATGATCAATTTTCCAGCAAAAAATCAGGGCAATCCACCTGCGGCATCCAAGTACGCGCGGCATCGAAGATAGCGCGACCTGTTCGGCATCTGATTTTTTTTTGGAGCTTGGGATATCATAATAATTATGTTGATATATTATTATACTAATATAATATATCCATATAAGATAATAAAATATAAGAATCATCATCATCCTGATAATGAATACATGATATGATAATCAATACAGGATGGTGTGTCATCAATAATATATTGATAATCATTTCATCAGATATAATCATGATATACAGAAAATAATCATACGTATTGTTATAACAATAATTAATAATCATAAACAACAAACTCAAACAAAGGTGTTTTATTAATTATGATTATTGTTATGATGATTATTTATGATTATGTTGTTATGTTTATAACAATTATAATAATTAAACAACAATCATTAACCATCAGAGTTATCATCATTGTGATGTTTGTCCATCACCATGTTCTCTCAAGGATGAGACGTACGACAAAGGCGCTGGGAAAACGACGTCGTTTTTTCGACAAACATCACAACGGCGACAATTACTGCTGTCATTCTTGTCTTAAGTTGTAAATTGATGATGATGATGATGATGATGATTCTTATTATCATGTCATGATACAAGCATAATATCAGTTATTCATATGGAAATTATGGTGATGATTCTTATAATTACGTAGTTATATATGTTATGATTATTATGATGATGTCTTGTGGCTATTCTCGTCATTGTCGCCAGGCTCCCTCTGTCTAATCCTCATATTAGTTTGAAAATAGGGTACGTCCGACCAAATCTAATAGTCTACAGCAAAGTTAACAGCATTATGAGGTAAGGTATAGCCACTTAGGGGGGTCTAGTCACGTCTAGTCTCAATTTACAGCCAAATCGAAACATGATATTGTTGGTTCTATATCTCATTATAACCACATCGTATTATATACATAGTGGTTGGTTATAAGTTATAAGCCCCCATTTTGTTTGGTAGATTGGGGGGGCAAGTATCCTCTGATCAAAACAATCCTTATATCAAACCTGCTCGTTGTCCATTACAGGTGTTGACTGCAAGAATCATCATATGAAAGCATAGCTCAAAATTCAATGGATTGGTGAAACAAACAATGGTTTGTACCCCCAAATATAGAGGTGTCCTTCATATTTACCCTGAAAAAAACCAGGGAACATGTAGCTACAAGATCGATGGGAATTAATGGGAATTACCTTCTGGTTAATTATTTACATCTATAGCTATGGAACGTGGCCCATAAGAATAGATGATGTATGATGATGTACAATGTACCTATTAACAATGGTGATTTTCCACTTCGCAAAGCCATAGCCGCTACTCCAAAAGTCCACGGACTTAGCCGCGCCCTTTGCGCTCCCACCTCCCACTCGCTGGGACCATCTGCCAAAAATGCTCATGTCAGTGTGAAGCTCTGCTGATGTGGTCTTAAACTGGAAATCAAAAGGATGCGTTGAAAAATACAGATACCATTACAGTACAACAGGATGTGCATTTTGTCTGTCAGAAAAAATTCTTTTCCGGCATGTTTAAGTACAATATTAATATGCGCTATAATTGTGTATATATATACATATATACTGAGTATGCAGCAGCTAATATCGATGATCCACCAGATTATTTACATCTATTTACAATGCGACATTTAATTAAGGTATTTGTCAACTTGCATGGTTTCAGCCACTATCGGCGTGTGCCGCCGACACCCCGTTGAGCTACACACCATGGGAATCTTCGAAAGTCGACTCTAGTGAACCACTTGATTGATGACCATACCCAAACTGCTTGGTGGTTGACCTACCCCTCTGAAAAATGATGGACTGAATGTCAATGGGAAGGATGACATCCCATATATGAAATGGAAAAATATGGAAAATAAAAAATGTTCCAAACCACCAACCAGCAAATGTGGGCAACTTACTCAAGTTTTGATTATGGCTCATGTGCGGGTCCAAACCTTTGAACGCTGATGGACTCGACAATGACTGTCCACATTGGGATGTTCATGAACTAAATTTCGGACCTACCTTCCAGTAATCGAACTATAGCTGCTGCAAACTCCGCCATCTACGATTTTCCCATTATATAAAACCTCTATCCTCCAATTATATCCAATTATGGTGGATTTCCCACCCAGCCATGTTTGATTCCCAACGAGTATTTGGGGTACAAACTCGTATGAATTCCGTGTTTTCCATCTTCCATCACTGTGACGATCCTGCCAGTCACCACCTCCCCAATTTCCGCAGCATTTTCGACATGAAGTCGTATCCGAAAATGTGCCCAGGGGCAACCCTCCGCCGGCTCAACGAGCGAGACACCGCGGGTTCATGGATTGCACAAAAGTCCTTTCGAGACGTGGGCGTTGGACGAATTGGTGCCTCTAAGATGCCCAGTGATGGGTGCTCCATTCAACTCTCCGCAAGCGGCAAAAACGATACGGCGCTTGGATCATGTTGGAAATGAAGGAACTCAAAGAACACATGGGAAAACAATGGAAAACACAAGGAAGAAAATCAGGAAATTACCGAAAAACTTGATCGAACCCGCGAACCCAAATGCACATCACATCCTTGAAAAACAACTAATTGCAACATATTCCAACAGTATTGTGCTCGTTCCTCTGTTACCACACCATTGTAGACTTTGGAGTGTGGAGTGGGAAGTGTAGCATGTGGAGTGAGTGTAAAGCGTTGAGTTTGGAGTGTAAAGTGCGAAGTGTGAAGAAAGTCTGACGGTTGCGGAGACACAGATAAACAACCATTCATTACGCATTCAGAAAAACATGTGTCAACTTTAACTGTTAAAGCTTCAAAAATCAACACGTCTACGGTGACTGCAACAGTTTCAAGAACGACAAACATGGCCGCTGTAAATGGTGGAGAGATGCATGGGCTTGCCGGCACTAAGGCTGTGGCTTCTATGCAAGCTAAAATGCATGCAACTTTCAAGCAGCCGGACACTGCTCTACAACCGCCGGCCCAACTAGGCAGTCCTCGTCGGCTTATGTCCATTGAGATCATCATGCCATTTCTAGAGATGCAAACAGATAAGCATAATTGAAACCACAAACTCAGTATCACTTCGAGCTTCAAAGATTTTACAGCATCTACTACAGGCATATAGTAATATATATAGTATATTAGATAGTATGTGTATTGCTAATTGCTATAGCTTCCCTTTTCTTGCGTGTTTATGTTGGCTTTCGGAACCGGCCGCGGCAGAGACAGAAGCCCGGTCTGAACTTGTTGTGAAAAGCGCCGAGCCAAACAAGCCTTCTGCCTGTCGCTCAAAAAGCCCATACAGGTGATGCTGAGGATTATGATGATTCTGATTTCGATGATAAATATGACGGTTAATGATTATTAGTGATTATTGATTATTATTAATGATTATTAAATGATTATTAAATACAGTGATTATTGGGATTATGGATTGTTGTGGTTATCATGATCAGATTGGTGCATTGGTAGCTTCCGCCACATTTTGCTTGCTCGAGCCCCTGCAAGGAAGAAGTTCCAGATCCAGCATATCATCAGTACTGGCCAACAAAAAAAAAGGCTATTAGGTGGTTCATCGCTGGGATGATTTGAGGGAACCTTTACAGGAAACGGTGCCAGCTGCTGAATGTGGAGCTTCACCCGCAATGTCATAAACCTAGCCATTGGGGATGATTTTCTAAACCCATTTATGGCAATATGAGGATGGTTTCTGGCATTGGGTGTTCCACACTACTTGGGTTACTATGCTTAACGTTTGGGTTTCCGAGGGATATAACGAACAAGTCAATGGGGTTTACACACCAACAAACATCACTGGGGGGCCTCACTTACAGTGGATTTGAAATGATTTGAAATCTGGTTTGGCTTGGTCTTGAATCATCAATGATCACAGCACACTGGTCCGGAATGCGTGCAAAGGAGTCGCGTCGATTCTGCGACCGCCCCAGAGTTATTATTTGAAATTGACCAGGCAACTCCGTCCCAGTGCGTTTGCGCAGGGACAGAACGTCAAAATGGGCTCCAACCGTGAACGCGAGCTTTGGGGTCAAAAGACGGCTGGATTTCCTTCTGGATCCTTCTGGTCATTTCCACCGAAACTGCCCAGTGCCCGGCCGGAAGGAAGCCCCCTAGGTGCGAAGGCCATGGAAAATATACAGAATCACTCTCACACCAAAGTATTGGACAAAACTCCTCAGATATTGCGGTCCTGGCGAGAATGGAACAGAAACGACCGGGGCACAACAGCGAAAGTCTGGGTCCCCCAAAAGCTTTAGTGCAATTAGCGTCCAATAACAAATGATTCTGAGTGAGATTCTGCAAACTGAAGCAGTATGGACCCGGGATGACTAAAATGCATTTAAATGATGTAAAGTAAGACCCATATATGTTTTGGACATCTTCAGCACTTTAAACACCGAAACAAGTTTAAAAATAAAAATCAAGCTTCACGGCACGACAGAAACTCACCATCAAGTGCACAATGTGGGCCACCATAGTTAGCTAACAGCTAACTTACTTTATAAATACCTAAAGAACCCAAAACTGATAAATTTGTAGATGTTGAGTTGAGACATCATCTTTCTGGTACTCAAATGGGGAAACATCGTATTTTATGAAAACATCGTATTTTTACCCTCATCAGGAAACAATGGAACATTCTTTGGAAATTCTATAGGATTTTCTATCCATATTCCCACATATCCCACGCAGAGGGCTTACAGGGCATGGAACTGGCCACAAGATTGGCCTCATGAATGATGATTCGCAGCCAAGAAAGAAACAATCATCCTCAGGGAAAGGTGCAATTATTTCTGAACATTCAAGAGGTATGATAAACAAACCAACTGTAGACCTCGTGACCCACTGGATCCATCTCTGGATTTCTGTCAACCCTGCCGGCGAAAGCCCATGGTTGCTTTTTGATCCGATGCAGAAGGCTGGGTTTTCTCCTGCGGGTACAGGCCGTGGTTTGTGATAGCAACAGCTGGAATAGATTTGGATGCTAGCAATGCAAAACTATATAATCATGGGTCACCTGGTTTTGAATGGGTTTTGGATGTTTTAGGGATTCGAAACTATATGGACGTCATTCCAAGTTGTTGGAAAATCAGGAAAGAGAGAGACATGTACAAATGAAGCAAATTTGGCCCAAATCATTTTGAGGCTGGCAAAGCCTTTGCATTGCCTTTTCATAATGTCATCGTCAGAGAACCTTGGAAAGCCGAAGCTTCCCATTTCTGGGGTTAGCGAACAATGGGAGAGCTACAAAGCCATCAGGGACCACATGCACACCAATGGTGCTGTGCTGTTCACTGATTCAGCAGCGGAGTCAGTCAAGGCTTGTTGCGTTGACTACGTTTATGATTTGTTGACACCACTGTTGGTAAAGATGCGTACTACAGAGGGCAGTCCCCAACCAAGTGTTGAACCTTTGAGGGAAGAACTGTCCGATTTGTACAAGCGTTATTCCAAGAAGGTGATCGAATCACAGATCATCCTGGACTCTTGGGTGGTTAGAAAGTTTTTGGGCTTCATCAAGATGAAGTGTCGCATCCGAAAGCCTTCGACAGTACCTTGATGAAAAAGATGAGAAAAATCAAACCATGTATATTTTACCATTGGATTTTCTGGTTGTTTCTTTTGGACTGTTTTCCCATTCTTGTACACCAACACATGTGTAAACAAGTGGTTTAGATCGCCAGCATATAATGTATATCAGACCCTTTGTCCCTCTGTCCTGCGGCCCAAGGTAGAGAAGTTTCAGCAACTTTGTCTCCTGCTTGATCCGAGTCTTGAGGAGGGGGCTATAGCTTGTGATGAGCAAACCTATTATCTATCCCATATATGACGCATGTATAAAATCTGATTAGGGAGATAAAAACCAATCAAATGAACCACAGTGATGTAGTGTTACAACATCTTACAACCATGTGCACAGGTATCCACAGGTATCTGACCAATCCATGCCAACAGGAGTTGGTGCGTGTGATCAATGAGCGGGAAGAGGCGAAGAAGGAGGCCAAAATCAAAGCCCGTTCTCTGAAGGCGGCGGGTTCCAAAGAAATCCAGCAATCGTGGCCAACTATAGCGGCTAGCGGTTTTTCAAAGTGCAAAGATATATAAAGGTTCTAGGAGTCGAATGTTTGGCGTCAAAAGCTTTGGTGATCTTGGTGGGTATAGACTCTCTCAACTACATACTGTAGCGAATTTTAAAATCTGAGATCCCTACTTTGAATTGTAGTTGGCACACTGTATGACCTTCCAAAAAGTTTTGACACATACATTCTTGACTAGTGGCCCTTCTTGCCAGGACTCTGCTGGTGCTAACACTGATCAACATGATGGGCCGTCGAGCAGCAGCAGCGGCAGCAGCAGCGATTCTGATGTTGAGATTGATGGCGCTGACATCCCTGTGGCTGAACACCCCAGGGCCGCTTCAGTAGGTGAAGAGGTCACCCCCACTGCCACACCAGCTGTGACAAGTGCACCCGCTCCTGCTGATGCACCATCCGTTCCAAAGCCAGAGAGTCCTGAAGGCCGCGGGGTTGGGCTGCCTGAATCTTCTTGAAATCAAACAAATTCAAAACATGGTGCCAATACAAACGTCTTTTGGGATTTTACTTTTGGGATTTTGAATTGTTGTAGATAGAGGGTTTGAAGTCTATGTACCAAGTACTCAAAATTAATTAATGTTATGACAGCCATGGCCTTTGAGGCCACAAACCCATACGGTGCAGACGGCACTGGTATATGTCCTCGTCCCTGCCCCGGAGAGGTGGAAACCACGGAGACAATCCTGTGCCGATGGATGCTGCTGCTAAGTTGGCTGCTACGAAGGAGCGCTTACAAAAGTTGGGGGCCAAGTTGTTCTATATAGTGGATGCCAATCCTATACTTCCATGTGCACTATATAAATCGTGCAATTGGCTGGGGTCATGCTCCACATTCCTGATTGTAATTGCAATGTATGTTTGATCACACATTATGACAAGCGCAGGTCGGTCCACTATAAAATAACTGTACCATATAAAGCTTTTGATTTCCCATCAAAATAACCGAATCATGCAGTGTACACAAAATCCCAATGCGCTATGTTGTTATACCCCATGCCTTTCAACCACAAGGTTGCGGGCTGAGAAGGCAAAGTTGCTGGAAGACCAGAGAATTCTTGCAGCGCAAGTTCCAGGAGCGGCGTGTTGATTTATCTCTTTTGGACATCCACCATCTTGTTTCAACAGACTACCTCATACACAAGTATGCATCGGTTATTAATCAAGAGCATTCAAGAGCCTATTATACAGTGAAAATTTTGATCGGTTTTCCAAGGTTGGTTCTGTGACAATCCAAGTCTTTTGTCTATAGCCAAAAGTTAAAGGTCGATCCATCTATATATGAAGAACTGCATTGGGTCCAAAAAAAAACTATATGTCGCTCATGACGCAGGCGCCAAGTCTGGCGGTGACCCTGCTGCGCTTGATACTCTACCCATGGACACCTTGCAAGCTCATGAGGTTTTCAATGAGCACTTGGTTAAAGGGACACCTGATCGCGATGTATCCCCTCAAATGTCGTCTGGAGAACGCAGAGAACAATACAAAGTGGCGAGTGGTAAGGCGGTGGACCAACCATCAGAAGTGCCACAAGCTGTTGTTCCTTCCCAAGGTCCTTCTTCTGGAACAGGAGATGCACATCCAGAGCCTGAACACAAGAAGCCAGAAGCTGATGGGAACGAGGAGGGTCTGTAGAAATCTACAGTGGTTGGGATGTTCCTATACCATGATTGTATTTGACACGCATTTTTCCAAGTATATATATAGATACAACCACAAAAAGGAATTAATTTGGACTTTCAGGGATTTATGCGGGCAAAATCATGCATGAAATGAGGTTGAACCATAATCTATCCAGGAGAAACCTTGTCAGGAGCCTTTTGAAATTGATGATGACTACGTGACCAGGGATGACCAATTGAACTTCAAGTCCACTAGGAAGGGCACCCGTGGGAAAGGAAAGAAATCCAAAGGTAAGAAATCCAAAGGCAAGAAATCCAAAGGTGGGAGCAAGAAGCCCAAAGGGAAACCCAGTAAGGGTAAGTCCAGCAAGGGGGAGTCATCAACTGCAGTGCCCAAAGGTCGGAGGAGGAAAATTCTTAGCGCTGGTAGCTCTGAGGTTCCTGTAGAAACCCGTGCTAAGAAGAGTAGAAGGGCACGTAACACCACCCCCGCAACTGAGCCAGCACCTGCAGCAGTTGAAGAACCCGGGGCACTTGCAGGGAAAGATCTCAAACCCAGAGCAGCCCGCAGGGCAGCCAAGGCCAAAGCAGCCCCCAGGGCCTCCAAGGCCAAAGCAGCCCCCAGGGCACCCAAGGCCAAAGCAGCCCCCAAGGCCAAAGCAGCTGCAGGGGTAGCCAAGGCAAAAGCAACACCCAAGTCGGCAGCCAAAGCGAAAGCCAAATCCCGTCCACGCAAAACTGCTGTGGATGCATTGCTTGTGCACCCACTTCGATCTGACCAGATGATCTTGGATTTGATGGAGTGGGTGAATCAGTTTGGAGTTGAGTTTGACCCCCCCAACCAGCTAGAGCAGTACAAGGCGGAAGTCCGAAAGTCCACTGTGGCTTTGCTGAAGACGGCCTTGAACATCTATTGGAGCCGTTGCTCTTGTGGTGTGAGATTGATGGACGCGAAGTGTGACACACATTATTTTTCTTTCAACACAAGTGTTGCAAAGGAACGTCTCAGATGCTCTATGTCAATCCGCTGTGCTGAACTTGCTGTTTCTAGGTTCAACCGCCATCATAGGACAGTTCATCGGTATTTTCATGTTAATATATTCATTTGCAACCCAAATATTTCAGGCTCCACTTATGATGCAATAAGTTGAATTCATTATATCATATAGAACATGTGTCTTGTTTGTGTTAGGTCTTTTCATTGAAACGGGGTGGGCTGTGAAGGAGTTACCAGGCTGGTCAAGAATGCAAGTGATGTTATCCATTTTTGTTGATATGTGCACTGTTCTTACTCGAGGTATAAATGTGTCCTGCAGGGTTTTTGTTACATGTTCCAAACCCCAATTTCCTCTTCAATTCAATACTATTTTTTCTCTATGGGTGACTGAGGCTTTGGGGACTGAGAATGGCCACCCTGGCTATGAGCACGATGGTGAGGAAATCCAGCGACTGAAGGTGAACGGTACTTTGGCTATGCTGTTCGTGACGGATCCTTGGAGAAATGATATGTGGTAAGATCTTTTCTGTACACTTTGGAAAAAATGTTGGCTTCAAGGGGTTGATCCCGGTTGTATATATGCGGCTGCACTTCATTGAAACTGATCGCAGCAAACTATATACATATGCCGGGTTTTGAAAGAAAGTGCGGGCTAGGCTTACAGCAAGCCACGGCCAACAATCTTTTGGGGTACAGGTTGCAATACTGAGCTTGGAAAGTTCTGGGGTGTATATCTGGCAAAGCCCGTGATGATGTGACTGTATATCAAGTTCCTGTGTTGAGTTTCTAACATATCACACCCATTGAAAATATACGCATTTTTTCCATCCTGAACCACAAGTCTATAGTGAAACATGGTCGCAGTGAGGGCTTGCCAGATATGTGATTTCACATGTTTCGCCGGGCTCCTGGGCAAACCTATCATGGATCGATTGAAGAATCGAAGAATTCTTCTTTGACAGCGGATGACGGGACAAAAACATCGCCGACAACGCCGGTTCATATCGTGATGTTGGTTGGGTGGATTATCAAATTATTAATATATCATGCCATGGTTCCCCAGCATAAGTTTTAAAATTAAAATGTTTATATATTTTTCTTCATGGCAATTGATTTTGATATTGCATATTGTTCCCAACATTTCCCGACTACATAGTTTCCATCAAAACCACAGCAATCAAACGAGGGAACACCAGCCACCAGTCAATCCGCAAGCTTCTTGGGCCAGGCCTGTACCAGATGCCCTTTGGATCTTCGGGACGGCGCCTGTTCAAGGTTCGAGCGCAATTCCACAAGAAAACCCGTGCTTCTGGCAAGTTTTGTGGAATCACCGGGTTGTCCTTTGAAACATTTATCAGTTTCTCAGTTCTCCAGGTATCTGAACCGTTGGTAAAGCGGATTATAAAAAAGATCGATGCATATCCAGAAGCATGCATGCAATGATGAATCTTGAACATATATATATATACAATACATACATGGTTCAATCGATGTGTTTGATCTATCCCACAAGCTAGGATGTATATGGGTTACTATGGGTCGAGGTTGTGATTCAACTTCTGAGGATTCGCATGGGTTGTGCCGCAGCAATTTACATAGTCCAAAGCCAGAGCCAATTGAGCCGATATACGAGTTGGCTTGTCATTTTAGGATCCAATGGCAGCGCTTGATGTAAATGCGCTGTTGTATCGCATGAAAGTCCTGAATTGCCCCAAAGTTTGGTGCTCAAACATATGGCAACAGTACCATGTCATATATATCAAACTTGATGCGCTGAATCTGTGATCGACATACCCCATGGCCTTGCCTTAAAACTTCCATCTCTGAGGTCTTTGCGGCCATCGTCTTGATGATCATGTGGACACCTACCATCAACTTGACAGAGGATTGATTTGGCGGGTTGCCGGGGAAAGGAATGGTGGGACACTAATGCATATAATGGGGCTACTTTATATGCATGTAATTCTGGAAACTTGGAAGTATGGAGCTTGACTATATACATGCATTAAAAAGTTACGTTGTTATCCTGCACACGAATCATATCCTTTTGGTCCACTGCATATATATTTATGATGCTTTGTTCTCATGATATATATGCCTTAATTGGTGCAGGAGTTCGATGTTCTTGAGTTCTACGCTGGAAATGGCAATTTGTCTCGCTATTGCAGACTTGCCCAGTTGCGGACAGGCTCACTTGACATTCTGTATGAAATGCAGACTGGACGAAAATATGGTACCAACCCAATGGACATGCTCAGCGTCTCCGGGTTTGCGTTTCTGGGATTTTTTTCAGACTTTAGGATTCTGAACGGCCCCGGGGCTTAAGTTTGATTCAGGGGTCGATGGTTCAAAATAGCAATGGACTCAGAAAACCTGCCCGGTCTCCGGCTTTGCTCAGGCTGGCAGTGGCCTGCATTTTGAAGTGTCATCGCCCACACTTCCTGGCAATGTTCGCCATCAAGTGTTCTAGCTTCACATCAATCAACCAGGGCACTTCAAATCGTTCAGCATGCTCAAGTGTGGGGTTTGATGACTACAACAGCGTGGCATATTCCAACACCCTTTTGGAGCGGAATCCTGCATAGATGATATAATATATTTTGTGAACCCCCTTTTCAATGTGATCTCGGCGCATGGTCTTTGACACACAACTGTTGTGATTGTATAATTGTCCATGTATGTGCATAAATGTTGAAGTTGACCTGCATGGGTTTTTGCCATTCAGAATTGAGGACAATCATGCTCATGATCTTAGTTACAATCCTTGACGGAACCTGGTGCCTTGAACAACCTGGAAATTCGTATTTGGAATTCTACCCCCTCTTTCGAAACTTCATCGCGGCTCTATTTGAATCTCAGGGAGACAGCGCTGTTACTACCAATGCAGATTCAGCAACTTTTGGGGATTCAAATATAGCTGATTTTCATTAATTTTCCAAATTGTTTTTTTGGGACCTGTTTAATCATGCATGGCCAAATCTCAACATGACGAAAACACAATCCCAACTGGTCATGGCTGCCAGGTTTTTCGGACCCAATGGTGGATGGCTCACTATTGCGGGAGAACGCCGAAACGTCACTATGGCTATTCTAATAGCCAACACGTCCAGTCTCTGGACAAGGGACGCCTAGTTGGATGGAAGAACCGAGACAAATCTTTGAAAGTTGAAACAGCTGTTCAATACAGAGATCGCACTGGACGTCTCCGCTACAAGGGGACCAAGCAATTGAAGAAAACAGAGCTACCTGACTTTACCAAGTTTATTCGATCTTCATAAATGACTCAATACCACCAGTTTCCAATTTCACATGAACTTTGACATTTGGAATCCTAGATTGTTCATGGCCGGGGATTACGCTTTTGGTCCATCCCAAACAGTATAATACATCATAGTGCATTACACACCGGAAACATTTTTGGATGTAACTAATGATTTTGGTACTGGACACCTGTTGTTTTGAGCCACCGATCTAAGGGAATATCCTATTCAATTCGGACGAGCTATAGTGGATCTCTTTGACAAACTGGCTGCATCTTCACGGGGGGCTCCTCCTTTGCCAACCGATCTTCCCGATGCTACGGCCTCGTTCCAGGCATTGCCAGATGACGAATCGTCCGCTGGCCTTCAGTGCGCTGGGTTGATGCCAGTGTACGAGTATTTGAGACGGGGGAAACACCTTGTCATTCCACCAGAATGGGTTCCGTTGATCCCCAGGCCATGAGTATTTATTTTCTTCAAAATATTTGGGGTGGCATAAAACTTGAACATATTGGCATTGTATTTCCAAACAAGTTTACCATATATACATGTCGATATATGCATGGAATGTGATGGGTATAGCCGGTATAGCACATACCACTTGCTGGCCCAGACCTTTGCTAGGATGCTTTTCTATATGAAATCCTTGGATTTACTAATGGGCAATTACCACACATTGAAGTCTTAGTGCTGATGATATGTTTGCGCGAAGGTCTGCATCCCAGCATTGGTGTTTTGCTATGCTACAAGGGGAAAATCGGAGCCCAAGGTAGAATTTTGGAGGATCCGAACTATGTTTTTGAACAATTTTTAACATTTTTTCTGACACTTTATGATTTTTTTCAGGTTTTGGGTGTCCTACCCGTAGAAAACCCGTAGAAAAGCCGTGGAAACCCGTGGAATTTTGAAGAAACACCGTGTTTAACAAAAACATCGTTTTTTCCCAACCCGTGGAGAACCCGTGGATTACCCGTGGAAACCTGTGGAGAACCCGTGGAAATATATGGGTTCTGGGGCCTCCAAAATGAAATGATATTAAAGGGTTTTTCAACCTTATTTGTAGAACCGATTGCCGTGAAGTGGCACTAATTCGAAGGGGTGACATTTGAGATGACGTGGAAAAAGGTGACATCTTACGCTTATAAGGTATGAACTGTTGGTGTTCACTGGCTGTGCCAAAAACATTGCCTTTTCAACTTGCTGATGTGGATCATATATGGCCTTAACTTCATTGGGAATTTGTTTTTCAGGGTCACAGCACGGTACCGACGGTTCTTTCCATTCCTTGGGGATTGATTTGCCATGGCGGTCACATCCACCTGTCCTACAAGTTCTAGAGTTTGGAGCTGCGCCACCCTCCGGGATGGAGTGGAAGATGTGGCATCCAAGCAAAGGGATATGGAGCGGGAGGAACAGGAATTGGAGAGGCAAATCGAGGCCCCAGCTTTCACCATGCAATATAAAATAATTCCAATCCATCATAATCTTTACAAGCCAATGCATGCATGCATGCAGGTATAATAACATAAAACTGGCAACCGATCCTATTTGCAGGAACTGGAGAAGGAGGAGTACCTACTGAACCAACTGACTCTTGACCAGGACCAGGAGCAGAAAGGCTCAATGGTGGATGCTACTTGTCTATATGTCGGGAAATCCTTTGACATATTAAATCTTGAGGTTGTCAATCTTTAGGAAATCCTGTTGTGATTTTAATCTCGATCGATATAAATATATATATTTCAACACCCATTTCAGATAATTATATTTCCCTTCTCCCCTATATTGTCAAATTTGGTACGCTCTACCTTTGTAAACCTGAGGACTCCGCACATGTTCAACATCTGCAAGGGCAAGCTTCGCCTGAAGAAGAGACGCAGAAGGCCTTTCCGGGCTAAGACCTCGATCTCTTATAGCATATAACTTTAGAAGGTCTCAATTTTACATGCATAATATCTATATCAGAATATTATACGCAAATCTGTTGATCGTTTGCTGAAACTTAAGGGTTATTTTGTATAACAGCTATATAACTGAAATTTACCCTTCAGTGTAGCACAGGCCACGGATGAAGAGCTTCAAGCAGCTGGGCTGCCCCCACAGGATCAGAAGGCTGCGGGGCCAGACCTGGGATGATGGTTGCACAATGGTATACCTTGCATAATCATATCAGTCCCAATTTTTTAACAAGTCAGTATAATAATAAATGCAAGACAATGATGGTGATTAGTGACCCATCCTGGAGAGACAAGAAAAAAGAAACGAACAAACAATGTCACCGGCCAGGAGATCTTGAATGGCGAACCGACCAGACCGGTGGCTACACCTGCTCGTTTGGCACATGACGGAGCTGATCATAGCAAACCAGCAGAGCCAGAGATTGTTGCATCACCAAAGGTTCCAGAGGCCCCTTTGAAAACTTGAAAACTATAAAGGGTATACCCTTGAATGAAGCGGTATACATGATATTTTATGTTTGGAGGTTGCACTTCCATGGAAACCGGCGAAACCACATGTAACCTTTATATATACGATCCATGCATGACTATTCTATAGACATCATTGCATCATGCAGGCTTAGCCTCACCACTATATGGATCCCTTGGCATATGATCTCGAAACATATCAATCACAAAGAGTTCCAACCCTTATCCTTATCCCCTCTACCGGCAGGCGGGTCCATCAGCTGAGTCAGCGACTGCTCCATCCAAAGATGGCACGAAGCGGCTGCGCACGCGGCAGGACTCCGCCCCTGATCACATGCTGTGAAAAAAACATGCGCTGTATCGCATATATATATATAATATGATAAATACACCACAAGAATTATAAAAATATATGGCTTTTACATACGAGATGGTAACAATTGCACATGCATATATGTAGTGCTGATCATGACCCACACCGTAGGAGCGTCTTCGTGAAGCGGCGAAACAGCGAATTCGCCGGATGATCCAACACCACAAAAGACCCCATCTCAATGTTCCACAATTCGTGATCGATGAGTGGAAAACCAGAGATCAGAACACAGTAGCCCAGATTCTCATGGATGCAAACTGGGGCAAGGCCTGTTGTAAATTGGTTTTGCGACGTGCTTCATGCTTTCAGTTTATCTTTGATCCATGCAAACAAAAATACGGTATACTCACTGAATATTATATTGGGATGCGCTATATAGATCTATACATGCATAGCAGTTTCCGTGCCAACAGGCTACCTTTGTGGCACAGCTTGAAGTCATCGTCACTAAGAAGAAGACTGTCTCCGTTCGAGTGGAGGAGCAATGGATGACAGAGAAGGAAATGAAATCAGAGCTTCAGTGGACACCGTTTCTTGCCTTCTAACATTTCAAACCAGCTCTCTTTTGTAAAGAAAGAGTCATATAAAGAAAGAGTCATATTTAGACTGGTATAGTTGTGCTTGGGGATGTTTTATATATGTTCTAATCTTTTGGCATTGAACAAGATCCAAATTCCAGCCAATTTTAACCATATAAAGTTTGCACACCACCTTGGGGTCCTTCCGCCCAAGGGCCCGCATTGCTGGAGCGAAGAAAACTTGTGAAGCCAAAGGTGAGAGCCACTGCCGGACACTTTGCATTATATATCATTTGGGACCTTAGAAAATGAAATTGCACATGTGCCCCAGTATTATGTTCTCAACCTCTGGATTCAAAATCATAAATCGAAATCCAAAATCGTTGTCCGTTGCCACTCTCAGGAAGAATGCTTATGATGGTGAACAGGAGTACTACATCGTGACCAAAGAAGTGGGAGCCCGACAAGAGGAACGCACCCAGGAAGAGATCCACAGGTCGCAGAAAAAGGCCATACTTTTGTGGGCGCTGTCTCGATAAATGTATATTATTTTGCCGTTTTACTTGGATTATAGGTATATACGATATATAATATATGTCGGTCTATATAGTCATGCTGAATTACCATTATACAATCCCTTCTATAAAATGTCTCCAACCATCCCAAACAGCCAGGCAGACGATGGACCAACTTTGGACAAAGATGCCTTCGATGGTTTGGCGAAGGCCGCTGCCAGGAAGGCTGCTGACGATGCCGATGCAGATCCTAACAACCCAGGTGGAACCGGGGGTTCCCAAATTCATGAGGCTGGAGAATGCTTTACATATAGACTTATATTGGATGATCAATGCATGCATGCATGTGTTTGTAAAACGTTGTACTCATTGGCCAACCCTGTCCAGACCAAGTCGACCTTCACAAAGTTTATGCAATCCATGCTGCAGAAATCGGGCAAAATCAGATCCCTTGTTCGAGAGCTGAAAGAGAAGTATGCCAATTGTGATACCACCAGTGAGCGCCTTGTATTGAAACCTAAGATCACCCCATGCAGTAATATCAGTATGCTGGTGTATCAACACTTGATTGTTTCATTCATTTTTCCTCATATTATATAATATTCAATCCCAATATCAGGAACGTCAACCTTTTGCAGACCGGCTTGAAGACGATGGACGAGGAGTATGACAAATGTTCAAATCTGATGGCTCAAGCTCAGTTGAGTGGTTTTGACAAGGAGTGATTTGTCTTTATTCAGTTGTTTGACATGTTGCAGTATATATGATTCATTAAACTTATATAATATATAGTTGTTACATCACATGCTTCAACCCTTATACAAGCAAGGTTTGTCAAGAAGGCCAACAAGCGCATGGCAGACGCCACCTACAAGTCTAAACCTGAGGATATGTATCCAAGTCTGCATAGTACGTATATATTGTAAACACTGCATGAGATGTGCATCTCAGTTCAATGCAGGTGTCCTCCACATTCTTTAGGTGCAGCAGCATTTGCGCAACTGAAATGAAGGTTCGGCTCAAACCTCAGCAAGTGTAAGATTTATAAAGAACGTTCGCTTGGTATCAATGTGTTGTGAAACAAACCGTGACAACCTTTTTTTGTTCATTTCAAGTTTACATCTCTGCAAGGAATGCCAAGAAGTACGAGAAGCGAGACAAACATACTGATGAGCAACAACTCAAAAAACCAAACGGTCCAAGAAGGAGAAGGATGGCAAAGGCAAGAGGAATCATGATGATGATGATGAGGATGCCCCGGAACCGAAGACCAGGAAGAGCAAGAAAATCAAGAATGAAAAGTGACCCAAAGGGTCATTGGCGAATGTTTTGGTGGATCTTGCGGGAAATCCGTGTTTGATGAAACATGGAACTGAAGAACCTGTTTGATTCATAATCTCGATGTCTTAGGCAATTGCGAGAAATTGCAGTTGATTCCAGTCTCGGTGTAGTGTGGCTTTGCTGCTCGCCATGGTTGTTCAAAGATTCAACACAACATATCGATCCATCATCATCTATATACTTTGAAATGTTTCTTTTGGAAAATTGGATTGAAATTGGGGATGCAGCAGCAATGTTTGCCGCACTGGCCACCCAATGGAGTTTCGGCAGGGAGTCGGAGGAAAACTGTGGAGCTTTCCCAGAAACTTTCCCATTCCCCATGGCTGTTGACTGATGCAACTATGATGTGAATGTCAACGGATCATTGAAAAACCAAAGTTCTATGTACTGGCCATGTACATATATACATGCACTCAAAAGCATCTTAGTCTTAGATCCCCCCTCATGATAATCTTTACCAGTGTGCACCAATGTGCCATGCCAGGTGCTGGACGTGCTTTGAAAGCCATCGCCGGCGACATCGGCACAGGGGTTGCAACCTCAAATTCAGAGCGGCAGGTGAGAGCAGACACCACTTCATGAGACAAACCATGTATCGCAGCCACATGGGCCCATATTCAGAAGAAAGCCAAAAATTTGTGGACAGTGATACAGTCTTATAGAGATCGAAAGAGTAAAGTCTACCCAAGTTACAATGACAATCTTTCAAAACATCTTTCATCAGAATTGACCTTGAACATGGACAGGTTTCTGGCAATTCAAATTCAAACGCATGCCTTTACATATGAGCGCATGGATCCTTTGGTCCCATGCCCTACCAGCTGCATAGCTATGAAGAATCAGCTGAAGATGAGCTGATTGATCTCTTATCATGCCACCGTTCAGACTCTTGAAGATGATATCGGATATTTTTTTAATGTTTTTTGTTTTATTGGATTGTTTCAAGTCTTGTTCAAAACTTGTCCTGCCACTCCACCATGTTCCAGGAATCTGAGGGCCCATACGCGTGGCGCCAAATTGCACCAAGCCGATCACCTGCCACCAGGAAAGGCTACCAAGTAAGTGATGCTACCAGTAAATCCTGTGAGGTGGCTTTTGGGAACATGCCCCTATACCCAAATGGACCGTTGTGGTCACAATGCTTGTCTCCAGACTTGCTTGCGAAGGCCAGCCTTCAGGACATAGTTGCAAAGGCAACGTCCGGAGCCATGAGCTCTATCATTGACTTTAGGCTGCCCCCTATCAATGCAAATGCGGGTGGTGTACTTCGTCATGCTGTTCAAACATTGGAGTCACTATTCAAGAAGCATTCACCCATGATCTTCAAAGTGGGATACACCCATGATCCAATTTGGAGGTGGACAAACAGATTGTATGGGTACCACTCTTCCAGGGACAACTTTGCAAATATGACCGTGTTATATGTCAGTGATGAGCCCTATAGTGCTGCAATGCTAGAAGCTTCACTCATTGAAAAATATTGCAGTACCTTGACTTCTGAAATTGTTACATGAATTTATATGTGTCAAACGTTTCCCCCAAAGGTGGTTTGGACCATTCTTTTCATGTATATGCTTGATCTATAAATTTACAATAATCGAAATTATATCGAAATTATTATCGGATCGATCACTTTCAATCCCTCAAGCCCTTTTAACTCCGTTGTCCTGCTGATTCTCCAAGGTAAGCCGGGCTGCCGCAATGTGCGATTTGGTGGGGACAACGTGAAACCATCTGATCAGGTGGATGGGGTTCACATGGTCTACTTCGTCTTTAGATCGTTTGCTGTCAAACCATATGGACGCATTGTGAGATCCAGAGCTGTATAGAGATCTTTTCTTAAAGTAGTTGCCTCAAAAGAGGCCTCACTTGAAAATCGAAAGCATGGACCAATATGCTGTTTGCGCCATGCACGTGTGAATGCATACGTGTGTGGACATAAAGATATCGAGTTATTTTGATAACTTCGGAGAAAGAATGCGAGGCGAAAAGTGCAAGGCTCTGACAGGCAAAGCTCAAGGGTTTTGATAGGTTTTGACTATACAACTTACCAAAGCTCACTTGGCTCTTTTCAAAGGCAATCTACATGAGTTCATATAGTTGAACCCCTGCCCTCACATGCTTTCAGATTTCACTATATAGAACTCAGACTTCTTGTGTCGCTGAGGCTAGCTCCTACAGATCCGCGATTAGGACGGCGAAAGGAGTGGTCGCTGATGTTGGTGAATCAGTAGCTTCAGCATCTGGTGGACTAGTTCAATTGGCGAAATGTAGTGAAGCCCATTCTGAAAGAGATGGGCAGAAAGTGATTGGAAAGAAATTTGGGTTGACACTTGACGTTGAGTTTACAACTCTACCCAAACCTCCGGGTGTCACCTACCCTGGCGAACTTTGCATGCTGAAGTTGAAATCTTGGATGAGTTTCATTGTATCAATGCACTGTGTTCACCTCTTGTGCGGCTTGCACCAAAAAGACCCTCCCAGGGAAAGAAGCATCTTGGCATCTTTTTGGAAACGGTTTAGATCGGTGAGACCCACACACGAAATGTGGAAGTTGGTGGACGAAGGTAAACTGGACCTTCAGAGGACCATACCACTTGTTTGCCACGGCGATGAAGGCCGAGGTAAAAAAAGAAGTGGTTTTCTGGTGATATCATGGTCATCAGTGCTTGGCTTTGGAACTCAGAGCGCCAACTCTACGAGAACAACACACCCCTACAGACAGCAACGTTTGAACTACATTGGATCCACGTATCTGACTCGTATGGTTACATCTGCCCTTCCCAAGATGGCACGCGAAACAGCAGCTTTGACTGAGATACTTCGTGCAATTGCAGATGATGCTAATGAGATGATGAAACAAGGGGTTGTGAATTCAAGTGGGGAGAGGTTTTTCACTGTTTGCATCAACATTGTTGGAGATTGGCAATGGCTTGCGAAATGCGGTTCTTTCACTCGCAGTTGGAGTAATTGCAGCAAAAGGCCAATGACTGCCAGGAGTGTTCCAAAGGGTATCTGCCACCTATGTATGGCAGATACACGTGGAGTACCATGGGAAAACTACAAGGTGTACGATGTTGACAACAATGTTTTGCCCACTTGGTACCCAACTATGTTCACTGTTGAACCTTGGGAAACGCCACCACTATTGAATGCAATTCCATCAGTCCCTGGCCAGGAGGCAAGCTTTTATGCCTTCGATTTGTTTCACTCATTTCACCTTGGGGTGGGGAAGATCCTGGTAGCATCTTGCCTTGCCCTTGCTAGTGAACTGATGGCTGCAACTTCAGTGGACAACCGGCTGGAGGAGCTTACAAGCCTCTACCTTGTGTGGGCTGAGGAGAACAAAAAGTCATTGTTTGTGACAACATTTACAAGGGCGAATTTGGCTTGGATGGATACCTCATGTTATCCCAACGGGCAATGGTCGAAGGGACACGTCACCACATGCGTGATGGATTTTTTCATTTCCTGGTCCAGCAAACAGGATTTGAGCAATCACCCCTTGTTGAAGATGGGCTTGGAAGCTTGTGAGGAAATCAGTGAATGCTTGAAGGGTTTATATCACAATGACATTTGGCTGTCTCAGGCTGAAGCACTTCGCATTTCTCGCCATGGAATGAGATTTTTGGAGATTTACAAAACTCTGGCATGTCAGAGTTTCAGACAGGGCAAAGCCCTGTTCGCGAATATGCCGAAAAACCACTCACTTGACCATATATTTTTTGGTCTTTACCAATCAAGTCTTGCTGCCAAGTGGTCCTTAAACCCGCTGATCTGCTCCATGCAGGTATTTGAAGATTTTATAGGTCGTTGCAGTCGAACGTCAAGGAGAACCAGTCCCCAACAAGCTGTCAGGCGTACATTAGAAAGATGCCTGCAAGCTTCCTACAAAGCATGGTATGATGAAGGATTTATCAGAGAGTGAGATCGCGCGCAGAGAAATATACGTGCTTATTGTGCGTATGAGTGCGCATGGGCATGTGCATTAGATGATTGTCCACACACGCATGCAGGTAATCTATGGTAATCTAACATTCCAGAAAACCTATGTTTTTGAAAACATCGTGTTTTCCATGGAAACATCGTGTCTTATCCAGGTCCTACGAATTTATAGGTTGTTGGATCTCTAGGTATTATAAGTGGCGTTTATAGTATAGTTATAACATGTTATAACTATATTTGTATGGGATTATAAACCAACTTTTAACTGGTAAGTCAAAATCCAATCATAACGTAATGAATCCGATTGCTGCACCTTGCGACAAATTGAAGCCTCCCGATCTCGAGAACTTTTTTTGGAACGTTCCTTGACCTTGAACCAATTGTCCCATCAATTCACGCAAAAAATACAGGAAGATGATCCTTTGATCCTCGGTCTTTGGAAAACCATATCCCATTTAGTAAGTAGTTACTGTCCTGTTTGGTGATCCTGTTTGGCCCTTGGGACTCACCTCCCAAAAGTGGGATGATCTTCCACCTACCCTCTGAAACTTGTTGCATAGCTATATAGATGGCCCATTTCGTTCGATGAAATTTAAAGTAATGTTAGCAATGGTCATTAATTCCATAGCTGTGTATCAAAGTACCGGATGGTTTTTTTCAGATACCCGGCCTGGTAAACAGACACTTTGCGAACTGGAAAATCACCATGCTATTCATGGGAAAACATCCACTATTTCCACTGGGCCATTTTCAATAGCTATGTCCAATTATCAGAGGGTACCATACCCATTAGATCCCATTAAACCACCATAAACCACCATAAATCCCATTAAATCCCATTGAACCAGGCCGGGTATATTTCAAAAAGATTCCACGGCTCCACGGCTCCACAAAATCCGAATCCCTCCTCGAACCGTGCCCCGAACCACGCGGCGCGTCACGCGGCGCGTCACGCGGCGCGTCACGCGGCTTTCTCGCCCTTGTTGCAGGGTCGCAGGCAGGTGCCCTGTCCTGGGACGACTAAGCTGGAGCTAGCCATGAACCATTGGAGAGATCCTTAAAAAAAGGATGTCCTGTAATAATATATATATATGCATATGCATAGATAGAAATCAAATTTATACTACATGTCAGATATCTGATATAACTTGACTATAATGATATAACAAAGGATAACAAAGGTGTATATGTCAATGTGAATCATCGTGCTTTGCGCATTCACAGCGCATACACACGAAGTTGCATCATCTTATATTTTGATCGGACATTGACAGCTAACTGAGACGCACATCTAACGAGGATCAAGATTCACCACACATTTCTTGTGGCGCTCCCAACAGGAAGGGGACCCCCAATGTTCTATTGCACCATCCAAGAATTAGATGTCCATGAAATGAACTACCGTAATATCAGGGTTTCCACCAGAAACTTATGATAAATCCAATTCTAAAAAAATCCAAGTTTTGTTCTTTGAATCCAGATTTTTTGCGGAAAAAAACAACCTCCATCCATCTCCGGCATCTGCTGGTCCTAGCTGAAACAGCAAGCGTTGAATCTCCGTGTCCGAGGCGGAAGGGTTCAGTGGGACGTACCACGTGCGATGGAGCTTGAATCCTGCGCGACGGAAAAAAACTAATGGGGAAGAGTAAGAGGTAGGAATTGATATGATGGTTTTATGTAATGATATGATGGTTTTATAGGATTATATCATGGTTTTATATCAATATAATATTGATGAATTGATGGTTTAAGATGGTTTTATGTAATGATCTGATATGATGGTTTTATAGGATTATATCATTGTTTTATATCATTGTATAATGTTTTTAACCATTATATGATGGCCGTATATTATATTTCCTGATATCACGTGATGGTTACCCTCCTAGATTTGGAGAATCAACTTCATTGTCCTAGGGAAACCATGTCATGAGTTTTCCACTTCTATATAAATATTAACCCTAGGGTATGTTGTTGGTTGGATCATGAATATAATCGATGTTATCAACTAAGTTGTGATAATAAATACTAATATTTATTTAAACAAAAAACAGTATAGTATCCACCGCAATATCTACAATACCAAAATGATTACCCACATTTAGTATCATACATACTCACATTTATAACTTCATCTACTGAACATGTGACCAAACTTGAATGATTTCAAATAGATAAGATAAATGGTTCACCAGCAAGCCTATGCTTGGCCGTGGCTCCAAGTTGGCCCCAAATAATGGTTTGAAATTTAGGACGTTGGAAGGGAACCCCCAAACGATGGGTAAGTTGGGTTACAACTAAGAGAACTTGTAGTTATGGCATATGTATATATATATGTATATATATATACATACATACATATGTATATATATATGTATATATATATATATATGTATATATATATGTATATATATATATGTATATGTATATATATATATGTATATATATATATGTATATATATATATATGTATATATATATGTATATATATATGTATGATTTGTCTTAAATCGGATTAAAAAATAAGATAACATATGTAATGTAAACATATGTAAACCAACTTATAACCCCTCCGGTCCCTTTCCCGAGACATACCAATAGCCCGCACCTGTGATGAAAATCACCATCCCTAATTATACCCTCTGGTAAATTAACAGTTGGACCGTTGGACCCTGAAAATCACAAAACAAAACCCTATTAGTGGAAATTCAGAAATACCAACCCCTATCTGGCAGGGTCTATGTTCATTTACTGGAGGGTAGCAACTAATATGTACGTGATTCCATGAAATGCTCGTAATGACCCAAATGTAGTTCCTTAAAGTCTGACAATGCATATGCGGCATATGCGGGAGACTCAAATTGGGCCTAGTCTTCTCATCTCCTTTTCCTTCCCCCCAATTTTGTGGTTTATTTGACTGGTACTTTGCTATACTGGTAGGTTTCAACCCATCCCAAAACGCCATAATTGGGATCATCCCATGTTGTTTCAAACGGAGTCAGCTAACTCCTAAGAAGTGTAAACAAATCCCCAGGTTCTGAAAGTTGTTTCAATGGTTTTCCCATTGTTTTCCGCCCCGTTTGGTAGGCGGTTTCTTCCCCCAACGCCGCGGCACCTTCGTTGCGGATCCAGGAGATGCTACCTGGGGCTCTAGACATGTGCCAAAGATCATAACTAAGATTACCAAGGATATTAATATCATGTCAAACTCATATCTATGTCTATATATATAATATACATTACAGATTTCTATCGTATACTTTAATGAATATGACTTATTCTAGTAGTGCCGCACAAGGCGGTGGCAGAAGTTTCAAAGATAGACAACTATAGGAGAGGTGAGTTGCTGTGAGGCATGGATGGCAGAGCGAATCCACTGATGGACCGAAAGGTGGTTGGAGCTGTGCTTTTTGGAGTGGTTGCAGTGGTCACCTCACCCACAACTGCTGAATGTAGTGTGGTGTGGTGTAGTTTGTAGTTGTAGTAAGTTGTAGTATGTTATAGTTGTAGTTGTAGATGTAGTTGTAGTGTAGTGGTAGTTGTAGTTGTAGTTGTAATCGCAGTTGTAGTTGTAGTGTAGTGGTAGTTGTAGTGTAGTGGTAGTTGTAGTGTTGTTCAGTGTAGCTGTAGTTGCAGTTGCAGTGTAGAGTAGTGTAGTTGTAGTTGTCTATCTATCTGTCTCCGTTTATCTCTCTCTATCTGTCTATCTATCTATCCATTTCTTTGTCTATCTAGCTATCTATCTATCTATCTGTCTATCTGTCTATCTGCAAGCTTGAAAACGAAGCTATGCGAGACATCCTCATTTTTCAACTTGACAACATCAAAAACGCAACGACTCTGCGAGACTTCCTCCATTGACAACGTCAACGAGCCTACTTTTCGACCCTCCGGAGCCACAAATCATTGGAAAAGCACTGTAACTCGCGACTTTGCTACCTTTTCGCGCACCTGCATCTTCTGTCTTCTGCCTCTTTCTCTTCTCTGATCTTCTTTCTTCTTCTCTTCTCTTCTTTGACTCTTCCCACCTCTGCTTTTTCATCTATCCATATTGTCGGAAGTTTGACTTCTAAACTTCCTTCGATAACTTTTACATATCTGCTCTGTCTGAAACTAACAATGCAAATATCATTATCAATACTCCAATCAGCCTCAGCACCCGCCTTTGCAGACGCCATTGGGTGGTCCACATTTACCGCCACTGTATCCATCCTGGACTCAGTCTGTGAATCTCAGCTGAAACAAATCACTTCTATAGCATATTATAATATATTATAGACTGTGGATTAACTTGCAATAACTTTTGATGAACTATAGTGATTCATCAACCTGAAAGGCTTCGTCATTTCGGAGGGGTTCCCGCTACGAATCATCATTATCCTGACGTCTTTAGGTGCGTTCGTTGCAATTCACACCCTGCTGTATTCAATTTTGTTGCAAATATATCTATGCTGTTGGTTATTGATGGTTATATCATCCCTGTTATACATTATTGATGGTGGTTCTTTATTAATTATCATCATTATTGATTGTTCTCCCTGTTGATGAATATCCCTCTTAATATCCCCATAGTTCGTTATTGTTGGTTGGTATAAGTTAGTGATGGTAAATATCCTTACTATACCTCGTTATATAAATCCCCACAGGATCACTATGTCTGCGATGCCGTCGATCCAAATTCCTGCCATCCTTGATCATATGAAGCGTACTCTCCTAGAGCTCGACAATAATCCATGTATGGTATGTATACAATATGATTGATGTGTATATTAAAGTATATATATACATATGTAGATAATATACATTTTACATATATTGATATATATATATATATTGTGTATATGGCTGTACTGTATATGATTGTATATGTACATATTCTATATGTATACTCCAAACGCTTTATTATATATTATTTGATTGCATTTACTATAACCGCAAGTTCTTCTTGGCTTCCACCGCCAGCTGTGGCCTTTCTGTACCATTGCTTGTAGAACAAGCTGAAGTCGAAGTCGCACGGAGGGTTTTGCAAGTCTTCCTTGGGAGCATTTGTGGGTCCTTGCGTTTGTGGGAGTTTGTACCAGACTCATGTGGTTTTTGACTGATACACAGAAAACATATATGAAGGTTGAAACCGGGAACCCGAAAATCATCTAAGATCATCCTAAGCTATTGGTCTTTAAATAGGGACACCCATTGTGAGTGTCACTATGTTCAGTGAAACAGGTAAATGTTGAAATTTAAGAGATACAGCACAACTATCTCTCCATGGGTCGATAGTTCCAGGTGACAACTCGCTTCACTCAGGGGAAAAACAACACACACTTGGAGCCCTGGAGCAAGCACTTTTGGACACTGCACAGGCATCCCAAATTAAAATGTTCACTTCGGAAATGTTTCCCCATAGAATCTCCATGACTTTCCAAGTCTTTCGCACCCCAAGGGGCCTTGGGAAAGAAAACACGTGGCACAAAGGATGGGAGACCTCGCAGAACCTACCTGGCGCCTGGAAGTTGAATCTCTTTGACCAATGGGGGTTCAATACCATCACCAGCTAGAGGGTATATGAATAGCTCGGGTTTATCGTAGTTATTCATCATCTATAAACAAACCTAGATGTATCTATGTCTATAGATATCTAGATAGGATTCATGGTTTGTTTGTCTTTATAAAAAGAAAGTAACGAACATCACTGCGGCGGCTCAGATGTGTGATAACCAAGCGGCCACAGATGGCAAGTCAGGATACCTGGCCGGTTCGGCATCCGCGGAGCGGTTCATCCACCGATCACAAGCAGCTTTCACACTTTGTAGCCCTCTAAAGTCTACCAACTGGTACTCAAACATGTCTTGAAAACTAGAAATAGCTACATCTATGTTTTCCCATTTAACGGAGAATGTCCACATCTTTCGTCTTCCAACCCACGGCTCCTAGTGTTGAAGAGCTTTGCGGCTTGCTCCACGCGCTTGGCGTTGGCCGTTTGGTTGTCGATGCCATCCCACCAGCCTTCGCCGTTCACGGCTTCGCACCTCTAATAGTTTAACGACCCTGAAAAAATGGCCTATGAATATACTGGGAAGTCATTTCATCCCCCTTTAGATAGATGGTTGATTGACCGATCGATCAATCAATCAATCCAACTAGCTATCCATCTATAAATTCTACGCCACCATGTCTCCATCAATTGATCATTTATGATAATGGATCAAATAATTAGGTTCCCTTTTTCACCACTTTTCCACCACCCCAAAAAAAAGCTCATGTCTGAAGAGTTATGCCCGTTATTTATCACCATGTTTGTTGCTTAACGTCGACATTGTTGCTGGTTATCTCCCCAGTGTTGGTTGAATCCAGAGTTGTTGTGCTGGCCAAAGCCTGACCGTTTGCTGGCGATATTATATTTACACAAAATATCATCTATTATTGTATAATTGTATATAACATGATATAACATATCCTCTGGTAAACTAACATAACTATGGAAAATCACATGTTTTAATGGGAAAACTCACTATAAATGGCCATGTTCAATAGCTATGTTAGTTTACCAGAGGGTATGTTCTATAGAGTGTTGTTCATGGCAACAGGTGGATGGTGACGATGGTACGGTGGATCCAGGATCCAACAACGGATCCCAGAACGATTTCGCTGCACCGGACCTTTCCTCGAGTGACGGCCTGTGACGGCCCAGATAAGTCATGTCTTGTTTATTAAAGGGCACAATACTGTCATGACTGAGTCATGACTGTTAGGGTATAATAAAAGGACTCCAACATTTATACCCAAACATTTTGGTCAGAAGAACAACATAATAAGAAGAAGCTAACATGAGTGAACCATGGATAGCCCCGCACGGCAAAATCTAGGCTTATCACTGCCACCCATTTTCGGCCAAAAAGCTGAAGGCAATGCCCTTGTCGGTCTCGGGGTTGTACTCACGATGCGACCACCTGCCCGGCTTTGCGAAGATTGCGGGTGATCATTCCCATAAATTCATGCTATATATTCAGGATGTTTTACTACCAAAAATGGGGATGAATGGTTGACTTATCTGTTTCATGAGAGCCAAGTTGGTTCATATAGCAAATGATATACTCAATATGTCCATTGACTAAGGCTTATGCTAGTTATATCGAGCTAGTTCATTTTTGTGTAAACCAACAAGCATTTCACAACGGGGAGCACCAGCTTTTTCAGCGCTTCCCCAGTGCCTGGAACCCAGGGAACATCCAAAGAGCTGGTAAATGGATATTCATCCCCCTCTGATATGGTAATAGTATGTAATATATAGTAGGTTTTGACCCATCCCCATATAAGTATCATGATCAATGGGATTCAATGGGCACATTGGACCATCAACATGACAAATCCCATGCTTTCCGGAGGGGTACTTGGTCTTCTGGGAAAGTGTGACCAATGCCTGGTGTCATCTTCCAGGAGATCGACTAGTAACCAATGCCCTGTCAAATACGAGCGGTTCTATATCTTGGCCCTTCCACTTTCGATATTCTCCATAAGAACCTCCTGAAAAGGAAAAGTCACAAACCTCAGAAAAATTAGATGACACCAATCCTTTTCTCCCTCAACATCCCTTAACTCACTGACCCAAGCGATATGCACAAAGTTGACCTGGTGTCCCTCACCATCGGACTGATACCTCCACATGTTGTAGTCTTCGATGCCAACCAGCCTTGGAAGCATCAAGTTCAGTCATGGCAAACAGCACAGGTTTTGTCATGGCAGATATCAACATTTCAGCAGTGTTAAACAAGAGCTTATCAGCTGATCCCCTATGATGGTTGCTGTTCATAGGCATTCCCAACTCATGGATTATGATTATCGCCAAGATATTTGTTATATTGGGTAGTATCACCAACCAATCATCATTTACCACCTTATATCACCATATGTTGATGGTAAAACCCCAAGTTCCATGGCTACATCCCATTTAAACTCCTCTAAACATGGATTTTGAAACTGCTCATTTCTAAGTTGCATAGGAGCCCCGTCGCTTCTCAGCAACTCAACAGTTCCTTCACTGGATGACTCCTCTTCCCTCCCATGAAAGAATTGCTGGTTCATGGGGATTCCCAGCTCATGGATTGCCATAATCCCCAATATATTTCTGGTTGGTGGTTTCAACCATCTTGAAAAATATTAGTCAGTTGGGATGATTATTCCCAATATATGGAAAAATAAAAAATGTTCCAAACCACCAACCAGATTCCCCGTATAAATTAATAAATTCACTGACAATGGGTTTTGAACCCTGCTGATATGCCTGACCTTAGCTGCCCAAGGCAAGGCATCTTTTTTGGGGGAATGTGAAATATTCTTAGGCTGAATTGGCAAATAAAACACTAGAACCCACTTTCGCCAAGATTTCATCTACAGCTTTACCCAGTCTACATCAAGAAGAGGAAATTGCCCTGCTTTCAAATGAAAATATCATCGTATTCAAATGAAACTGCTGCAACAAAACAACTCGTCAACAACAAAACCAAGAACATTAAATGTTCACTTCACAGTCTAATATGTTTGACACATTCAAATCTGCACCATTGTAATCATGCGGGGCACTCACAGTGTGACCACAGAGTTCTCTAATTTCTCTTTCCTGACTCGATCTTGGGAAGTGAGAGGAACAATCCAAGACATCCCCAAAGAGATCAATATGTCATAATGCATATACATAATTAGTCACGATGTGTGTGTATATCTATATATATATATGTATATGTATAATCGTATATAAATATATGTATACCATATACACACTATATATCTCTAGTGCCTCAAGTTGCACTCGCAATCCAAGGAACTCGTTGAGATCGATTTCACCTGGCAAGGACAGGGAACAAATACCAACTCTCATGGGTCTATGGTTGATTTCAGCTCAGTGAGATCTTTCAGAGTCAAGTAGACTCATCTTTCAATTTCTTGACGGCTGTTCACCGACTTGAGGTTCAAACATGTTCAAACGTTCGCGTTGACAAGACGATGTTGATTGCGGAAAAATGCAGTGGTGTGTATGTATTATTTCCAATACATATACCTGGATATTAATTGGCTACAAATTTCTGCCCAGGGCAGATTTTAGTTTGATTTCTGTCATTGTTTTATAAATTTGTCCATTTCAAAGTAACACGACCATTTCAAGAAAAAACTTATCACTTCATGTTTTCATTTTTCAGTCATGTTGAGTCTGCCCGGTTATTTCCGCCCTTTTCCCGATTATTTCCGCCCTTTTCCCGGGAATTTCCGCCCAGAAAAATCGACACATTTTTACGTAAAGTAGAGTAAGATCAGCACAAAAGGTGCGAAATACAAAATTGACCACAGTAGTCAAAAAATGACCATTTCCAGGTCCTTCACAAGAAATCCGCCCTAAGGGCAGAAATCTTGCAAACGGACAATTATTTGTGTCCTTTCGAAGATCCAGGTATATTATATATATATGTATGTATAATCTACTATACATCTATATACATTGAATCATTGACCTATTATGAGATATTATGAGTATGCTGAACCGGGCTGAAGCGTCTAAAAAGATGGGAAGGGCTGTAGGATCCTATCATGGCGGAGATGAAAGAAGGCGATCTCACTTTCAAAATAAATAGGTCCTCTTTACCAAGGAAAGGAGCTCCAAACGGACATTTAAAAAACAATTCAAAAGTGGCTCAAAAATATCAACATGAAAAAAAACACCAACATATTTTCCAATACATATATATATATACATTTTAAAAAGCATAAGACATGTTACATCATTTCGCCAAACGTTAACGTTAACGATCACCAGCGGCAGCCCACCTGCTTCCTCATAGTTCCAGGTGCAGGTGCCGTTGCCATTGGGGACCACCCCAGGACAATAGCCACCAGGCTGAACTGCCTGACACTCCTGGTTCTTGTTGTAATACCTCAGGGCCAGTGAGCCACTCCAGATGTCTATATATATATATTATATATATACTTAGATATGTATATCTTATATTTATATACTTAATTAGATATGTATATATGTATATGCAAAAATATGGATGGTTGATAATTGATAATGCTTGACTTCGATACGGCGGGTATATCGCAAATGACCATTTTGATGGGAAAAATAACAATGCACCATTGGAATTATTGGAATACCCTATTTTCAGGCAACCCCTTATGCAACCTCCCAGTCAAAAGACGTCCGAGCAAACCCAACCTGTTCATTTTGCAAGTCAATGACCCCGGGCTTCCATCACAATCTATCGATCGGAGTTTTCACACGTGCAGCAAATGTAGGCGAGAAACTTGAAATCATTAGTATGCGTTAGTCATTTATGTTCGCTTAAGAGACCTCAGTACTTTCCAAAGACGTCTCAGATGATCCCAATATATATATATATACCCTCTGGTTATTTAACATAGCCATGGAAAATCACCATTTTTAATAGGTAAACCATCTATAAATGGGCCATTTTCCATGGCTATGTTAACACCAGAGGGTATATATATATATATGCATATACGGATCCAGTTAATGATAGAAGTTGGATGCTCCCAATATAAATCCACCAAACCACCTCTAGAAACGACTCGTTTCTTTCGGGCTGGGTTTTGTTCGCACAATTTCTGATCCAAGTGGCAAGTTGTTTGGGCACTTACCCGGCAAGGTATACCTGGACCATGAAAGCTGTGGTACATCACCGGTCCTCCGGTCCTGTTCCTCGAACAATACATCTTTACAAACACATACATCTGGGTAAATTATAATATTTCACTAACCTGAAATAAGCCCATTTGGGGATGATTCCCCTTATTGACTATGATTCCAGTGAGGTCGCAGTGAGGTCGATATAATTTAACCAGATACATGTATCTGTACCTGATCACATTGGTCGCCAAAAGTATTCAAAAGTATCATCAGGAAAGATATGATGAAATGATATGACATGTCAAGAAACATTGAGTGGGAGGAAGCAACGCCTGTAAGTGCGATTAGAAAATCTGAACACCGAGCGACCTAGCGAATTACAAACTCAACGCCTGCTTCATGGTGCATTCCAGGAATCGTAAGTGGTGCACAACCATGGTCCCTGGTAGACGACCCGTCTATTTATGGGATATATGTAATTATTGGTAATTACAATTTTATACAGATCATATAATATATGTATATAATATATACACACACATATACACACATGATTATACATGACACATCTATAAGTTTGTAATGAAGCCCCAAAATGTTGGTTGATCATCAGTTTCCCCAATGAAATTCTGTGGCTGCAAGTTGCCCTGCCGAGACCTCCCCCAAAAAGGTGGAAACTCCACCGGCCCCGTAAAAGGGGCGCTCAATTGGAGATCGTCATGAGAAGTTCTATGGAAAATGACATGAAAATGAAGAAGATTTCAAACATTCGACATTCTTAAACCATCAACCGTTGGAATAGAATAATTATGAATCATTCACCATCATACGCCTGTGTCTTTTTCTGGCTTAAATCATGGTAGAGCTTCGATTCATTTGCTGGGTGGACTGGGTGAACCCCCAGTAAACCAATGGATCAACAAAAGTCAAGCCCAGTTAAGACATGGAGGCTTCCTAAGTCATGGGGGTACCCCCAGTTATCATCCATTTTATTTTGGGATGTTCCATTGTTCCATGCGATAAACCATCCAGCTACTGAAAAAAAAAACATGGATCCCCCATCCAGCTACGCTCAGCATCCAAGCGACCACACTGCGTTGGGATAGTACCTTGGCCCAGCCAGGCCGTGGCCTGGTAAAGATAAGGTTCCATGATGAACAGCCACCTATAGTTGTTCTATCTGATATCTTTGAATCCAATGATCCTTGTTATGTTTTCAAGTTTTAGTCATGTTCGACCCACTTTAGATGGACAAATCCCAAGTATCCGTTGTTCGTGGATGAAATCCCTATGTTTGATGCTTAAATTCCCATGAAGTGTCTGCTTAAATCCCATTTTTTAGATGGTTAGACCCATGCACCAATTTCTGCCGAGAACAACCCCCAGCTTCAAGGCTTATCACGCAGTAGTCTTAAGCGAATTATGTGGCTATGAGCCAAAACCCTGGTCCGCTAGGTACCCTAAAATCCCTGATTAATGGATGTTTACAGCATTTTATTCCCTCAGTCATATGATAATTTCATAGGCTTTTGACCCATCCCCATAGTCAATACTATTGTATATTGACTCAGATTGACTGGAATGATCCGACAAGTGCTACTTTTCTATGTTGATCAAACCGGACATCTCCGATCTTCGCTTCCTCTTCGCTTCCTCGCCAACTCCGAGCGACACAGGCTCCGTGGGGAATGGATACTCACCCAGATTGTTGCATCCCACATTGTAGCCATAGGCAGTGTATTCAAACCTGGCACCAGCAGAATGCTGCTAAAAATCGGAGTACAGCAAATGTTGGGCTTGTGTATGTTTTGTTATGCATGTATATATTATATATATATATATCATATTATATGAGATATATATATATATAATATGCATATACATATATTCATAGCTAATCTAACACGTACGTATCATATACAATATCGTAATACAATAATCTAGCATTGTACAATGTGATATACATATATATATATCATATGACATACATGTATCTGCCTTTGGCCTCAAGATCCCAGTCCAATATGGCAAAGGATGGTCGCATTGTACTGGAGCGCGAAGTGCTGAAAATATGCACGGGATGTTCTTTTTTGTTGCCTGCCAACTATCGGAAATTCTCCTGCCAACTCTACAGAAACCCCATTAAATCACATTGAAATCAGTATTTTTACTGTAGATCTTTCCCAATAGATCCCAGTAAATCTCATTGAATACCCTGGGGCCCTTGTCAAAGGAACGCTGAATCGTAGGGCTTCATGTCTGGCAGCCAATCCTCCTGGACACGGCCCGGCTCGAAAAAATCAGGATGAGCTTCCCATACTTCGAAAGGTCCTGATGTGTCCTGATTAGTGAGTTTATCATAGAGAATAGGTGTAGTTATTATATATATATCAATATATATCATGTATAGATATGTATAGTGGATATGAATGGATAATAATACTTTACGATTGATAGCTGCGTACCACACTTAGGATACTTCAAGCAGCTTTACATCACTTTCAGTCCTCCAACTGGGGGTTCTACGGGGTTATCTCATTGATCAGCCATGATCATTCACTCGTTGCCACGACATGATTCCTGAGATGAACATCACGCAGCGTTCAGCGTCCTTGAAGGGCCCGTCTTCGCCGCAGAACTTGGGTTTCACTCCTGCCGGTTTCAATCGGTGGGACCCCAAATAGAGGTGAAACCATCCAACTTTGGCCATAAACCTCATAGATGTCCCATGAAGAGGCCATAACTTCACCATTTCACCCAGATTTGGACAAACTTCCGTGATGCCAAAGGGCCAAAGGAGCAAATGTCATAAGGGTACTTCTATAGGTTTCCCAGCTAGTAAGTTGTTCATAACCCTTATAGAACTGGGAAGTATCTCATTTACAACTGGGTTCTATCATGGAGAAGTCATGAGGGATTTCGTTGAAGTTGACACAGAGTCTTCAAATGAAAATCACCAGTGGATCATTGGACAAGCAAGTCACCCATCCGCATGAGATACCATGGCTTGGTCGTCGAAAAAGTGGGAGAAAGGACCAGTTTCTGGCGTTGTTTAAAACCACATTTACTGTGGTAGTTTTGCCCATTTGTCATTGGTTTACTGGTGTAATTTCTCTATTTCTGGACAGTTGGAATACCCAAATCCCATGGTGTGCTCAAAATTAGGCCTAAAAGAAAAGTGTTTGTTTGTTTCCAAAAAAAACTGTCCCCTGCGCATTCCATTTTGACATATTTTGTCCCATACCCATGTAGTGATATAATATACAGGCCCCCCAAAAAGCTGCCCAGAATAGGTAGTGAACACTAATGAGCTATGATGTTTCCTCCGTATGTTCCACGTTCTGCAACTTATCGGCATCTTCTTGGGGGTTGCTATTAAAAACATATTATAACTAATTATATCCCTACCTATATACTACATCCCCACGGGGGTTTCCTAAAATGGGGTACCCCCCAAAGTATCGATTGAAATTGGATGTTCCATTAGATAGACCATCCAGCTATTGGATGCTATTGGGGTAATTACCCCCATTGATGGAAACCCTCATAGATATCCATAGGTGCTATCCCATGGGATCCATGTATGGTATATATGCTAACATTGGGGGTATATTGATGGTAAATGTTACCATATATAGCATACATGGATCCTATGGGTATAGAACCCTCATTTTTTCGGCGCTGTGAAACACCACGCTCGGATCCGCTCGGTCCCTCAGTGGTGCCATCTTTGGACGTAATGTTTTCTCGGCCGCAAACGAAGGGACCAGTGGCCTACCGCGGGGCAGATGAGCCTCTGGCAATGTAACTGTTTATTGTGATAAACCCATTGATATAATAGAGGATTTACATGGATTTACATGGATTTACAATATACTAAAAAGTGTAATTTTCCATAGCTAGCTTCTGTTTTCTTCGGTTACCAGAGGGTACAGTATTAAGGGTGTATCCAGCACCAACAACGGCGATTTGAACGGCGAATCTTAACCATCATGTGGCAACGGGAAGCTCACTGAGTAGCTCCGCGGCTATCCTTTTTTTCCCATGGTGAATATGGATACAACATGATACAACCATAGCTCCTAACCGCTCCTAACCACTTGATAGCACATAAAAATAGATTAAATAGATGGTTGAAACCTGAATGAACATCAAATTTCAAATACATCTGAGCAATGGATTGAATGTTTGGGATTTTTAGGACTTAGAGGATTTAGTTTCTTTTACTGTAAATGTTCTTAAATATTCTTACTGACCATCCGTTCCAGAGGGGTCATTCAACATTCCCCGAAGACGTGATCCCTATGGTTGTTAAGCGGTTCACAAGCACCAAATAAACCGCCTGGGGCCCTTGGGGTGTCGCCAAACTGAAGGCTGTTGCCTTTCACCAGCGAAACCTCCAAACCTTGTTTTACTTTTTTTGGTGATTTTTTAACCATTTCAAAGATAGATGTCATGATGTCATTTCAATCCCCCAGTTTAAGATCAAAGTGGAACTCTGACAGAAGATACAGAAACGGTTCCAATCTATTCCAGCCTCCAAGTTTTGTTCGTAGCATTTTTTTTTCACCGTTACCCGTTCGAACAAACCTTCGCCACCGCCGCCGCCGTAGGTGATCCCAGCCTGGCCCTTGTCAAAGGCGAAGCGAACACCGAAGTTCATGTTCAGATACCTGGGCTGAAGAGTTTCCCCAAGGTAACACCACTGGTCCGTCCCGTTGAATCGCGTTGATAGAAAACCCACTTGAAAATTCGCAGGAAAAATTAAAACCCAGGTCTCTATCCCCAAATGTAGGAAGGTTCCTGTAGATGTTCCAACAAACATCCTCAAACCAGTTCCGGGATTCCATGGATGCTGGTAGTTCTAGAAATCTGGCCCGCTCATTAGCTATCAACCAGGTTCAAGCAGCAAGATGCAGCAAGTACAAATAGCAATAACTTTCAAGCGCAGTGCAAAAAGAGATAGAAGTCCGCCGGCCTGCCGGCGTGTCTGATTGGAAGGTGTTGTTCTTGTTTCTGTTCTTGGGTTGTACTTGTTCCTTTGTTCTCTTGCTGCGCGTTTTTAATGCTTCGCCTGAATCAAGTCCACCCCCCCTCCCCCCCTCCCCCCTATGCAGGTATGTAGGCATGCAGGTATGTAGGTATGTATGCATGCGTGCATGCATGTATGTATGTATGTATGTGTGCGTGTGTGCGGTGTATCGTTAAATAATAATATATATCGTTTCAATCAGCTCTGGCACGTTCAATCAAAGCTCGTCTACCGCAACAGCGGTGACAAAAGAACAGGACAAACTCTCTGTCAGAGGGTTTGCTATTTTGCCTGGCAAGACTTCAATTTCATTTGGATGGCTCCAAACCAGTGCTCGCACCGTTACTTCCCTAGAATCAAATCAAGTGTGTATATATATATATATATACATACACATTTCTTTGTCAAAAGATCATCCAGTGCCACGAGCCATCAATCAATAAATTTCCTATTCCCCTAAGGCAAGCATCCATTTGCCACACAATCTGAGGAAACGGCGCTTCAGATGACGCTCTGTGTCAGCGTTCCAGTTTTGTTGGACAAGAAGTAGTTGATCTGCCCAAATAAACCAAACAACTCACCCTGTGCATGTAATAGTCGCGGTGCTGCTAAACACGAGTCGCCTTTGGCTCTGAAGGAAGCACGCGGCTGTGAATGAAATGCTGGCGCCAAGTTCATGTCCTTGGCCAATGGCCCATTCTCAAAGCAGTGAAGAACGTGGTGTCTCTTGATGTTTTCCGGTTCGGACCCGGACGCCTGGGCTCGCAAGAACGAACAAGAAGCCGAGGACGGAAAATCAACATGCCCCTCAGTAGCTGGAGACCGCGGCGTTTTCTTCCAAAACGAAATGTGATTTCAGAAGGTCTCATCCAAATGCTCGCCATGTTTCTTCAGCTGCAAGTCTTGCTAGTAGCCTGCATCCTTCAAGCAATGCAGTAGAGCTTTCCCCATGTTAACGGACCCTTTGCAGAAGTGCTCGTCTGTGTACCACTTCGGCGGGTTCACCGGTTTCACAAAGGCTGCGTTCACTGCCTCAGTCTCCCTGTTGCGTGAACAACGCACGCTTGCGCGGTCTTCGGGAGGAATGGCCTTGGCACGGCCCATGCCTGCCAACGCCATCCGCGTCTGCCCGCTCGCAAGGCGAGTCTTCAACTTTTTCCGCCCCCAGTTGGCCAATCTGCCCAGCAATTCCAAAGTAGTCCAAGAGCTTGATGGACTTGCAGGCAATGAGGGCCAGATCCCGGCCTGTTAGCGCCCGGGCCTCCTTCACCTTGCCGTCGACCAACCTCTTCTTCAAGGCGGCAAAAGGCAACACCTGGCTCAAGGTCTTGACACGGGGGCTGGTGGCTGCACATGGTCCGAAAGTGTCGCCAGTAAATCGGATTTCCAAGATAAGAGCATGGCCAGAATAAATGTGGACCGATAAGTGCCCATCAATCCCTTCCAATTTCTTCAGCTGGATCAGCGCAAAGGCAAAGCTGCAGCTCTTCGATTGACGCTGGTCGAAGACGTTTTGCTACCTCCATGGCGGTGCTGGGTTAAAGGGAATTGGCTGCTTTGGTGGCTTGTTGACAGGCGTATGCAGACCAGTAGGGACTTGCAGTTGCACACATCTCCAAGGCCCGGCCCGCCAGCCGCTCTATTGAACTACAACGATGCTCGAAGAACATCGCACTGACATGAGGGCCTCGAAGAAGGATATCATACAGCAAGATCGCAACAGTTTTGTCCACAGGGATGCCGTCAAGCAGCAGGGCATGCCCCAAGCGAAGAGCACGTTGAACATCAGAGCGACAGCCTGATCTTCAGCACACCGCCCAGCCGAACACAATGCAGAATGAAGTTCGTCAAGCTGCCCGTGCAGCGCCAGCTGCTCGGAATTTCCGCCTTGGACTCCAATTGAGCGGAAGACTGTTTTCCAGGATTCCAGTTTTCATCTACCATTTGGGGCTAGCTACATTTGTAGTGACTGGAACCTTTCAAACACCCCCCTCCCCCCTTGTTTTTGTCTTGGGCTGGATCCTATGTGGATATAGCATGAGTATTGAGCACATTTACATACGCTGTCAAGGCTCAAGAGAGATATAGAGTAATCCTGTAGACACCACACCGACTGGCTAGTGGCCGTGGGTAAAAGGTGTGCAGCTGTCAGGGAAGGCGCTCTAGCTGATCTAATCTAGACGCTAGTGCCCCTCTTCAAGTGGTAGCTAATGACGCTGCCTATGCTGCCTACAGCATTGCAGCGTCTACAAGGACTCGTCACAGGACGCACACTGCACTAAACTGATCGACCAGTACTCATTTGGTATGCGGTCCATAGGTTCAAGCAGGCACTTGCTTCTCAAGCTGCTTCTGATCTACGGCTCGGTCTTCGTCTCCTCTTCGTCTCCTCTTCGTCTCCTCTTCGTCTCCTCTTCGTCTCCTCTTCTTCCTCTTCTTCCTCTTCTTCTTATTCTCTTCTCTTCTGCTTTGCTCTCTCAGGCTTCCACCTAGCGTGCACATCAACTTCCCTTGGGGCAATCTCTCTCCATTTCCACCGTGTCTCCTTCCATGCAGCGGTCTGCTGTCAAGCCAGAGGCTCATACATAGTACCTGGCGCTACTTTGCTGGGGGCGGTACTAATTTGGTATACGATCAATAGGTTGTTACAGCCACCACTTGCTACACAAGCAAGCCGCTTCCGTTTTACGGCTTTGTCTTCGTCTTCCATTCTTATTCGTATTCTTCTTCTTCTTCTTCTTCTCCTTCTTTTCTCTTCTGCTTCTCTCGCGGGCTTCCACCTAGAGTGTACATCAAACTCCCATGGGGCCACCTCTCTATGGCCGGCGGGCTTGCCGAAGGCAATTAAATAAGGACCCACAATTCCAGCAATACGGGATAATACGGGCACTTTTTCCTCTGTCCATGTCGTTCCATTGTTTGCACCGTTTGTTCCGACCCATCTTGTCCGATGTGGACCCGGCTTCGGCAAGAATTGATTAATCACACCAAAAATGCCGCATTCACCAAGCAACCACGTCAGTGTTCAATTGGTTGTCCAACCCAAAAAGGATATCATACCAATCTTCTCCATCTAATCCCTAGATATAGAACAGTACAGGAACCCAAACTATCCCACCTCGTTCCGTACCATCCCACATCATCATGGCCAAATTAGAATCGTTTACAGATCTACTGTAACACTTTGGACTTTGGTGGTTTGCCCGTACATCAAGGTGCATTAGTGGGGCAGGATTCCCTTGGCCCAAAAGCAGTTGTTATGGCCATCATGTTTGGCTTAAAATATCAAACATATGTTTACCCTCCGGTAATCAAACGTGGCAATGAAAATCCACCATTTATAAATGTTGTTCCCAGCTATAAACCCACCATTTCTGGGGTATTTTTAACTGCCACCTTTGATTGCCGGAGCTATATAATCACCTTTTCTTCCTGGTTAAATGAACATCGACCAGCGGATCAGCAGATAACTTGCTCGTCGTTTTCCTTCAAAGATGCTAAAAGTCATCGCAAATCATACGTCATTCCTCGGACTTTGAAAACATGCGACTAAGTCATTCTAGTTCAATGAGTAACAGTACATAACCCATACAACTATACATAACTCACCAGAAAAGATTCCTGGCCAAACCATGCCAAACCTCCATCCTCCGCCAGTCCAATCCAAGCGTCAGCAAGGGGTTGGTGGCCTTCATCTGAACCTTGTAGCGCAAGATCCGGGTGATGTCGAACTTCCTCGGCGCCTGGATCACCACCTTCGAGTACAGAGAATACGAGGACGGGCCCCGACGGGCTAGCGATTGGTGGTGGGGTGAAAAAAAGAAACTGGGGATGTCTGGGGATACAATGAAGCCATCATAATCTAACTAATATTATATACATATATGATCATATATGCATATGCATGTATCATGGTTGCTACATGTCATTAGCCACTTAGGATTCCTGGGACGAAGTCTTCTGGTACAGATGGTCCGCCAACTCAGCTCGCCAGGGACAAGCTCTAGAGTCACACTGCCATGTTGGCCGTGTTGATGATTCAGTCCATGGCATCCACAACATTTTCCGTGTGATTCCCTTTGAGGATGTGGTAAACCCAATGCCGTTTGAGGATGGTTCACATCCATCCTAAGTCGGGCGATGACGACTGGGGATGCTCCAGGCGAAGCACCTCATGGTGGAGATACCACAGCACACCAGCCAAGCCTCATGGCACCGGAACAACAAAACTTGGACGAAGATTTGATATAAGAGGGGTGTGTGTGTGTATATATATATATATCATCCTGGAGTAGATAGAATATCGGACATTTTCAAAAAGGATTTTCAAAAAAAATATATAAATAGTTGGAATATGTTCAAAACCCTCAGTTTTTACACGTTTTTCGTCTTTGTTAAGTCATTTTTAGCCAGTTTTGGACACGTGTCTGGAGAAATTTTGAAAAATACAAAAATCAAACAACACCAAAAAATAGATAGAATATTGTTTCAAACCAGGTAGATAGAATATTTTGAGGGAATTGTGAACACCACGCGCAGGCCCCACAGCAGCTTGAGACCCTCCAAACCATATTCCAACTACCAGTTTTCGACCTCCTCGGGGGGGGTCGAAATATTCCAACTACCTATTTGTTTTTAAGTGGCCAACATCCAACATAATTCCATCATAAATCCCGCCCTCCAAAAAAATATTCTATCTACTTTAGGAACACTATATATATATTAAATATTACCATTATCAACCGCGGAAACAAGGAACTTCGAAGTAGCATCTGCGCTAATTCGATCAAGTTACAGCGGATGAATGGGGTATGGCCATGCCATGATTGTTACATTGTTACATGGCTATATATATGAGTACTATGTCAAAATGATATGGTTCAAATAAGCAATCTACTGAAAAAAAACATCGGAAGAACAGCACGGATCGGTTGCAACACCGTCTCTCCTACCTGGCAATGGCCAAAAACTGGCTATCGCGAAGGGTCACCCATGGAATTCCCGGATTTATGGATCTTCATCCCCCCCAAAGGTGGTGTTTCATAGGTTTTGAGGATAGACTTGGCGACTATTGTCCTGATTTCTGCGATGAAAAGTCTTAGGAAAAACATGTGAAGAACACGGTAAGTATGGGATGTCCTGATATTTTCCATATTTTTTCCAGATCCAAGGGATTTTTTTAGTCACACTTCACTTCAACCTCGGGCCCTTCCCATGGCCAGGCACTTCCCATGTTCACGTTCAAGGGAGGGTAGACTTCGTCTGACCTTGCGCCCACCATCTGGCCATCTGGGATCTGAAAATGGGGTGTACCCGTAAGATGGCTATTTTAAGATGGAAAAATATGGAAAATTCGAATAAACCATGGGATTTGGGGATACCCATGGATAGCCTATTTTTAGACAAACACATCTGTGTGAATTTGAGTCTTCCAGTTGCAGTCTTCCGGTTTCTGATAACTCAGCTCGGTCGTGAGTCATCGATTCGATTCTATCGTGGTCTTCTGGTGTAGTGACAATCCAAACAAGGAACTGGCCCCAAATTAGCCAAGCAATATATGTTGGGGTTGTCCAAAATACTAATAATACCATATATAATATAGTATTATCCAAATAATTCCAAATATACATATAACTACTCATATAGTATTCTATATATTTTGGGATATTTTGAACTATGGGCTTACCATTGGGTTTACCGCTTTGCCACATGACCCAGCGACACTGCTCGGTACATGTAGAAGGTGAGCCTCAGCAGATCGCAGGATGGGCCAGGACCTATGGAAAGCAACCCATTTCAGCGGAAGAAATGGATTACCCTCTGGTAAATTAAGATAGATTCTGCCAGATAGGGGTTGGAAGATGAGTTTCCACTAAAAATTGGTCATTTTCAGGGTCTATGTTAATTTACCAGAGGGTAACAAATGTTAACAAAGTTTCTAAAGTCATTGAGAAAGTCAATGAACTCACGGTTCCAGCCAAACAAATAGTACTGTATAGGGAGCATGAAGCAAAATTGAATCATGCTCTTGGTTCTCTGGATGATTTCTCAATCCACAGATCAATCCTTTCCGAAAAATCAGGAGTGACAGCAGAATTTCTCCCCTGCCGAGCAGCAAAGGTCCATTGCTGGGTGAGTTCAAGGAGTTTTCAACTCCAGTCCATGGCAAGCCCTCCACGTCCACGGGCACGTCCTTGCGGTCGCATTGCCACAGTGGAAAGACCTCTTTTTCAGTGGGATAGTCTATGTTCGGATTCAAGCTTCATTCTTGCAATGTATGTATGTATGTATGTATGTATGTATGTATGTATGTATGTATGTCTGTGTGTGTATGTATGTATGTATGCATGCATGCATGCATGCATGTATGTATGTATTCATGTATGCATGTATGCATGTATGCATGCATGCATGCATGCATGTATGTATGTACATATGTGTGTATATATATATACATACATATATATCATTTGATCATTTATCACCCATCCACCGAAGCAATCAACTATAAATAAATGTGCCATTTTCCACAGCAAACTGTTAGTTAAACACTGGTGATAAACACTGGTGATACCCATGTATCTGCTTTTTAGTAGAGGCTATATAATCACCATTCACTGTTTGTTATCACAAGTGTTTACAATATGTTTTATATCTATTTTAAAATAGTAAATACATTGTTGCAATAGCTTTTCTCATCTAATGCATTCTTGTTTACAAACAACCTATCATTTCTATATAATTTCTCACCGATCCACTTAAAGAAATATGCCATCTATGCTATTTCGCAAACGGTTAGTTTACCAGAGGCTAATCTTAAACAAAAAAAAGTGTTATCCTCTTCCATTTTATGCGTATCATTGAAATTGTAAACACACTGTCATCAACATTGTTTATCAATGGATGTGTCACCACTACTCTGCGGTAAACTAACAGAGCTATGGAAAATCACCATGTCTAATAGGTAAATCAACTATAAATTGTAATTTTTTAATGTATATAAATGTGACACAATGTGACATGTTCAATAGCTATGTTAAATTACCAGAGGGTAAGTGCATGTTGACCATTTCTGGCAACTTCAACCACCATGTTTTTCCGTCATTTCTCTACGCCCAGCAGCATTGCCAGGCGCCGGTTTCCCAAAGGCCGGCACCGGCGAAGGGGGCTTCGAGGGCCTTGGGAAAAGTCTGTGGGAAACATGGGGAAAATAACGAACAAAACTGGGATTTTTATTGAACCTCTCCTGCATATATGTTTATATGTTTGGTGGGTTACTATTTTTGAAATCACCATGATAAATGGATATATCAAAAAATGAGACTTAGACATCTATCACTGGGTCCTTTTATCAATACAGTGTGGTAAAATGGATTATAGTAACACCCCAAGAAAAAGATGCAGAACAAGTTCAATCTATCACTATTTTAGGATCGGAGTTCAATCTTTTGGGGGGTGCTCGCGCGATTTGGGATGCAACTGTGTAACCTGCAAATTTGGCAATTGGATTTTTCAATATTTTTCAGACTAAGATAAGGGCAACCGTATGATGGAACAATCCAAGTAAGACAACTAGGACTGCCAAAGTAAAACCATGTGATGGTTAAAAAAATGACACTCCAAAACCAGATACTGTAAATCTCTGTAAATCTGATAATGTTCCAATTGAAAAGTTGCCAACACATAATTATCTATCTATACATATATATATATATATAATGATTGTGATTATATCATATAAATTAGCAATTGGTGATCGTCATGCCACCAACAAAGAATGGATCCTCCGCTCCCCTGGGCCTCAAAGAATTGAGTCATACGCATTCCCGTGTGCTCCAGAAAAAGGTGTTTGCACTTGGTCTAGTTTGAGGCAAATGTTGATTGCAAACCATACTTGCATATAGATATATGTAATTATTTATATATATACAGTAAATACATATGGGTTTCCAGTAGTTGACTATACATGTATATATATATCATTGTGTTATATATCGCATTCTATCCACATTATTGTCCCACTAGTTACTAGTTTGTTCATCACATCATGTCCATCACAGGTACCGGAGGATCATTCCATGGAGCAGGGATGATCCTCGGACCAGGGATGGATCTGAAAGCTAAAAGCTGAACATCACGTTCATAAGTTCCAAGAGATGACCATGTATTGTATATAATAATTAATATATAATATATAATATATAATATATAATATATAATATATAATATAATATAATATAATATAATATAATATAATATAATATAATATAATATAATATAATATAATATAATATAATATATATATATATTCATAATCATAATTATGAACGGTAGTAATTATACAGTGGATGGAAGTCCCATGATCGAATTTTCATCCCCATGACACCCATCCCAGACCCAACCCCCAAACCATCCCAAGCCACACAGGCGCAGGTGGCGGCACTGGCACCGGGGCCGCCGGGGGCGGGGTTGGCGGTGCCGGTGCCGGCGTGGGTGGAGGTAGCACTGGGGCGGGGGGGGGCACGACCGGCAATGGGGGAGGAGCTGCAACCTTGCGGGATGAGGTGGTTTATCCCCTGGGATGATGTGGCGAGGTTGATAGCTGGGAAAATCATCTGTAAATGGTGGATTTTCCAGCAGCCTACGTTTGATTACCGGAGGGAACATGGGTTTTTGGGGGCGATATCATGGGGATCTGAACCATGAAATATGGGAGACTCACCGACAAATTTGATGACAATCCCCAACACATTGGGAGTACAAACCCCCTATGGCCTCTATGATCATCAACCAACAGGGGTTTTGAACACTGCTGAAGTGGTTTCAGGGATGTCCGAAGCATGTGAACTCTGAGTTTAGAAGTCACAGGTTTCAACATGTTTCAACATTCAACTATGTATGTACCCGAAATTTCCAGTGATGGATCATGTTCCCCAGTGAAAGGGCCATTTTGGGGGTACCACATTTTTGGTCGACTGAGAAATGAGATAAGATGTACAACATGCCTTCAATATTCTGTATATATATATATATATCAACATGTATAGTATAGTATTAGTATTAGTATTAGTATTTAGTATTTAGTATTGTATTTAGTATTAGTATTAGCATTAGTATTAGTATTCGTATTAGTATAGTATAGTATAGAAGATATGTTGCTCTATGTATATGAGCTCAAAAGATTTGTATAATGCAGAGATAGTAGCATCTTACGGTGCAAAACAGGTTGCTGGTATTCAAACCTCAGAAACTGCAAACCCTGCTAGCGGGACAACAAAATCGCTATGGGTCCAAACCCTGGTACCCTGGTGAATGTCAAACAGCTTTTTTTGGATATTCATCAAAAAAATGTGGCACCATAGATTTTAACCCATCCCTAAATGATGTGGAATTCTTGACACTGCAGATTCGGTTCTGCCATGCTCCCCCAAATCTTTGAGACCAGGTACACAAATTCGTTCGTAGTCAGAACCTGAGTTGCAGGCTGGTGAAACCTGCCAAGCCTGCACGAAAACAGTGGACAAGCTGATCTTCGTAGATCAACTGAGGGGAACGCATAACTGGGTTTTGGTCCCAGCTACTAATCACTGGTTGGTGGTTTTAGCCATCTTGAAAAATATTAGTCAATGGGAAGGATTATCCCGTATATTATGGAAAATAAAAAAAACAGTTTGAAACCACCAACTGCCACCAACCAGATCACTTACTAAGTGGGATGATCCTTCAAGTAGAAATGCTGAACCGAGTCCGGGACAGCAATTTCCGTAGCGCTTGCAGTGGCCTTGGCGAAGCTTGGGAGAAAGTTTGGGAGGTTTGGAAATGAACTCAGGGATACCAACCTGAATTCACCATTCAATCGGTAGGACATGGAAAAGGTAAATTTTCCAATTAGGAACCGCAGAACCCCTGGGTCCTTGTCAAGGAGGGCAGACCGGTCCATACTCCTGCGTGTTGCTACACACCCCAATTTTTCCTTGAAATTTCATCATCCTGGCCCCAAACATCTCCCCAACAGCCAGTGGCCACAGAGGGGTTCTTTGAATGCTGGATGCTTACGGAAAACAAATAGTGACAGGTGTGCATTGAGTACACAGGAACCACCCAAATCCCAAATCCACAAATTTTCAGCAACTTGGGACTCCTCAATTTCATGGTTTTGCTTTACGGGCCCCCTGAAAAACCACATCTAACGAGTTCGACATATCCATTGAGTAAACATCATCTGACCTAGGCAAATAAACCAACTTACCTACCACAGGGGCCCTTGCATAGATTCCCCAAAAGATGGAAAAGGTCAAGTTTAGAGATTCTCACAATGATGGATTTAACACCTTTTTTTTGCTGCCACCAAACCAGTCCCAGATCTTGGCCACCCTGCTATTGCACTGGCAAGCGTGCGAACTGTGCGGCAGCATGGGAATACCAATCAAGGTGGTCTTGTGGATGTTTATATGATGGATATGATATGTCTATATTTAATGGTGGTTACAAACCAACTTATAACTGGGGGGGCATCAAGTTAATGCTATGGGCTATGTTCCAAGATTCAAGTGGCCAAGAATTCCTTGGTTTCTCCCTTTGGCAACCTGATTTTTACAAGTTTTTTGGGCCAAGATTTTTGGGTATGTATTCTTGGTACCCACATATAGAAATTCCAATCTTCCAATTTTTCATCAGCAAAATGATCATGCGAAATGATGCCAAATGTGTCTTGTGCGTGTCTACATGAGGTCATAGAAGAGGAGTTCAAATGGGGTGTTAAACCATATTGGGGTGCTTCCAAGAAATGAGGTCACCATTGGGTCACAAATTTCACGAGTTGGTTGTAGCATGAAAACTTTATTAGAACGACCAACAACTTGGCTGATAACTTGGGGTTCCCAATGACATAGGACATAGCGACATAGGATGCTCAAAATAGTTCTTACAGTGCCCCGCCAAAAAAAACTGTAATTCACATTGTTTGTTGTATATCCTAATATATCCTGATTAATCCGATTATAAAATCCACCGACCCCAGGGAACCAAGGGGAGCGCGTCTGAGAAGCAATGCACAATGGGCAAGAAAGAGGGTGCGACGACGGATGAAAAACGGAAGCAAGGTTTTGGACGCTCGACTGCTGCACTTGGAGCTATTGGAGTTGGTGCTTTTTGTTGCAGCTGCAAAGTTAGGCAGAGGTATCCGTCCGTGGAATGATTCCGTCCGGCCTTCACTCTTATGGGGTTTGGAACTGGCGGTCGCACGGTTTTGGAGCCCTGGCTGCTGCATTTGGAGTTACTTTCTTATAGCTTCAGAAAGCACCGTTAGGCACAGGCAGCCGTCCGTGGAATGACCCCGTCCGGCCTTCACTCTCATTTGGGTTGGAACTGGCGGGCGCACGGTTTTGGAAGCCCGGCTGTTGCATGTGGAGCTATTCTTATAATTACTACTTTCTTACAACTTCAGAAAGCAACTTTAGGCACAAGCAGCCGTCTCAGGAAAAACCCCGGCCAGCCTTCACTCTCATGAGGTTCGGAACTGACGGGCGCACGGTTTTGGAGACCCGGCTGCTGCATTTGGAGCTACTTTCTTACAGCTTCAGAAAGCAACGTTAGGCACAGGCAGCCGTCTGTGGAACGACCCCGCCCGGCTTTCCCCTTCATGGGTGCATTTGGAGCTACTTTCTTACAGCTTCAGAAAGCAACGTTAGGCACAGGCAGCCGTCTGTGGAACGACCCCGCCCGGCTTTCCTGTTCATGGGGTTTGGAACTTGCAGGCACACGGTTTTGGAGACCCGGCTGCTGCATTTGGAGCTACTTTCTCACAGCTTCAGAAAGCAACGTTAGACCCAGGCATACCCAGGCAACAATCTGTGGAACGACCCCGTCCGGCCATCACTCTCATGGGGTTTGGAACTGGCGGGCGCACGGTTTTGGAGGCCCGGCTGCTGCATTTGGAGTTACTTTCTTATAGCTTCAGAAAGCAACGTTAGGCACAGGCAGCCGTCCGTGGAATGACCCCGTCCGGCCTTCACTCTCATTTGGGTTGAAACTGGCGGACGCACGGTTTTGGAAGCCCGGCTGTTGCATGTGGAGCTATTCTTATAATTACTACTTTCTTACAACTTCAGAAAGCAACTTTAGGCACAAGCAGCCGTCTCAGGAAAAACCCCGGCCAGCCTTCACTCTCATGAGGTTCGGAACTGACGGGCGCACGGTTTTGGAGACCCGGCTGCTGCATTTGGAGCTACTTTCTTACAGCTTCAGAAAGCAACGTTAGGCACAGGCAGCCGTCTGTGGAACGACCCCGCCCGGCTTTCCCCTTCATGGGTGCATTTGGAGCTACTTTCTTACAGCTTCAGAAAGCAACGTTAGGCACAGGCAGCCGTCTGTGGAACGACCCCGCCCGGCTTTCCTGTTCATGGGGTTTGGAACTTGCAGGTACACGGTTTTGGAGACCCGGCTGCTGCATTTGGAGCTACTTTCTCACAGCTTCAGAAAGCAACGTTAGACCCAGGCAACAATCTGTGGAACGACCCCGTCCGGCCATCACTCTCATGGGGTTTGGAACTGGCGGGCGCACGGTTTTGGAGGCCCAGCTGCTGCATTTGGAGTTACTTTCTTATAGCTTCAGAAAGCGACGTTAGGCACAGGCAGCCGTCTGTCATTGGTACATCATTATTGGGTCATTGTCGCCTTCAACATTGTCAGTGCTGCTGGTCGTCGTGGCCTTCAGGCTGGCGACGCAAGATGCCATTCTCATTGTTCAGGCGGGCAATGATCTCGTCCTTCGTCTCAAGCTGCTCTTTCAATCTCTCCAGTTCACCAGATGCGTGGCACAGGGCCAAGAAGATGCTTTCAAAATCCTCTCGTAGTTTTCGTTTCCGCATTCATCTCACTCAGTTTGGTTTCAGCAACTTCCAGCTCCTTTGCAGCATCATTGTTGGATGACGATGAAGACGATGGCGAATCAGAATCTGACGATGATGAAGGCTTCTCGTCCTCCAGTGCCGCTGTAGGACCCTTGGACAAGGTGGGTTTCGCCAACAACACCTCGAAGCGCTGCTGCGCAGCCTCTGTCCAGTCACCACGGGCACCCTGGTCGCAAGAGCAATTGCCGTTGGATGGTGCTTATGGCATTGGTGACCGATGTTTTGGTCAGAGGCAACCAGCTGGCATGGGCTGGCAGGTCGCCGTCAGCCACTTTCTTGAGAACAGACTCGGTAGAAGGCCGTGGCATTGTGACATTGACCTCTGGGTCCATCGCGGGCACATGCTGCAGGGCTGCCTGGCGTTGATGGAGAGAAATGGTTGAGATGAATCAGTGTTGCCTTTTTTTGGTGGTAGAGATTGTTGTTGTTTCATTTTTGTGTGGAGGATAGTTTTTAGTTCAGATATTTTTCTTTTGGTTGAAGCCAGTGTTTTTGAAACATCTCCCAGTATCTCCCAGTGCGTTGCCATCTACCAAACACACGGTTCCGGACACATTCATGGTCGCCATGTCGCGGAAGCAAACAGAGGAGAATGATGGAACTATCCGTTCTTGAGGCTACAACAATGGACAGACTGTTGCTGATGAACCTGAGCAATGTTAGTCTGAAAACGCACGGAATGTGGAAGAATGTGTGCGGAATGCATTCTTCCCCAAAACCAAGAAACCAAGAACCAAGATTCCACCAGACTCTTAAACTGAATCTTGGTTTTGGGGAAGAATGCATTCTGCATGCCAAGAATGCATTTTCTCCCCCAAAACCAAGAATCCAAGAACCAAGATTCCACCAGACTCTTAAATTGAATCTTGGTTTTGGAATCATGTTCCCATGTATCCCTTGCATGTGTGCACCAAGAACTAAAAACCAAGATTGAATCCAAGAGTATGGTGGAATCTTGGTTCTTGGTTTTGGGAGAGAATGCATTCCTGGCATGCAGAACGCATTCTTCCCCAAAACCAAGAGACACTTAAGTAGCTAGACTAGCAATCCCTAACAACGATACTATATACGTATAGTGTATAGCATTCCCTCGTGTCCACATCTAGATGCCACCACCACAAATTCCAAAACCTAATTAAAAACACTTGTTTTTTGCGTGTAGGATTTCTCAAAGATATTGATGTTCTCATCTATCCCTTGCATGTGTGTACCAAGAACTAAAAACCAAGATTGAATCCAAGAGTATGGTGGAATCTTGGTTCTTGGTTTCTTGGTTTTGGGAGAGAATGCATTCCTGGCATGCAGAATGCATTCTTCCCCAAAACCAAGAGACACTTAAGTAGCTAGACTAGCAATCCCTAACAACGATACTATATACGTATAGTGTATAGCATTCCCTCATGTCCAAATCTATATGGCACCCCCACAAATTCCAAAACCTAATTAAAAACACGTGTTTTTTGTGTGTAGGATTTCTCAAAGATATTGTGTGTGGTATGTTTGATTCATATCCAAGACATAACTCATAACTATTACAAACTTGGTACCACTGATCTTGGGGGGTGTGCCATATATATATATATATACATATCCCCATCATGCTGCAATTGAAATGGTAAGACCCGCAATTTGTATCAATTTGATGGTTCAATAAGTTCAATATACAATTTTGGATGGTGAAAAGTTGCGCCAATCACTTGGATTTGCGTAAGGGCAAACCAAAAATGTCCCCATAGATTCCTGGAATCCAATTCTGGTGGATACAGTAAATGACAACAGACCAAAAATAATTGAAATGGTTAAATCCCCATGTTTGATGGTTTAATAAGTTAAATATACAATAATATTGGATGGTGAAAAGTTACACCAATAAGCCAAGAAATGACACCCCTCGCCTGACATAGCCGCTGGAGCAGGAGTACTGGCGGCAGCCTCAGGGCAACTGAGCAGAAAAGCATGACATGATCAACGGGTAAATCAAAAAAAACAAAGTTGTGGGAAAATCAAACGCCAAACAAATCCTTAAAAAATGATTAACCTGAGTTTAGCTTAAGGATGTTCTTGAAGCATCTCTTAGAGTCAACTGATCATGGAATGAAAACATACTGGTAACTTGGATCTGCTTCAAACCATAAAGAATAAAAGCAAATTCTCAGCCCATTTCTGTCTACAGAAATCACCTCACGGTAGGGATTTTGAATTCATGAAACGAAAAATCATCAGACAACAGGGGTTGAACTCGAACGCATCCCTGTTGAAAGTTCACCCCGAAGAGCTGCCAAGGGGCTGCCAGACCTGGGATGCAGCGATGCAGCGGTGCATGGCAAAGTGAAAAAGGGCATTTCATTGACTTATGACAGGGTGAATGGTTTAAGAACAAGCCAATAATTGGCTAACATTAATTATCCACTGATAATTCTATTACCATCTGGTTATTTAACATAGCCATAGAAAATCAGCATTTTTAATAGGTAAACCATCTATTTCTATGGGTCATCTATACCATGGCTATGTTAAATAACCAGAGGGTACTATTGATATGATTATCATCTGGTAAGAGTTGGATTGAGTCCCCGGGCCATCTGTTGGCCTGGGTCTTCCTCAGCTGAAATCGATTTTTTTGACGGCGAAAATAGGGGGTACCGTATTTTATCGATGGGTTTTTTTTAGCCCAAAAAGATAGAAAAGTTACGTCCTACTAAAATAATATAAAATAGTGATACTTCACTGTTCTATCTATTGGGGTGGGTGTGTGCGGTAATCAAACATGGCTGGAAAATCCCTGGAAAACCGGAGATCGAACTATAAATGATGGATTCACCAGTGCTATGTTTGATTACTAGAGGGTATCTTTTTTGGACCCACAGTTTAATGTGATTTAATTGATCTGTTTTAGGATTTGGCTAATTATGGGTCAAAGCCCTGGTATTCTAGTCCCATGTGAACCAACTCCCACCATCTCCAAAGCACAACGTATATACCAAATTAATCAGTGATCAGTAGGAGCAAGGTTCAGAGTTCAGTTCAAACGACAACTTCAAGTGTAATAAACCTGCTTGGTTGTACCCAGATGTTCCAGCATTCAATAGATGGCATTACTCCCAAATTTTCCAACCAAAAAAAGCCCAAGCGTTGCAAAAAATTGGGGCCCTGGCGCTGAAACGCGACGATCCTCCGCAACGCGGCGATCCTAAGCCGCAGCAAGCACTTGGCAACTGGTGAGATATGGGAAGCATTGGTAAGCAACCAATTCTATAACATGTAAATATAATCAATACATGCAACACTTTAAAACATGTTATAACCTGTTTGCATAACCGGCATGAGCCATTCAACGGGAAAATACTCACCAGGGTTGATGATTAACTGAACCAGTTTCTAAGTGGGATGATTCTCAAAGGGACAAACATGTCTTTGAAGGGACAAAATCTTTAATTTTGATGTTACATGGATGTAGCCACTTGTAAATCCTGAAGTACCTTCCAGCGATCAAACATGAAAATGGAAAGTTCGTGCCTCCACACTGGAGAATCATCGAAACCAGTGAGGTCTTGATACCCCAAGGCGTTGCAAGGATCACTGAGTTTCGAGCTTTATCGCACTTAACCTTGTAATCATAGCCTTGGCTCAACCCCCATGGGGCCTAGCCGGCCCCACTACAAGAAAGAAAACGACCATCATCTTTTGGTCCCAAAAGACGGCTCAGAGTCCATTGCTACCCGTGTTTGATGCATACCCAGTTGGCTGGGTGTTCTGTGTCGTCCTCTACGGCTCGTATGTTTGCTCCTGCCACATCAGGAAACTCAGTAGGCGGCAACCCCACAGACTGTCTCGCACTGTTCATCTGGGCACCCTACAACAGTTCTCGTACTTGGCGCACAGGCCTGGCGACCCCCGAACACTAGAATTTGGTTATTGCCCATCTAAAGCACCCATCTGTAGCGCTGATCACATAATTAACCCTAGTTAACATCTATAGCAACCCTACTGATGCTATTATTTACAAATTTACTTGGCGAACTATCTGGCACCATCTTGTGGTTCTGACCAAATATCAATATAGATAGAAAGATAGATAGACAGACAGATAGACAGATAGACAGATAGACAGACGGACAGATAGATAAAATAGATAGATTCGTGATGGTTTGGGTACATCATGTGGAATCCATGGGTCCTATCATCCTATCCCCATGCTAATAGTTGGCCCATCTGTACAAATTAGCAAAAAATGATACTGTCAAAAATTGTCTTTCGAGATGATGACATTTATCAAACAACACATTCTGCAGATTATTCCCCTCACTAACATTCACTAACCATCATTTCTTACGGTGATGTCGTTGTGAGGTCACCATACTTTACCTAGATGGTTGGTAGACGAGACGTCGATACGAGTTGTGAGCCAAAAAACCGTTGGTCTAATTTCCATACCGAAAAACAGTTCTCTGGAAGGCCCAAATCCATTTCGGAACACTTAGAACTCGCAGAATGAGCAGCGTATCAGAAAAGAGGAGCAACAGAGTCATCAAAGTTTGCAAAAGCTTCTTTTTAGATGTGTTTAGATCGTTTAGCAGTGGCTCGAGAGCCCAGATCTGACAAACGTTTGTCACTGAGTCCTGTCCTGTCTGACGGACTGTCTGAACATGTCTAACCCCTGGGACCTCGGGGACAAAAAATGATGAACGGAATTTTGAAACCAGGCTTTCAGGGGTTGGTAACTGTCCCATTTTGGGAATATTGAACATCACCTTATAGTAGCCATTATAGACCATATACCTAATGGTTGGATGATGTTCAATGGGGACATTTAATGACCCAGGCTTTCTGGAAGGATTTCATATTCGGAAGGAGGGACAAATTTTTGGTGCAACAAAAAGCTCCATTCCAAGGATCCGGCTGTTGCACTGACAATCCTGCCACCTGTCGAGTCAGCGGAATCTAGCAAAATGTTGATGACCATTTGGAACAATGACTTGATCCCCACCCAAACATCGCCTGAACAACTTGCCTGCTTGGAGGATTGGAATCATATGGAATCATCATCCCATGTGGAAAAGACGAGTTCGTGAAAGTATGGGAAACTACAAGTCTGTTGTTCGGCTTCTAATCAAAGATGTTGTTAATTGTTGTTATTCGATGTTATTCTGCTGGACCGGCTGAGAACATAGCTTCAAGGTGGTGCAGCAGCTCGTTTGCTAAGTTACAGTAGGGGTTTATGGCAGAAATCGAGCTGCTTCATGGGCTTTGCAAGCCAACGAACATACCTGAGGCGCATCACATGGTCTGGTCATGTCTGGTCACCAGACCTTTTTCAAAATGATCAAGTCCTGCCAGTCATGGGGCTACCCATTTCATCCAAGTCAGTACCCTCTGGTTATGTCAAAATAGCTATTGGAAATGGCCATTTATAGTGGATTTTCCGATTGAAAATGGTGATTTTCCATAGTTATGAGTTATGTTAGTTTACCAGAGGGTAGACGGTAGATGTAGACCATTTCACGATTGAAACCGGTGACTCGGGATCCACCCAAGTGGCGGCACCTCACATACTCCTCTCTGCAACCAAATCGATCGCAGCCTTATGCGGGAACTGGGCTGCGGGCCCGAAGGCCCCAACGGACCCAGGCAAGCGAAAAACACGGCCGTGCCGGCTTAAGGTCGTCACTTCCAGCTGTGAGAGATTGTGTCTTGGACCTCAAAGACTTCGGACACTTCGGTCGTGTGGGAAATGGCTACTGTGATTGACATTGATGAGATGTCTTGGAAACGCAAGGCATGTCAAAAACATCACTTGAAACCCATAAACCATATGATTTTACCAATTGGTCATTTGGAAATTATTTGAATACCAAAACCAGTCAAACTACCGCAAACTCAATTGATGCGTGGTGGATTGAAATCTTCACCCCTTGTCGTTCATATAACGGAGCAAGCGCAATGGTCCTTGTTAATCCTTTTTGGTGGTAGGATCCTATTCCCATAATGAGTTATAGCTAGTGTAAGATTATAATATTATATATATATATTGGTAGTAAAAACCCCTATGATAATCTACCAATACGTATTTTGCGCACTGCACATATGGAAACTTGAGGAAGAACCCTTAAGGCCCTGCAGGTGGTGTCAGGCTTCAAGGTACCATCCTCTCCAGTGGTTCATCATCATTTTTCCCATTAAAGAGAAATTGGTGCAGTTCATTATATACATATATATATGTGTGTGTGTGCATATATATATAGTTATATATATATAACTATATAAATATAATTGTATAGAATTATAAATATATATATATAATATGCACATATATATATATATAATTTATATATAATTATATGTAATTATATGTATATAATTGTACATATATATATATATCATTGTACCTATATATAATTGTACATATATATATAATTGTACATATATATATAATTGTACGTATATATATATATGTACAATTATATACATATAATTACATGTAATTACATATAATTATATATATATATTTATACTTATTTATATATTCATCATTATATATTCAATTTCTGGTTAAACCCATTTGCCCAGCTGACCAAACAATTGGTATCAACGCCTGTTGAATGGAAACCAACAGCCAAAGAGTTGTGGTTTCGTTTTTGTTCATCAGAACAGTGCGACATTTGATTGGAGCCAAATGGGACATCCTTCCTATTTCCAAACCCTTTCTGCAAAAAAATACGGGAGTATATAAATGTTCCGTGTTTCAACATCTTCAAAATCCCCAAGCTATTTTTTGGGGGGCCATGCCATTTACCTTGAGCCCAAGCTGAGACAGAGGCTGTAAAGCCTGAGCTGGTGTTCTCAAGGACTTTTTGCGCATCTTGGTTCACGGCAACATGGCCAGCTGTGGGACATATGGGTTTCAATAATACTCTCGGGGGCTTGGGGCTGAAACACACATTGCAAAGGAGTGTGCAATTCTGAATTCGAAGACTTCGGTGCCAACCCATTCTTTCTATCTAATTATATATCGATTGACCTTGAAACTTTGACATAGATGTCAATTCAAATTCTGTATATTTATACATTTGACTATTTAAGTTTAAGTGTTAACCCATCTACAGTATATCCACCCATCTGGTGATCAAAGTCAATGGGGAGACACCCTTGGCAGGTCATGTCCCATCTGGATGAGACAAAATCTTTGGTGGATGATAGGGTAGTTTTTTTGGATTCCCATGGTGTGATGTTGTGTGTACAAGACATAATTTATATACATAATATATATATATATACATCATATATATATATATATATAATGTATCTATAGGTATGTACATAATTATATGATACGTACATATAATCAGCCATATATAGATATGTATGGGTATGGGTATGGGCGGTATGAGTGTACATATGCATATTACATAACATGATTTATCCTGCCCCGTAGAAGGTCCCCACAGAACTAAACCACCACGGCCCAGCTGGCGGCAAGTGTCACTAAGAGTGCAATCCACGGCGGTGCTGTTCGCGCACCTCAGCTATGATGGCTTAGCTCTTCGACCCACCAAAAAGCGGGTAGTGCAAGACATTGGATGGTTTGATACTACGTATCATTTGGCGAATCAATCGAACGAAATTTAATAGAATCAGTTCCTGAGTCTCCATCGTATGAGTTCGCAGGGTCAGAACGAGTCACGGTTGTTGCCACGTCATGAAAGCCAGTTTTATGTGAGCCATCCTGTCTGGTTACGTACCCCATGGTTGGCACGTCTACGAATATGTGATAAACCCACTGGCTGCTGAAGTAGCCATTTACTGGTGGTTAAATCCCTATATAATGGCAAAGTCATCAAAAATTCTTAATGGTTAAATCACTATTCAAATCACCATTTAGCCTGTCACCATTTGTTAATAACCACTCTATGTTTTTTTTGGAAAAAATGATGGTTAAACCACTGCGACTAAGCCACGGGTCATCCTGATGCAAAGCTTCTTTGACTTCATCGCAGACAGCCTGGCGAAGCGCCCAGATGCACCTGGCCCGGCGCTACTGCGGTCGGTGATACTTTGGGAGTCGTCAACCAAGACCTTACCCTCTGGTAAACATCACCATAACTATGAAGATCCACCATTTATAGTTGATTTTCCCATTAAAAATGGTGATTTTCCATAGCTATGTTAGTTTACCAGAGATAAATACCCTCTGGTAAACATCACCATAACTATGGAAAGATCCACCATTTTTCATGGGAAAATCCACGAACTTTCTATGGGCCATTTTCAATAGCTATTTTGACATAACCAGAGGGTAGGTCAAAATCAACCAAAGCTGGTAGCTTAAGAAGCCGAAGTGGAGATTTTGTTCATATTTTTTCTAGTCAAAATGGTGATGTTACATATTTAACACACCTGAAGATTGAAATCTAAGCAACGAAAATTGATGTTTCACCAACTGCAAATTAGGAGCCAACCGCCACAAACGGGGCTTTATCCTCTGGTTATAAAACATGGCTGAAAAATCAATCATGGAAGTAGACTGTCCTATTGAAAATGGGGACGCTCCATTGCCAGTTTGGATCACCAGAGGGTCTGTAACGCAACTTGAGGTATTGATCATGTTGAATTATACTTCCAAACTGCAGTACAGTCAAGCCACAGGCATTGCAGAAAGCGGCGCATTGATGCGGTTGACCTTGGCGCATCATATCCCGGGATGGAATACATGAGAACCCCGGATGCCAGTGGGCTCTTGAGCTGATAGTTCCCACAATCAAATTCCCATCAGTACAGTGGCGTCGCAAGGATCGTTCATTATAATTCATCCAGATTATATATATATATCCTCAGTATATCATAGTAATAGTATATCATATACAGTATATCCCCGTTCTATTCTTGGTGGTTAAATCATGTTAAATCCCCATTTATGATAGTTAAATCATGTTAAATCCGCATTTCTGATGGTTCAATACTTTCAATACCCATTTTTGACGGTCAAATCCTTCAAGTGCCAACGTTTGACGGGTTAAATCGCCATTTTTGTTGGATAAATCGCCTTTGTTGATAGTAAATTCACCATTTTTGATGGTGAAATCGCCATGTTCGTTGCTTACCATGCGTTTCCACCTGCGGCAACCTCCAGGGTTCCCCACATGTGCAGCCTCGCCTGGAAGACGACACAAAGACAGCAGCGCTCTTAGCTGCCTGGTAGGCGATTTCCAATGGGATATGAATGGAATCTTCAACTGATATTAAGACTATTAATGGGGATATGACTTGGGATATGACTTGGGATATGACTCGGGATATGACTTGGGATATGACTTGGGATATGACTTGGGATATGACTTGGGATATGACTTGGGATATGACTTGGGATATGACTTGGGATATGACTTGGGATATGACTTGGGATATGACTTGGGATATGACTTGGGAATGATTTGGGATATGATATGGTTTGGGAAAGTTAGAATATCTGGTTGGTGGTTGACCTACCCCTCTGAAAAATATGAAAGTCAGTTGGGATGATTATCCCATATATTATGGAAAATAAAAAATGTTCCAAACCACCAACCAGATATGATTTGAGATATGACTTGGGGATTTTGACTGGGGATGGTAAACTGATATTAAGATTATTGAGGATATGATGGAAATTAAATGCATGGCTACCCTCTGTTTTTGGCAATTTTTCTAAGCAATTTGGGGAAGCGATGTTCGAAAGGATTGGATTTTGCAGGGGAATCCGAATTTTGAGACAACCCCTTTAAAGGCGACCCTACCTAGTACCTAGATTATAGCCAACGAATTGATTTAAGACATGATTGTACATCCCATGTTCTTGGCGATACATTACCCATTTACTAAGCTGCTAGCTCCCGGCATCATCAATGTATGTGGATGTTTAAAGCCTTCAAGAGCCCATGAAGAAGATGAAAGTCATTGCTGGCAGGGTTCAACATGAACAAAATTTATATGGTTCATATTCAATGTAAGACCACCAGCCCATGGGTGTTGTTGTTCGTATGCAATCATCTTAATGTTCACAAACGTTGCGCAAATCAATCCAAAAAAAGATTAACGATGGGATAGCACCACTTACAACTCAGCAAAAGTGATGGTGATGACAAACAAATATGGGAACCATCAAAGTTCATTCTCCAATTCAACTTGGTCTGCCATTCCCAACCATTGGTTTTTACAAGCTCATATCTTCAAAATGACAAGTGGCATTTGCAAAACTAGACCATGTACAGATGTATGCCCAACCGGGTCTACTTGGGTCTGAAAATAAGTTACCTAAAAATGCTAAAATCTGGGTTAATTCCAATATTTCACGAACCTAAAATAAGGCTATATTATGGATAGTTACCCTTACTAACCATCATTCCAGTGAGGTCGCAGTGAGGTCCTTATAATTTACCCAGTAAAATCCATTCAAATCCATTCATTTACCCACTCAAAATCCAGTAAAAATCCCATTGAAAACCCCCATCCGGCCTTGAGAGGGTCGTAGGCTACCGATGATTTGAGCCAAATTGGTTGAAAGTCCCATATTTGGCTGGTGAATTCGTGGTTTCAACATGTTTCAACCTGTGAATCATAAAAAGATCTGCAGAATATCTGACTTCAAATGTGAAAAAAACTGAATTAAGGCTATAGTTGCTTGTTCTTCAACCAAAAATCCGCCCACACCGCTTTGGCGGTGAAGGCGTGCTTATTGGGGGGCAACAGCAACACTAAATGCTCAATGACATTTGTTAATATAGCAGTCGCTATATCAGCTTTAGCTGGGGGGGGGGCCCAAAAACGGTTTCGCACCGAGACCAGAATACGGTGGTGTTTTCGACATTTTTCGAGGATTTTTGGGTGTCTGAGCGCAAGAGGGTATTGAAATGGAATTTTGGGTCATTTTGGTAGCTTTCCGGCAATGGAAAAACGGCCAAAAATGAAAAAAACATTGTACATAGCAAGATTTTGCAGGGTTTTTGGATGCCAGAGCATTGAAAACACTGCAAAAACAAGTGTTTTGGACTGACGTTATAGCAAAAAACGTGTAAATTACCGTATGCTTGACTGGAAACATTACAAAAACACTGTCAAAAGCAATGTTTTGGAAGGATTTACTGCCTTTATGGCAAAAAACGTGTAAATTACCGTCTGTTTGACTGGAAACATTGGAAAAACACTGTCAAAAACAATGTTTTGGAAGGATTTCTTATATATATGTTGGAGTTGGCTACCGGCATTGGCACATGGAAAAATTGAAGAAAACACTGTAAATAGCGGTATTTTCAACGGTTGGGGAGATAAGGGAATTGGAAGCATTGTCGAACATGATGTTTTCGACCGGTTTTATGGCGACAAAAGTGTAAAGTACCGTGCTTTGAAGGAAACCATTGCAAAAACATGGAAACACATTCAAAGAACACGGGATTTGGGGGACTATCTAGGCGTCGTTGTCTAGCTATTTGAAATTCCGCAGCTTGGAGAGCCTCCAAGGGAGGGAAAAGTGAAAATTCCATAGCTTGGGAAGCTGTCACGGCGGGGAAAAGTGAAAATTCCCTAGCTTGGGAAGCCCCCACGGGGGGGAAAAGTGAAAATTCCCTAGCTTGGGGAGCCCCCACGGGGGGGAAAAGTGAAAATTCCCTAGCTTGGGGAGCCCCCACGGGGGGGAAAAGTGAAAATTCCCTAGCTTGGGGAGCCCCCACGGGGGGGAAAAGTGAAAATTCCCTAGCTTGGGGAGCCCCCACGGGGGGGAAAAGTGAAAATTCCCTAGCTTGGGGAGCCCCCACGGGGGGGGAAAGTGAAAATTCTTAGCTTGGGGAGCCCCACGGGGGAAAACCACCCTTAGCCCCTCTCACGGACCGAAATAAACCTGCGGTGTGGGCGGCCACCCCACGCGAAGCGGGGTGAATATTGTTTTCACATGTTTTCACTGTTCTTACTAGTCATCCACTTTTGGACACATCCAACTGCTGCCAACCTTTTGCGCGCAGTTTCCACTGGAGCGATTCTGACATCGAACTCCAGCCCCGTTTGGGGCTTTTTCTCGATGCTTCTCCACCATTAGCTGGATGACACCGGGGATTGAACCAAATTCGATAAGCAGAAGAGTCCATTCCAATTTCTGTATATAGATGTATATAGCATCAAAATGTGTAAAACATAAAATGAAATCATAGACATAGATGTACATTGTCTGTATCTAAACTGTATATACATGTTGTGTACTCTCTTCGAATTGTTCAGGATAAAGTCGGAAGGTAAAGTCGTGAAGATGGCCGCCCCCTGCTACACTCATTCCATCCGGGTTGGGTTTTTACAGCAAAATCTTCGTCCCATCAATGGCCATTGGGTGCAGATCCAAATAATCAACGGGTGGGAAATTTGGCTCATCCCCTGCCCTGGTGAAACAACGCTGCGAAAGCGAGCCACTGGGAGCATGGCAGCCACCGAAGCCTGGGAAAAATAGAGGGACCGGTAGAGGATAGCATTTATCATCTATCTGCGAGCTGAAAAATGGGCAAAACCCCTCTGTCAATCAACCAGTGAAAAAGGACATCTAAGAACCCATTTGGTTCTCTCTGAACATGTATCTCTAAATCCATTGCTTAATCATCATTGGTGATGATTTTTAGTTCTGTTCCTTTTTTTCAACAGTATCATTAGGTTTCATCATGTTTTCCATATCTGTTCCATATACCCTCTGGTTATTTAATAGCCATGGAAAATGGCCGTTTTATAGATGGTTTACCTATAAAAAATGGTGATTTTCCATGGCTATGTTAAATAACCAGAGGGTACTTGTCCTATGTTTTCCTATGAAACACTTGTCCGTCGATCCACCTCCGCCATGGTTGGTTTAACCACCCACCCCATCGGCCTGGCCGAGGCCGACTCACGCCGTGGCATCTTCTTGGATGCGCTTGAGCTCCTGGACACTGATCCCTTCAGAAAGGAAGATGAGATTTTCCAGGAGAAATTGGGTTTATGATCCAAGTCAGTACCCTCTGGTTATGTCAAAATAGCTATTGAAAATGGCCCAGTCGAAATAGTGGATTTACCCATTAAAGATTGTGATTTTCCATAGCTATGTTTGTTTACCAGAGGGTACTGTCAATGATGATACCATTATCAATCATATATATATATACATACATAGTATCCAGATGGTATCTCACTAGATAACAGATAATGATATATCAATGATGTATCATTCATTATTTTTCATGATGTACCATATCTATTATAATGCGTACTTCAATATCAATTCATAGATACTCATCCTCCAATTCATGTATTTTTCCAGATCTTATTTATTTACCTATTTATACATGAAAAATAGTATTTACCATTAACAAAATATATACATTATATTAATGTGTTTTACCTATTAGTATTTTCCAATTCATCATCCTATTAAGATCATCTGGATATTATACATATATATATGATTGATAACCTATTATCAATGGATTGGCTGAAGGGAAAATCTACAGGAAACCATGGTTTTTACCATCAAATATAGGGGTTTCCTGTAAATTTTCCCATCATCCAATTCTATGATATTAACATTGTTTACCTAGTAAGCGCCTATTGATGTTTTTTAGCTATGTGAAATTACCAGATGGATCCAACACCTCCATGCTGACGTTGCGCGCACCCCCATCCCGTGGTTGAAACCATCGTCTTCCCTCATCAATTCACTATCATGTTGAGACAAATCCATATATATATATATATACACATATATATACATACAGATTATATAGTACTGTATATCACATGTATATATATATAATATGTAGGACATATCATACATATTATAATATATATATATACGTATATACAATCATATTACATATTGTCCCTTTGCCTCAACTTCAATCCCTGTTCTTGACAGACTCTCATCCCCATGCTGTTGTTTTTTTCAGATCCGCAGGTCGGCCAACTGCACGACTTTCCGCACCTTCTGCTCCGCATGTTTCCTGAATTGCTGCTGAATCTTTTCTGCCTGCCAAGTCTGATCAGGCGTGGCTGCTCGCGGTTGACCTAAGTCACGCCTGTGTGCTGAAATCTGCTTTCCCCCATCTAGATGCAGTTTCCAGGAACTCATGCCTATGTCATGCCTGCAACCCAACTCACCATCTAAATGCAGCGGAAACCTCTGCTTCATTTTGATTAACTGATACCAATAGTACAGCACAAGGCGGTGGCGGAAGTTTCAAAGATCACAAACCTATAGGAAGTGTTGGGTTGTTGAGTTGTAGAAAGTGGTTGTGGATCATCACACACTGGGATTGAATAAAGATTCTATGAAACCATCAAACGGTATTTCCATAGTAGCTCAAGGCTTCACCGCCAAAGCTTTTCCATCACAGCATTCTCATCTTTCAGCTGGCAACGGATAAATGGCGGCCCTCCCAAGATGATTTCCATAGGCAGCTCTTTGCTCCAGCATCGTCAGGTCTCCCCAGGCCCCGGCTGCCGCCTGCTCTTTGCGCTCTTTTCTCTGAGCCTTCAAATGGAGAGTTTGAGGTGGTCAACACTAAAATGGTACCCAAATGCTACACTAAAATAAATCTAAAATAGCTGGTGAATGGACGGTGATTTCCCCAAAGATGGTAATAATAGGTTTTGACCCGATGTCAGGAAGTGGACTGGAGACGTATCGAGATGTATCGAAGAATCATGCTCGGACATATAAGGGAAAATGATGTGTTGAACCCCAGATACTACTTGGAGGATCATCCCACTTAGTCCCTCATAACTCTGGGAACCCTGGTTAGTAAGTTCCCGTTCCCCTTTCGTGGTTACGGATTCCCCATGGATTATGATCTTCCCAGTATTTCAAGGGTAATCCCCCAACTCATCTGGTTGGTGGTTGAGCCACCCCTCTGAAAAATCATGGAGTTCGTCAGTTGGGATGATTATTCCTACAGTAATATATGGAAAGTCATAAAAATCCATGGTTCCAGTCACCACCAACCAGTCATAAACCAACAGAGGCTTTGAACACCCGAAAGCCATGGGAATCCCATGGGAATCCCAGATCTGAGCCCCATGGCCACCGCAGCATCGCGCACATCTTGCGGCTTTCGGAGCCATTGCCTCAGCACCACGGGATGGACGAGCAATTGTGGTGGGATTGTTGTGGACAATCATGTTGAAGAAGCGTGACGGCCACATTTGCTGGGTCAACAACTGGAGGGAAAATCATAACTATATAATTACAATATGGTTCATGTAGCATTATATAACATTATATAACACTGTATAACATTATATAACATATTGTTATAACAATGTTATATAAGATTATGTAACATTATGTTATAACAGTATGGTATAACAATATTGCATAAGATTATATAAGATTATATAACAATATATAACACTATATAACATTATATAACATTATATAACATTATATAACATTATATAACATTATATAACATTATATAACATTATATAACATTATATAATATAACATTGTATAACATTATATAGCATTATATAGCATTATATAACATCTAAATGTGTATATATATATGTATGCGCATATTAACATTATATCGACATTATATAACTTACAAATACTTACAACTTATCATTATAGTTCCAATTTGAGAAGAACATTCGGAATAGAACTTGAACCCTTCTGAATTCCCCCGGTGGGACCTCCATCCGCGTTGAATGCAGATCACCTTCGCAATCCTCGGCCAGGGCGCCGTTTTTCGGGGGGTGAAAAACTGACAGCTACCACCAGGTTATGGCCACTTCAATGGGGAAAATAAGTTTCAAACCAGCAAAATGGGTTTTGAACCAGCAAAAATTGAGGAACATGTAGGAACATGAGGTTTTGAAATGCTATAAACCATCAAAATTTGGGAAATATAGTTTTTAAAACCATCAAAATTAAGGGTAAATACCTCCAAGCAATTCGAGAATCTAATATTGGATCTGTTCATGTATAGGGTGGCCATATGGGGATAGGGGATGTGAGTAAAACTGATTCTTGATAGTAAACTAATTACAGGACATGTTTGGAAGCTCCATAAAGAAATTACGATTCAAGTATGTAGATTCTGTCTCACAGATAGTTCTGGTAAAAAGTGTGAGTTGCTCCGCGATCATAACAGCTGCAGTCCCAGTGTCAAATGAAGCTTTCGACGACGCACCAGCCATCCTCGAATGTGAGCCTGTCATCACCGAGGGAATCTGAGTCCACTTGAGACCGGACTTTGGGCACTCGGGACATACCTGGGGGTGCAGTATATGCCCAAAATTAGAGGGGTTATATCCCAACTGCTGGGGTTGAAAATCTCATGGACCATTATTCACCATTCTGAACCACTGTTGACCATTTCCCCATAGACCCACCATAATCCCATCATAAACCCGTTACCCTCTGGTAAACATCACCATAACTATGAAAAATTACCATTTTTAAGAGGGATTTATCATCTATATCTATGGGCATTTCCGCCTCAATGCTGGTGGCTTTTTGCTCCTTCACCTGGCAGCACCATGGCACCATGCTGGGAAAAAGCATCAAAATGAGGTTTTGATCTTGAAAAGATATGGCGTAAAACTACATATAACTATACTGTATCACCAGCATTAAGCAACAATCCGTGAGTTAACTTGTAAATCCTGCCTAGGGAAAGCCATGGATGTCCATATCTATGTCAAGAAAACTTGAAACACACACAAATCAAACAGGGTGAAGCTTCATTTTGTGTTTGTGGAGGTACCCTTGCAGCGATCAAAGATAGCTGAAAAATCCACTGCAAATTGATGGTGTTTATCGGATGACACTCGAACACCACGCACTTGACATTGACTCTTCTGGAGGTTTCGAACCACCTACATTGAAAATAAATCCATCATTATATATATATATATATATTGTATCCAAGAGCTATTTAAAGATGTTCAAAACTTACCAGTAGTTGAGCTACCTCTTAAAAATTATACAAGCGTCAGTTGGGATCATGCGGGCTGAACATCAACAATCATGGAAATCAGCAGCCAATGCTTTGCGAATCCCTTTCTTTTGCCCATGTTTGGTGGTTAAATTACAAAGTTTGGATGGCTAATAGCTATCTGGACCTATCGTATAAAATCCATGGGACACTCACCAATACCTGGTGAAGCAATATCTTCCAGGAAGTAGATTCCCCAATAGGATCCAAATGATGCATTACACCCAACAGGAAAATCGATGTTGAACAATAATAATAGTCTTCAGCAAATAAAAGATATAAAACAGCAGGTAGATTCCCCGTTTCTGGTGCATCAATTTACCCGGCAAATACACAGAATCATGCAACTTTGTTACCACCCGAATGAGGATATCATCAACACGACAATATATCTCAAGAAAAACATCTTCCACAAATCCAAGGTATTCTCTGAAACAAATGGGTCTGGGCTATACCAGCCAAATATAGCTAAATATTATTGCTGTGAACAGGAGATTCCATGAACTGACCCACAGACACATTCGAGTTTGATTGCTGAAAAATCATGTTCAATCAGTGATTCATCTCCATTTGGGGATGGGTCAAAACCCTGGTACCTAGTGAACACCAAAATAGCTGGTAAATGGATGTTCATCCCACTAAAAATGTATCTATAGGTATTGACCCATACCCATTTCCCAACTGGTCAAATCCACATTTTGCTGGATTTTTCCAAGGCAAAACCAACGAAAAGAAACAGGTCCTTTTCGAAGTCATGGCCTGGTGCCACAGCCGCTTTCTCAGCGCATGGCCGCGCACAACTCTTTGGATGTTGACCTTCGTCGGCATGAAAGTTGGCCTAGAAATGACATCTTGAACCAGCCAAATTTGAACCTCGGCCAGTGAAAAATATGAGAAATCTGGGTTTTAAGACAACACAGGGGAAGAGGTTGATTCTAACCAGTCGAATCGATTGAAGCATCAGTAGGGATTTTTCCCAGTAGTGGATGGGATTTAATTAATTCAAACCTACAGATTTCGGGTGAAACCACTGGAAGGTGAAACAAATCAATTCAGCTGCGCCACCATCTCCTAGTATCTTATTTCCATAAATGGGGGATCCCCAATAGCTGGATGGTTTAAAACAGAAAATACTATAAAAATGGATGATTTGGGGGTACCCCCATTTTAGGAAACCTCCATATAGTTATATTACTACTGTAACTATATAGTTATATTATGTCATATTACTACTGTAACTTAATATCCAGTGGTTAAAACCATCGTTTTCGCCAAGTAGATAGCCATTCTTTGGAGGTAAATGCCATTTTTAGACCAACCCTCGTTCAAGATCATCGTTTTCCCCAGTAAGTCCATCAAACAAAATCATCCAGGTGTCTTAATCCCATCTTTCATGGTTAAATCCCCACATTCGGCTTGGTCAAACAAAAAAAACACAGAATCAGTTTGAGTTTTGTTTGAAGCTACGCAAACCCATGCACTGATCATCATATTCCCATCGATTTGCCTCCGATTTTGTCTAGATTTCCCAGATTTTCCCATAGATTATCATAGATTTGCCTAGATGTTCCAAGATGTTCCCACCGTTTTCCCCACAAAAAAATGGCCACAGCCAGGGATCCCAGGGATCCCAAAACAGCCAAGCCGCGGCTGCCCGACGGGCGCGCAGGTAGCGGCGCAGGAACTTCTTGCGCACCAGGGCGCCCCGGAGCAAGGCCTATCTGGGACGTTTTTAGGTGGAGGTCATGGGAATAATCTGGAGATATCATCTCCATTGGTTAACCTGGAGATGATGGAGATCATGGTTTAGAATCGGTTTCATGGTTATAATAAGTTATAATGAATATCAATGTCAGTAAAGCAATAGGATCCACCATCCCCAAGTTTACCACACATGATGGGATGGGATAATCCGTTCAGTTTAGATAATTTGTGGGGAAGAATTCCAGTTTAGAGTTTAATATAGTTTAGTCATAATCATCCTGCAGTAAATGATGGGATACAATGGGATACAATGGGATATGACGGGATATAATGGGATATGATCGGATACAATGTAGTATATAAGTTGTTAATCCCATGGTTCATTATAATGTTCCCCATTATATAGAACAAACGTTTGAGGATATACTGTTAGTAAAGCAATAGGATCCACAATACCCCAAGTTTACCATTTTAAGGGGTGGTACAAACCATTAAAATAAAATATAGGTGGTTTATTGCTCTACTAACATTAGTGGGGAGTCATTCCAGTTTAGCTATAATCATCCTGAAGATTCCTGAAGTAGATGATGGAATATACTGGGAAATTGTCTGGTATAGAATGACCATATAATGAAGATATCTAGTAGCTACATATCGGTTTTATATTTTGATTGGAATAAATAGCCACAAAATTTGTTAATCACCAACTGATGGCTGTTGAGCATTTCTGATACATTCCTGAATTGAATTGGTATTAATAACCAATAATAGAGGGGAAATCACCACCTAACATGGTGATACAAAAGGGTATGGCTATATATATATCGGATCAGAAGCTGCAAAAAACTGTTTTTAATGATAAAAAATGACTACATAATGGTGATAGTTGATTGCACATGATGAGATATATAAACAACTTGATATTATATTGGGTATATTTTACAGAGTTGCTTCCAACAGCCCAGATACATTTGGGGGGGAAACTGGGTAGATACAAAACATAAAATGACCAGTTTTTCCCTCCCTGAAGCTACTATTTACCTACAATGGATTGGATAAACCCTGATCATTAACTGGGCCTTGTAATTATTACAGGCTATAATATATATATATATATCATATATAATATAATATAATATGATATAATGTAATGTAATAATATAACATAATATTATATATATATAATATCAAATTATCTCCCAAAATATGGGATTTGTCCACCAAAACCTCCATTGAGTGCATGGATTGTCCAATTAAAACCAATTCCATCAGCAAATTTCATAGGTAAATGATGGTAAATGAAGGATTATTTGCCAGGATTCATGGTACATTTAATCATAGGATTACCCAATCGTATTCTCCCCCCCAAATTCCATCCTAATGGTCCAAATCTTACATGACTTCGCCACCTGAACCCTCTGGGCTGCTCGGAAGCGCCGCCGCGCGCGCTCGAACCTGGGGTCGCTGGGGTCGCTGGGGTCGCTAAAGCAGTGCTATGACCTGAGATTTTTGGGATGGTAAGCCATCAAAAATATGGATTCAACCATCAACAGTTGGGGTTTTATCGGATTTAATGGGATCTAATTAACGAATAAGATGATATCAATTCCTAATCCAATATGGATACCCTTTGGTTATTTAACATGGCTATGGGAAATGGATGAAAATGGCGCATAGAAATAGATTGTTTATGACGATTTATCATCTATGAAACATTGTGATTTCCATAGCTACGTAAGAAAATTTGAAAAAGGGGAATTGAGATCAATCAAGTATTTTGGGCAAGAATCAGTTGGGTGGTGATGTTTGCCCCCTGAAAATCTCTACTTGAAATCATCAACCAATCTTCAATGTTGCACATAACTTTGGATATCAGTGATAGGATATTGTTCAATCGAACATCCCAAAGAGATCCGTTATATAAAATATATATAACAAAAATATATTATACTGTGTATATACACTGTATATATATACGTATATCAGTGAAACCAGCTGATAAAGAACTGAGAATAGCAACACTGGCAATGAAGGAAGTAAATTCCAAGTCTATGCACTTCCCAAGTGTTCATCCTGACAGCTATCGTGGCAAATCATCCTGAAAGTAAGATTCAAAAAGTATGAAAAAGAAAAAGCCCTTCTTGAGATGATTCCTATTAAATCCTATTAATATAAATCTTCACTTATAAACCATCAATATTCAAGGGACCCATCTATTTCTAGATACATATCATATGTCATATATTAAGCGACCTCATTGAAGGTGATTTGATCAAACATCATCGTGAAAGATTTCGACGTTTGATTGCCACATGTTCTTTAGTAATCTAATTAGATGTGGGGGGAATAATACTACAAAACAAAGAAAAGATGTTAATGTGACATGTTTATTAGTGCCATATTGTTCTTTAATTGCCATGATTTCTTTAGTCTGTTTGTACCCTTGTAATCCAATAATGAATTCCAGTAATATTGATGGCAATTTATTCCAGTAATATTAATCTACCATCTGGTTATTTAACAGTTTGCCATGGAAAATCACCATTTGTAATAGGAACCATCTATTTCTATGGGCCATCTATACCATGGCTATGTTAGTCATAACCAGAGGGTATAAAAATGGTGATTTTCCCACTAAAAATTGTGATTTTCCCATTAAAAATGGTGATTTTGTACCCTCCAAAAGCCCACGGTCTGTGTCCCTACTCAGCTCGAGCGATCTTGCGGCGGATCCGACCAACCTGACATCACGGAGCATCACAACGGATATGGGTTTGTCTCAAAACACGTGAGACAGACCTCGAAGCAAGTGCAATTTTAATGGGGATGACGGTCGACCCCGAAGCCAGGATTTGTTTTCCTATATAATATATACTGTGTATATATATATACGTATGTACATATACTATTATTGATTTTGGGTATGCGGCATGCATTATCAAGATCTTAAGATTTCCCAAACATTATACATACACTATAACGGTTTCACCAGCCACTGGATAGAGAAAAACTGTCACTGTCCAGCCGCATTCCCAGCACATCCCAGCCACGCATTCGAAGATTTCCTCCGAAAAAAATTCTCGAGATCTGAAGATGTCAGAATCTATCTTGGTTGACTTTATGTTAGTTCACGAATCTGAACCTTGCCATAAATTTATGGCCCCACTTTGGGTTGATTCCTCCATGATCCATTGGGTCCATCATGAGGTCACTATATTAATATGTCACTCTAATTTCTCCGGATCTCTACAGATCCGAAGCATTTCCCATGGCGACTCGCTGAACCCTCCCAAACCATCGCCTTGGTCCTGGCGAGCCAGCCTCGAATGTGGCGCTGAATCGTGACCTCGGTGTTCCAACCGTTACCTCAAAGAATGACCGACAAGAAATGGGACCACTGGCAGAAGATCCGTCCCAACTGAAATCCCAGCGGCATTGACCATCATTTACCATAGCAGTGTCCAAACTTCTGCAGCTGGCAAAAAGATCCAGCTATTGACATATCCTTCAGGTTGAATCCAGTAACTCCCATATATTGCTATGACTTGCCATGTGGCTTTGGTAACAGAAAATGATGGGAAACGCCCATGCAATCATTCCATCCAGTGGGAATTTTCATCATTTTCCCATATCCTCCCATCATTTTTCCGTCATGTTCCCATCATGTCATTACAACTTGATGGATCAACTGCCGCCCAAGGAACAGCTGCCATTTCTCTCTGCCAAACCTGGCGTGTCCGCTTTTTAAGCATATCCCAGATATGCCATGATGTTGCTGAGATGATGCCATTGATGATGATGTGATGGAATGATCAATGAATATATTATGGCATAATCACACTGAAATTGATTGAAATCACCATGATTGAATAATCACAATAGAATCTACAATTTCATCATTGTGATATTTGGATGGTCATTGTGATTCTATTCTGATGATTCATTGAATGATCATAATCATAAGATGAATAATAATAACATCAATAATATATATATATATTCCAGAGGTATTTCAAGCGTACTCTCCATTGTGTTTTTTTGTTTAAAAAATCAATGATAACAATGCAACTGAATAATGAAACATAGTAGTAACAACAAACAATATCAATACATAATAACAATCATAAGCACCAGCATCACCATGTCGATGAGCATATTGTTGATGAGCTCACAGCATCCAATTTGGTGCTTCATCCCACTTATTAAGAAGGTTATAACCCTGGTTCTCAGTGAATTAACCCGGCTTATCCATACTTCTCCCACTTATAACTAGGTATGTGACCTACTGAGTAAGTGGGATGAGCCACCAAGTATACCTAGTTCCACAGAGTCCCATGGCCTCTTCATACTTGGCTTCCCACCTCACACGACCCAAGTACCTGCCGTTTGAGTGGAGACCTTCACTTCTGATCTGCCCAAGTGTTGCCACATGTTCTTGGGGAACAATCCCAGTCCCAGGGCTTCGTTGTTCCATGTTTTGTGCACCAAAAATAAGAAACACATCAGAAGAGCAACTTTAAAACCAAAAATACATCGTGTTACAACTAACAAAAACTTGTTCAGAGGATCTTTTGACCATTTCACTCAAAGGAAAAAACCGCATAAAGTTGGGTGCAACCATTATATATATATATTATCAACCAATTTTATGAACCAGTACATCAACTATCTTATCATATTTTATCAACCATGTGTAACCCCAACTGAACCTCCAGTTGTATCTCCGATCCATTCCCATCCGCAGTCGCACCCGCGCCAGATGCGTTGGATCTCCAGCGCACCCCAGAGCTCCTCCTCCGCCCGCACCGCCTGGCTGATAGGGGATTCAAGAAAAATCATCAGAATATGAGGGGTTTAAGATGGTTTAAGGAGCCAAAATAGCCAAAACTCAGATTTATAATTAGACACAATTGATGGAGATGGAGATGAGCTATTCATAGATATTCTAGGCTGACGATCATTCACAGATGGATATCAGCTAGATGGATTAATAGCGTCTCCGACCATCTGACATTCCCGACAGAGCCCAACATGAATAGATCCACTCCGAAAGGAGGGTTTGGAGGGCATTTAATCTTGGGGAGAAGGGATATATGGTTTGTCTGCTGTTTTCCCATCGCATGAGAATCTTCACCTATACCACTGCAACGACCAGTGAGCTCACCACTCGACGATGGGAGTTAAGCAGTAAAACATCCAGGTTGTGTAGCCAAGAAAACTGGATGGTTTGTATATGGTTTGTATACTGTAGTGCTCAACATGGACTGAATGGGACAGAAAAAGCGAACTGTTGACCCATGCCCATGCCTATGTCAGCCCAAAGTTCTAGAGAAGCAAATTGTTTTAACTGGGTGGATAGAAGTCGAATAATAGGGTTACCGGAAAGTTGCACGATGTGCGGTTGTTTTTTTTTAGTTTACATTTCAGGGTACAAGAAGCCCATGTTTTTCGTGCAATTTATATATTAGTCTAAACCAATGCTTTGGACCGTTGAAGATTGTGATTTTCTTGTATCTGTCGTACAAACATTCAACCACCCATTTGCAAATCTTACTATCACACAGGTCTAAGGTCTAGGTTGTTACACATTGCAACTACGCGCACGAAGTCTTTTTTAGATCATCCTTTCCGGTGGTAAACCACCCCCTTGAGATTCTCTATTGAGATCATCATAAAGAATTCGAGTGGAAAACAAGTATGGAAATATCCTGAAACCACCAACAGACACCAATCAGACTTCACTGATTAACCATGATATACACTTGATAACCCTCGTCTGTTGCCAGGGGGGGGGTGAGGCACCTAAAAAAATAAAATAAAATGCAGGGGCCTAAGGAGAAAATGCCAATAAAATGAGAGGGCATAAGGTAAGATAGGAAAACCCAAGCAAAATACAATGGACAGGTACAAAAAGAAAATGACGTCGGCACCCTCCACCTGGCCACTGGTGGACCTACGTTATGCAACTGTTGGACCTCGGGCCCCGGCATTTTCTTTTGGGTTGATCTTGTTTTGTCTTGTTTCCCTTCTTTGATTGGTTTTAACCATCTTTGAAGGAAAACCCGAAAACCCCCAAAATTGCAAGACCCAACCTCCAACGTATCCCAGCATCCAGGAAGTCAATGCAATCTTTTGTCGCGTGCCAACAGGTGACCATCGAATCGCCCCTTTGATCTGTACAGAATAGATTGTTTCCCCAACTGCCAGGACTAACGAATTATTGTTGATCCTGCCAGGCCTGTCATCATTTGGGTCTGTCTGAAAATGGCCCCACCTAACCATTTAAATTTGGAAAATGACAAGCAACCACAGGATTTGGGGGATACCCTTTTTTCAGATGCTCCATAATGATTCATAATACCCAGGTGATTCCAAATCTCTGGAACGTTTCACAAAATGATCAGACCGTTCACAGCTGTGCAGCTTTGCTACATGCTATCTCTGTCAGTTAACTTGATGGGTTAGGCACCTCAAAAAAATAAAAGTTAACTTGATGGGTTAGGCACCTCAAAAAATAAAATGCACCCACAAAATAAAATGCAGGGGTCTGACCCCATTTTATTTTCATTTTATTTTTTTATTTTTTTATTTTAAAAGGGGCTTCAGCCCCCCCATTCTATTTAGGTACCCCGGACGGGGGTCTTGATATACACTTGATATACCAATTATAGTGGTATCTAGTGGTGATTCATCCATAGGCGGGCCACTCTTCACCCCGCGCCTGTCGCCACATGCGCAGACGCACCAGGAAGCCCCGAGCATAGCGCTGCATCGTGATGACCTTCTGCACATGCCTGAGCTGGCGTTTGATGTCGGTTTAAACCATGGTGAAACCATGGTGAAAAAAAAAACAGTTGACATGGCTATACCTGGTTTATACCAATAATAGTTATCATGAAAAACATGGCTATACCGAGTTATACCAATAATAAACTATGGTAAAACCAATGTTAAACCCTATCAGGGATGGTTTATTATTGGGTCTATCACATTAGACTTTGAGTCTTGAACCATCCGTTTGTTGGAGATGTCTTACTAGTTTAGGATATTTTTGAACCACTTCCATCTGCCCACAAAGGGGAGATGGTTATAGATGGTTGCTTGTGGGGTGTTAAGTACTTGGAACTGGGGATATTGACGTAATCCTAAAACGTGAAGCAACCACCAAAAAGAAAAAATATTGACTTTGCCACTCTTTCTAGGACTTTACATGTCTATCATAAAACTTGGGATTGCCATCCCTACCATGGATGCCGATTTGATCCCCGATTCCAGTCAACTCCGATTAGCAAGAATGCCAGAATATGGGTCCATCATTGTATGATCTACTTGAGACTTACGACTGCTTGAACACAATTGGATTGGAGTTTCCCACTTTTCACAAACACCACAACAGCTCTGCAAAAAAAGTAGCTGAGAACTCACCCTTGAAAACGCTGGGCCGCACAACTCAAGGCCACCCACGAGTCCCCTTTAGTCCACTCGCTTGCGCCGCGCCTCCCAAACTCTTCCATCAGCTCTAAGTATTTGCGGCGCGTCCTGGCACCGAGCCACATCTTTCTCATATAGGTTGCGGCCTGGCCAAGGGCCACAATGGGCGCGTGTGGAAATGGGGGATGGACACCCCAAAAAAAGGAAACTTTGATAAGGAAAAAAAAACTCAGCAGGCTCAGCAGCACTGCTTCCCGCCACTTGATTTTCTCATTGGGTTGGTTTTATTGTTCTTTTACAGGACAGCAAGTGTTTTTTCTAGGGAACATGGTCATTCACCATCAAATTTAGGGGTACCCTATTTTCAGACAATTTTAATATATATATATATACATATGTTTATTTATTTATTTATTCATTTATTCATTTATTCATTTGTTTATTTATTTATTCATTTGTTTATTTGTTTATTTATTTATGTTAACATATGTTAACTATTCTTGCAGATCAATGCAACGAACCCCTTCACTTTGGAACTGAGCCAAAATGAATTCTCGCCACCCCTAAAACTTAGGGGAAAAAATGCCATCTCATCATCTGGCAGCAGTTTCAAACCCTGGAATCCCCTGGTTTTCACACCCAAAGATGCTGGTCATTTTGGATAACTCCGTCATAACATCCTCCCTTGCCTCTGGTGCTTGTGAAATCTGAATGTCATCAGTCATCATCTTATTCCATGGATCTTGAGTTTTTACTTTACCCATCCCCTTCCGCAGAGCCCAAAGGAAGCAGCGCCTCGTTCATTCGATCGAACTTTTGAGCTCTGATCCTGTCCACCTCCCGAAGTTCAAAGGTTGGCGGGTGTTCCAAATGGGAAAAATCGATGATTCTCATCATTTCATGATGAATTGATTCTCATTCAGATTGTCATCAACCTTACCCTTTGGTAATCCAACATAGCTATGGCAATTGTCCATACCTATTTTACATTACCAGAGGGTATAAAGCGGGGAGCAGTGTTGGGCCAAAGGCTGAATCAAGCACCGATGTACTCACGATGGCTTTTTTGAAAAAGCGCAGTGAATAAGACTGGTCGTAGATGACGTGATATAGAGAGAAAATAAAAATCTACAATATCAAACAATATCATGTATATAATGTACTCAACTCAACATATTTTATACACAAAGCATCTTTCACATCTTTCACCCTTCCAGCTCCATAACATTTTCTGGAATATTGGGGATGAGCCAGGCAGCCGCCGAATCACCCTTTTTTTCTTGGAACCCAGTACTTACAAATACCGTTGGTTGCTTATAGCCCCATGTTGGTTGGATATATCCTCTTCTGTACCTGCTTGGAGCCTGGAATCTTGCCTAAATACCCTAGATTCTGTGTCATGTTTAGCCGGATAGAACATCAATCCCATTCATAGCAAAAACATATTCCCCATACATATATATATATATAGATATTATATATATACCAATATGTCACCATTTACTGTATCCGGCTGAATCATAATAATTCACAAACCTGAAAATAGCTGAAACTCGTGGCCATTTGGGAATGATTCCCCGATTCCCCTTACAATTCACATCATTCCAGTGACGGAAAACGAGTTGAGCTGATGAAATTCATCCAAATTAGTTTTGTTTATTAACCGTGGCATCCAGTTCGTATTACTATTGGATAAAAATATCAATCCCCCATACTATCTTATAGTATCACCATTTTTCTCGCCAAATGTAGCCCAAAATTCAGCCATTTATAAGTCCTACCCTCTGGTAATTTAACATAGCTATGGAAAATCACCATTTTTAATGGGTAAATCCACTATTAATGGCCATTTTCAATAGCTATTTTGACATAACCAGAGGGTACCCTTCACCAAGGACCAAGGTTTACCGATGGATTTCTTGTTCCACCGACCTTCTTGATTGCAGCATCGCGCCGCGCCATCGATTGCCTCGAGTTTTCCACACGAACAATGGGAAATCCCCGGCAAAAATGAGGCGTTTAGATGCGTTTAGTGGAAAAACAATCTAGAAATGGGGGATATCTTAATAATTACCGTACATCTCATTTGAGATCAACGTCGCAAAGTGGGAGAAGGAGAAATGTGATTGAAACCATCAACCAGCGGGTGTTTAGCTCCACAAAGAGCGGTTGAAACTTCGAAAGAATCGAATGCAATATGAAGAAAGACTCACTCTGAAATTGACCGGGAAATCCGAACAAACTGGGTTTGCAAGTTTATGTGACGACTCGCAGAAAGTCTCTCCCTGTTCAAAACTTCATAAAAATTCATCCATTCATCCCCCGTCATCCCCCGTCTAGGTTTTACGACTTCAGCAGGCATTGTTTTCCCGGCGATCTTTTAGGGCTACCACTCCCTCCTCAGCAGTCTCAGAGCCCAACAGTTTCGTAGCCGCTCGGTATTGCTCGAGTTGTTCATTGTACCTCAGCGGCCATGTTGCCAGGACTCGTTGAACCAGGATACTAAATATTTGACCTCAATATTTGACCTAAATCCCCAGAAATTGCCAGTTTTTAATTGATGCTAATTGTAGATGCTTGAGCCACTATTTACTATTTTTTGCTGGATGAATCCCCATATGGGCCCATATGGATCCATCTGGGGCACATAGCGGGTCGCTACATCCCACCTGGTGCTGCCAAAAGACAGCTCAAGCTTCCTGGCAGCTTCGTCTCGGCCTGAACAATTTTTGTTTGTGAACATGGTGGCATCTGTATATCTGTACATATATATATACATATATATGTGTATGTATATATATATGTGTGTAATCATCCTAGAGTAGATAGAATATGTTTTTGTTTTATGTTCTCACTTTAGGGATCTTTAGGGAGGATTTTTTGAAAACAAAACATAGTCTATCTACTCCAGGACAACATATAGTGTGGTAAACCCCTATAATAAAGCCATCCCAAGAATCACCATAAATGGCTGGGATTGAAACCATTCCAAAATGATCCAAAATGGTAGGTTTATGGCCTCAATGACATGCATTTTCATGCTGATATTCCTGTGTGAGATGTGTCATTGTACGTTCATGGTCAACCCATTGAAGATGGTGAAAGATATGGAGGTTTCCTAAAATGGAGGTACCCCAAATCATCTATTTCAATTGGATTTTCCATTAAAAACCATCCATTTTGGAGTACCCACATTTTAGGCAATCACCATAGTGGAAAATGATCATCATTGTCAGGTACCAAACCCAGCAAAATCTTCCGCACCATACCCAGAAACAACGCGTACGTGGCCTTGTCCACCGCGGAAAACACGCTGAATATAGATGGCGGAATCTTCTCGTGCCTGGGGACCCCCATACTGACAAACTGAAGTTTGCAGTAGCAGTTTTAACTTGTAAATTGGGAAGATTACAGCATCCTTCACTGGTACTTACACCATCAGGCAGCTGATCAAAAACCTGAACAGTTCACAAAAATGCGAACCAAACCGAGTAACTATGGCTTCAGAGATACTAGATATACAACATACTACATATACTATAGATAAACTATAGATATACTATAGATATACTATAGATATACTATAGATTGATCAAGTCATTTGGTACATGGGATGATTTTTTGCAAAAGAAATCACCCGGTCCATGGATTGGTGAGAGTCAAATGTACCGCCAGGTGGTGCCCGCGGTCGCATTGGGGATTCCCCATGACTTCAGAAACCCACATTTATGGATCTATTAACTATTAACTGGCAACTATAGGGATATACCAACTGTAATGGTAGCAAAATTAATCACATGTTATCACCTAGTCTCAACTATTAACTACTAACTATGAACATTGATATATTTATAGTGAAGTTTCCTATCTATTATAGTGAAGTCTCCTATCTATGGATCTATGGATCTATTAACTACTATTATCACATATTATAGTGAAGTTTCCCATCTATTTCCCATGATTGTCCCATTGATCTACTGATGAGTCGACACCCCCAGGCCTGTTCCGCCGCCTTGGCCTGACGCTTCGCCTAAAAGTGACGTCGGAGACATGCGGAGACATCAATAAAAGATGGAGATCTATAGATAGTACACTATGTTATGATATATACATATGTATATACATGTATGTATATGTATATAATAACTATAAAACATAGATAGATAGATAGATAGATAGATAGATATGATGTATAGATATGATGTATAGATATGATGTATATATATGATGTATATTATATTCTTATAATATACATATATATATATATGTGAGTAGGATCTGATTGTTGGATCTTTCTGATGGTTACCATACTACCAAAAGTAAGCAACTACTGCACCACATGTGCCGCCCCACCTGTGTCTTGCGGTTCGCCTGGTGTGTTCCTCAGCAACGGCGGCCTGTTGGGAAAAATGGAAGGGATTACCCTCTGGTAAACTAACATGACCTATGGAAAATCACCATATTAAATGGGAAAAGCAACTATAAATGGCCATTTTCAATAGCTATGTTAGTTTACCAGAGGGTATCATCATTTACCTATTGATTCTTTACAGGAGAAGACCCCTCATCAGCAAACTATATAATGGGAAATGCCTCAACCAACCAGCATTAATTGTCCAAAATATGGGAATCCGCTGGGTGAACCAATGGGTTGTATGTATGCATGCACATACATGCATGCATGCAGGGATGGATGGATGGATGTAAGCATAACTGATGTTGTTTTTTTGGCCTAACCCACGGTTCTAGTCATCACCACAGGGAATCCGCGCGGGCAGCACACTGGATGGTCAGGGCCTGGCTCTCCCGTGTTTCACCCCGCATTGTCCATCTTTGGTGCTGGATTTCCATGAATCTCAAGTACCATCTTGAAGAGCTCGTTCAACCAAACATCTCGAAACTAACTCTGCGATTCTGCTGGTTTCCAGAAAGCAGCAATTCTGAATGAAAACCCCTTTCATCCTCCAGTTTTTTGTGGATCTTTCTTTTCAGGTCTCATCATCAATGTCCACTCTTTTCCAATCCTCAAACAGCCAAACAGCCAAACAGCCCTGGGATCTTTCAAAAGAAACACAGGTCAGCATCACCAGCTGATTCATCACCACTCTACGCTTGGCCACACGCCTTCTGGCCTGGGTTCCAACATCGTGGCTGGTGATTGGTGACGCCACGGAACCAGGGTACCCCGGTTACCCCAATGTTTTGTGGGTCAAATCCACTATTTCTTAAGGACAAATCCATAAAATCCGCCTCTTCCTTTTCCTGTTGAATGTTCGTGGCTGGTTGAATCATGTTAAATCCCTATCTTGGCATTGAACACAGCTTTTTGAGCTGGCTAATAGTTGTTTTTTAGAAAAAACACGCACAATGTTTCATCATTTTCCCATGTATGTATGTATGTATGTATGTATGTATGTATGTATGTATGTATGTATATATATATATATCCTTCTAATCATAGTTTAATCACCGTGTATTCCCATATTAATGACCATATATCACCATATGGGTTATTCCGACAAGGCACGCGAGTCGTTGTTGGTCATATATGGTTCGGCTATGGGTCAAAACCCTGGTACCCAAGCGGTACCCTAAGTCATAGTTGGTGAATGGATGATTCTTCACCCAGTCATATGGTAATTTCATAGGTAACTTGACCCATCCCCATATCACCACATGGTTGTTTCCAAAAATAGGGCTACCCCCAGTCATCATCCGTTCTAATAGGATTTTCCCTGAAATAAACCATCCAGCTATTGGGGTACCCCCATTTTAGGAAAACCGCAAAATATTGGGATATATTTGGTGGATCTCAGTTGATGGAAGAAATCCTGCACCAGTTGATAGGTGGTTTATCCCATTATTTATAGGGTTGAAATAGCATCCAAGGGCCAAGGTGGTGCAGGATTTCTTCCACCCACCATATGGGGATGGGTCAAAACCCTGGTACCCCTGGTGAACCCCAAAATAGCTGGTAAATGGATGTTCATCCCCCTAAAAATGGTATTAATAGGTATTGATCCACCCACCATATCATCACCATCTCTTCGGATACTCGACCCAGCTGAGGCCCCTCGGCCAGTCCTCCACGAATCAAGGCCTGCGCCTTCACCGCTGCGGCGTGCATGCGGCGGACGCGGTTGCCTGGAAAGCCCAAGAGTTAGGCTGGGAAAATGGGGATTCTATGGGATTTAATTGGGATTTTAATGGGATTTAATGGGATCTAATGGGATCTTCTAAGACTTAGTTTAAAAAAAAAAAAAAACATCGAACATGATGATCTTGCCAGCAAAAAACAGGGGGTGAACCGTGGAAAATTGGTGGCTCATCCCAGTTCGCAAGTTGCTTATAGCCCCGTTATGAGTAGGGTATGGACTAGTCCACTTACTAGCTGGGATGAGCCACCAAGTACCCTGTGGCAATTTAACATAGCTGCGGGAAAGGCCCCATTGAGTTCCATGATTTCCCTATTGAAAATGGTGATTTTCCATACTATGTTCAATTGGTGGAGGGTAGAGTAATATGGCATTCAAAAAAAATGAAAAGATATGGTTTTGAAATCATGGCACTGAATTTCACTTGGAGTATGTTGGGAAATATGATGATATTGTCAGTTGGATATGTGAACCATCTGCACGCATGAATTGAAATCAGTGGGCAATCTGCAATTGATGGAAAAGTACAGGAAGTTGGAAACTATTACTTGTTGCAGATATTTTACAATCCAAGTACCAACAAGACTGGTAAAATAACATGAAATATTATGATATAGCCTCTAACTATACTTGAATTGGATTACTGGATTTCAAAAATCTCTAATAGTTACATTTACACTTATAATCACAGTTATATATTTATTATTCGATGAGGATTTCACAAAAAAAAATGGGAGGTTTCGCCTTCAGAAACGTATGGCCACCCTGGGGGCCCTCGCGCGCCAAGACTCCCCGTGCACGACGCTGGATCACAATCTCGGTGGCAATGGGTGACTAGACGATATCTCAAAAGTCGGGTAGACTATGCCTATACATGCCTATTATGCATGTTTTAGACATGTTAGTTGGATTTATTTAGACTGAATCTAATCTGATTGTGCACAAAATATTTTGGCATAGATTTAAAACATGTTGGTTAAACATAAGTTAAACTAAGTCCAATCTGATTGTAAACAAAGCTGAAAAGTTGGTAAGATCCCATCCATCTTCAGACTCCCGTTTTTTCTTGCTCTGAAGAACCAATCCATGCACTGCAAGAGAAAATTTCATAGGGAAGACTTCATCATGTGACCTTTTTGGGCAAAATCATGGTAACACCTGAAAAAGGCCACATGCTTTCTTAAACTAAAACTGGACATCGAATCAAAAACATCAATGTAAAAAAGGTTCCACCGGGTCGCCGCTTTGCGGCGCTTCAACAGGGTGCGGCGCGCCAGGAAGGCGCGGATGATCCTGGGATCCGAGATCCCACGGTCATGTAAAATCATCCCAACTCTATAGTGGCATACCCATCAAATCACAGTGGTATATATATATATATATATTATATATATATATATGACCCAGGACTCCCAAGCCCCCCCCCTCCCCCGTGCCATTGACGGTTGGCGTCGATTTTGCGGCACCACTTCTTGTGCATGTAAGCAGGGTGGAATGGGTTAAGGTGTCTCGATAAATTATAGTTGTAACCTACAACTCCCTTAATACTGGCAATAATGCAGTGGCTCCAGCGGCTCCAGCGGCGCCAGCGGCTCCAGCGGCGCCAGCGGCTCCAGCAGCTCCCCTCATCGGCTCCATCGGCCTCATCGGCCTCATCGGCTCCAGCGGCTCCATCGGCATCGGCCTCATCGGCCTCATCGGCTCCATCGGCTCCGTCGGCCTCATCGGCTCCATCGGCCTCATCGGCCTCATCGGCTCCAGCGGCTCCATCGGCCTCATCGGCTCGATCGGCTCCATCGGCCTCATCGGCCTCATCGGCCTCATCGGCTCCATCGGCTCCGTCGGCCTCATCGGCTCCATCGGCCTCATCGGCCTCATCGGCTCCAGCGGCTCCATCGGCCTCATCGGCTCGATCGGCTCCATCGGCCTCATCGGCCTCATCGGCCTCATCGGCTCCATCGGCTCCGTCGGCCTCATCGGCTCCATCGGCCTCATCGGCCTCATCGGCTCCAGCGGCTCCATCGGCCTCATCGGCTCGATCGGCCTCATCGGCTCGGCTCCAGCGGCCTCATCGGCTCCATCGGCTCCATCGGCCTCATCGGCTCCAGCGGCTCCAGCGGCTTGAGCGGCCTCATCGGCTCCATCGGCCTCATCGGCCTCATCGGCTCCAGCGGCTCCATCGGCCTCATCGGCTCGATCGGCTTCATCGGCTCGGCTCCATCGGCCTCATCGGCTCCGATCGGCTACATCGACTCCATCGGCTTTATCGGCCTCATCGGCCTCATCGGCTCCAGCGGCTCCATCGGCCTCATCGGCTCGATCGGCCTCATCGGCTCGGCTCCATCGGCCTCATCGGCCTCATCGGCTCCAGCGGCTCCATCGGCCTCATCGGCTCCAGCGGCTCATGCAATCGGCGGCTCCATCGGCTCCAGCGGCTCCATCGGTTTCATCGGCCTCATCGGCCTCATCGGCTCCATCGGCCGCATCGGCCTCATCGGCTCCATCGGCTCCATCGGCTCCATCGGCCTCATCGGCCTCATCGGCTCCATCGGCCTCATCTGCTCCAGCGGCCTCATCGGCTCAATTGGCCTGATCGGTGCGGTTCCAGCGGCTTCATCGGCATGTCTTTCTGGAAAGCCTATTGCGGCCCGAAGCAGACGGAATCAGTTGCGTCCATTTTGCGCCTATGATTTGCTTCGCTGCCTTTTGATTAGTATTGATCCATAGCCTCTTGGCTTGCGATATAGCTTCCAAGTGTCGAACGTACCCCCCTCCCCCCCCTGTGGCCTGTGGTGGTGGTATGTTGGTATGTTGGTATGTTGGTATGTTGATATATATGTATGTATGTATGTATGTATGTATGTATGTATGTATGTATGTATGTATGTAGGTAGGTAGGTAGGTAGGTAGGTAGGTATGTAGGTAGGTATGTATGTACGTGTGTATGTAGGTACGTAGGTACGTAGGTACGTAGGTATGTAGGTATGTAGGTATGTAGGTATGTAGGTAGGTAGGTAGATAGGTATGTATGTCTGTCTGTGTGTGTATGTAGGTACGTAGGTACGTAGGTACGTAGGTACGTAGGTATGTAGGTATGTAGGTATGTAAATAGGTAGGTAGGTAGATAGGTATGTATGTCTGTCTGTGTGTGTATTTATGTATGTATGTATGTATGTATGTATGTGTGTATGTGTGTATGTATGTGTGTATGTATGTATGTATGTATGTATGTATGTATGTATGTATGTATGTATGTATGATCCCGTGTCCCGTGTTCCCGAGAGCGTGGGCTTGGGGGACCATACCATTGGGGGGGGGACCAGGGATCCGGAGTCCCGACTCATATATGTAGTGTATACTGTGTATATATATATACACTACTGTGTATATATATATATATATTGTATATATAATATATATATACACAACTGTATATATATATATACACTGTATATATATATAGTAAAAGATCTATATGATAGTAATTCCAACTGACAGAGTATTATATATATATCGCTGTATATAGTAAAAGATATCTTTGTTTACACATGTATACACTCTTACGAACTGACAAAGCATTATAATCATCTATATATGTATATCATAATCCCCAAATAGATGCTGAAGAGTGAATTATCAATATGTTAGTCGGGCTATAGGATTTACGTTACCTATGTTTTATTGCTATATTTACCCAGCGATGAAACTTTCAAACCCTACTTGGGGATGATTGATTCTTGGCTTTATATTCATGGCTATGAATTGTGAATAACCAGCAGTAAAGGTGATTGAACCATCTGGGAATGTAATTTACCAACAAACTGACCAACAATACAACCCAGGGTGTACCCCACCTATTCAATCTTATGGTATTCAATCTTAGTGGCTGATGAAAACCCTGGTGTAGTACTGGATCATACTGGATCTATTCGGTTAGGAGGGAGCATCGTTTGGCGCTCAGCTACCCGTGATGGGCGCGAAGGAAGCGGCAAAAAAAATGAATCTATTCACTTTTTTCCCCACCTGCCAGGTGAGGGTTGTTAGATTTTATCAGAGTTGTTCTTCTTCTCCTCCTCCTTCTTCTCCTCCTCCTCGTTCTCCTCCACCGCCTCTGCCTCCACTTCCATGTCCACTTCCGCCTTGCCAACTCTTCGCCAAGCTCTTCGCCAACTTCCGCACGCAGTGGCCACTGCTGGACCTCAACTGCAAGGGTCTGAGCGCACTGGGCACCGCTGGACCTCAACCTGGGACCTCCCGAGCTCAGTGAGCACCGCTGGACCTCAACCTGGGACCCTCCGAGCTCAGTGAGAACCGCTGGACCTCAACCTGGGACCTCAACGGCCAGATAGAATGCCAGAAGATATGCCAGATAGAACGCCAGATAGAATGTCAGAAAGAATGCCAGAAGATATGCCAGATAAAGTGCCAGAATGTTTGCCAGATAGAATGCCAGAAGATATGCCAGATAGAATGCCAGATAGAATGTCAGATAGAATGCCAGAAGGTATGCCAGATAAGGTGCCAGAATGTTTGCCAGATAGAACGCCAGAAGATTTGCCAGATAGAATGCCAGATAGGATGTCAGAAGATATGCCAGAAGATATGCCAGATAGAGTGCCAGAAGATATGCCAGAACATATTGCAGAAGATATGCCAGAACATATTGCAGAAGATATGCCAGATAGAATGCCAGAAGATTTGCCAGTAACAAAACGTATAGATGTCATGGTGGGGATAACTCGAAGTAAAGTAATTTAGGTCCATTGATCCGGGTAATTCATATGGAAAGGGATTAGCCAACGGGACCAAAGCTATAGCAAGAATCGGCAACCTCACCAGCAAAATTTGGCATCACCAAGAAATTTGGAGACTTGTGCAACAGCTATGCGTAATAATGTGTATATAACTACCCAGGAAAAAAAGGAGAGATAAGATGAGATAAGAGGTCGAAGATCAGCAACAACCAGAAAGAATGTGCAGTGTGTAAACATAGCTTTTGTAACTCCGTGAAACTCACAACAGGTATCTTGGGTCGGCTCTCAAATGTCTGTTGGCGCTAAACTCACCACTGTTGGTCACTGAATCCCTATCATGCCATGGCTTTTCTTTGGGCGTTCCAGAAACAGTTCCATATAGTTTCAGCTTGGATGTGCATCTGCGCGAACACCTGCCTATCTAGCCAGGGTTGTAACCTAGTCATCAAACACAAAATCTCGGCTTGAAGGATCATTCCCCTTAGTTTAACTGATCAATAACCCCTTGAGTGATTCTATATTCATCAGCTTTCGTGGTGACGAAACATGCCTATGCTATGGGTGAACTGGCGAACTGGGACGATCACCAGTTCCTCAACGGAACCGCCGACGCGCCCGTTGGGACGCGCCTCTGCACGTGGGTGCAGGCTTGGTCCATCTTCTTCCGCTTCAAGTGGTATGTCCGCCATCGGGCCTCCAGGGACTGGCTTGCTGCGGAGATGGCCAGGGGTCCATGACTTGTCATGGCTTGGGCTACCATGAAGGGACCCTAAATATGGCTAACAATGGTTAATATATGGTTAATAATGGGACAAACATGCTAATAATGGCTAATTATATTGGCTCTTCGATTTTTGGGTCTAAATCTAAAATCGTCCATTTTGGGGGTTGATAAATTTGACCCATACCCAGCTCATCGCCAATCCAAGATACTTCTCCTGCAAAATTCTCAGCTGGCCGGATAGTCTTATAGGTTCCCATTTGTGACGCACGAACTCACCAACAATTCTTGGCGGGTTAGATAATCGATGTTCCCTTTTATTGCTTAATTAAACAATTACCCACTAACTTGAGTTGTATCTATGACATGTTATAACCAACCAATGTCAACCCAAAGAAAACAATGCCATCTACCATCCCTCCAATTTTCAGTTCGACCCGGAAAGTGAGAATCAGCCATTTTAAAGGTTGGAAAATAGTCCTGTCTCCCAAGCACCTGGATCATCGTGGCTGCAATCCATGTGGTCATGAGCCACTCTGAATTCTCCTGACCTCAGCTTGGGCGACATTGGCAGATCCAAGCTGGAAATTGGATGGAAATTTTAGGGAACACCACTGGTGGAATTGGTATGTATTGAAGAAATGTGTGGAAAATGATGCCCACACGTTATTACTGCTGACAAAAAGCTTGGCAAATGCCTTACCAGGAATGCAATATAATATCACCAAGACATATATAATATCACCAAGACATGAGAATCACTGACGAACAAGATAGGTATCTTTACAAGTTGAGGATTCCTGGTTCTCCCGGTTCACCCTCAAGATTTTGCCCATGGCCAAAACTGGGCTTCCTTGCAGTACTTGTACCAGGCGCGCCAAGTCCTGCAGTGGCCACCACCAGAGGGCATCTCAGATCGCACTTTTATGCATTTTAAATGTTGAAAGGTGGTCTGGTTCATCAGATAGCAATTTTCCCAGGGTATCTCAGATGATGAGATACCACCTCCAAGGCCAAAAAAAGTGTCTCAACCAGCTGCAACTTCAATCTGAGGTGCATTACGAAGGCATTTGGCTAAGCACCAGCTCTTAAAAAAATACAAAGCACACAACTCAGAAAGAAAGCTAAGTGTGATCTTGCATCTCACATAGATGACATAGATTAAAAGCAAACATCTCATCATCTGTGAGTTTCTTCAGCTACGTATGTCATGGCGTCTTCTCCAACCACCACCGGCAGCCCCGTGGCTCGCCTCTGGATTCGTTCTGCGGCCACCCTCCGAAGCCATTCGTTCTTCCTGGGGGGCCCGCTTTTACGGACATGGCATCGCTCAATCTTCCCCCAAAATGAATGGCTTATGCCTATACATCACTTAAACAACTGACATCTGCGGGTCACTAGACCCTGAGAATCTTGATCTATGCAAAATTTGTTCGCCGGTGGCTTCAGGGGTGGTTTCCTCCATCCTGGCCATCGTTTGTCTAGACATAGACTAATGTTAGTAACGCAATGTTATATACCACCTATATTTTGATGGTTCATAGCACCCATCAAAATGGTAAAATTGGGGATGGTGGATCCTATTGCTTTTACTAACATTATTGGAGATACCCTCCGGCAATCAAACATAGATTGGAAATCCGCCGTTCTAGATGAAATTCCCATTAAAACCACCATCTACAGGGGATTTCCCAGTTATATCCCCACCCAAATCCCTATCGTCGAATCGCTTAAACCTCCATTTCTTTCCCTTCTTTTCCCATGGATTTTTTCCCCATCCAGAAGTCACCGCAACCATCAATCAAACCATATTTGTTCCATGATTTTTCCCATGGATTTCCCCATGATTTTTTGCCAATGAAGCCTCCACCCTGGCGGTCCCCCCGACAGCACTGAGGCGAGATCTGCTGTTCCACCGCGCTCACCTGTCGGCCCTGCATCACCTGCCGACCGGAGATGGGACATCTTCAAGGTGCGAGATTTGTGGGGATATATGGGATATTGACTATATTCAATCTTGTTAAATGCTATATAATATTATATAATGACTACATGATGAGGATATTGACTAAATTAAATCTTGTTAAATGCTATATAATATTATATAATGACTACATGATGAGGATATTGACTAAATTAAATCTTGTTAAATGCTATATAATATTATATAATGACTACATGATGAGGATATTGACTAAATTAAATCTTGTTAAATGCTATATAATATTATATAATGACTACTAAATTAAATCTTGTTAAATGCTATATAATATTATATAATGACTACATGATGAGGATATTGACTATAAGAATGGGGATACCAACTGAAAATGACGGACAAGATATATATATAATTAATATTGTATAATGGGGATATTGAATGGGATATGGCTTTTATAAACGATAAACCAACAACATCCAACAACAGCACGAACCCCCTCTGTGGCAATGATTTACCTGGAGCGCGGAAGTCGAAGCATGTTGGCCAACATGAAACAGTGACCTGTTAGCCTCTGGTAAACTAATGGGATTTATGGTGGTTTATGGTGGTTCAATGGGATCTAATGGGTATGGTACCCTCTGGTAATTGGACATAGCTATTGAAAATTGCCATTTATAGTTGATTTGCCCGTTAAAAGTGGTGATTTTCCATAGTTATGGTGATGTTTACCAGAGGGTAGCTAGCTTAAAATTCTTGAACAACACATTAATCTTGGACTTACCTCTGAAAAATTTGACATGACTCAATCTTCAGGTCACATGATGTCACATGATGTCACAATCTAAGCAATTCCTGATGTTTGTAGCTCTAAAATACCATAGGTCTGACCTCGTCCGATGACCTGGATGGATTTCATGCATCCAAAACCCCACCTCGTCCCGATTCTTGGTGGTGTTGAAAGCACCTCAGGTCGTTACAGACCCCGATCCGATCATCACGGCTACGGCAAGCTACTGGGGATGCAACAACTGCGTTGAACGACACGCGAGGTGCGGGTGCTTCCCTGGCGGCTTTGGGGGCTTTGGGATGTACATCCTGCATTCAGATGGAACACACTTGGTAAAAAAAATGTGCACCCATAGCAATTTAACACACAGAAATAACAGAAACAGGTGTTACTGCAAAATTGAGCAGTGCCCAGAGCCCTGCTGTAATGTTACATGATTCCCCCGGCTGATCCATTTACAGGTCACAACGTCGTAGCAATGTCTCCCCATGGTTTTTCTATGGTGATTCCAGAAAATTGCTGTGACTAAAGTCTCTGTCTGTAGTAGATCCATTTAGATCCATTTCGTTATTCATTATAGATCCATTTAGATCCATATCATACCCTTTTTTGTACCATTAGTTAGTCTCTGTCTGTACTTAGTAACCCAATGAAATTCATGAAAAATCACCGCCATTCCGCCGAGCTCGACAGGCTCGAGAGTTCGCCTTGCCCCGCTTGCCCCGCGCCTTGATCATCCGATTGGGCCGAAAATCGTTGGGAGCTGCTCGTTGCGTCCGCGCCACCTGGGAGGCGTCACAAAAAGGGTGACATCTTTTTTAGGTGCTGGGATTGATAGGAACTGGCTTGAAGATATATGATATATATATATACATATATATATATACATATATATATATATATACATATATATATATACATATATATATATACATATATATATATATATGTATGTATATATATATATATATATATGTATGTATATATATATATATATTGCACAGAAGTTATATATTATTCATTAAAGCTGTTTATTGCACATAACCCTTTGAAACATGTGTTTCTGGTACCAGTTATATCCAGGGATCATCCCAGTTCAGGGCACAACCATGACACAACCAGTTGCTCCAATTTACGGGGGGTGTTACCCAACATTTACCCAACTATCTTCAATCATTTTGATGGGACATATGATGTTCTTATCCTTGAAAATGTTGGGGTATCCTCTGGTAAACCAACATAACTATGGAAAATCACCATTTTTAATGGGAAAATCCACTATAAATGGCCATTTTCAATAGCTATGTTAAATTACCAGAGGGTATCCCTTTTTTCAAAGCCTATATTGTATACCCTCTGGCTATTTAAGAGTTTGCCATGGAAAGATCCACCCATTTTATAGCTAGGTAAACCATCTATTTCGATTAGGGCCATCTATACCATGGTTATGTTAGTCATAACCGGAGGGTACATACTGTTACTATAAAGATATATTAAGTACAATTAAGTATTATGTGTATATATATATATTATGGATTATGATTGTTAAATAACCAAATGGTACCTAGTGACAGTTCATCATATTCTGACTGTTTTAGGGGGTACCGTACTCCTTAAAAAGACGACTTCTCCGCAGCTCATCAGTTTTGCGCCTGCAGTCCAGTACGCCCTGCATCCACAATGTCCACGATGTTCTGTGGGATGTCATCTAGGGCCTGCATCTCCGGCAGTTTCATATTTTTGCACTATGAAAAGCTAGAGTGGTCTGGTTTTTTCTGCCCCCCTCCGACCACTTTTGGTAGCAAACACAAATATTTGGACAGACCGGCCGCCAGAAAAAAGTGCGCCCATTCACTGTTGAGAATCAGACTTCTTCAGAAATGACTATAGTGTCATTTCATGAGAGACACAGGTTAACGGCATCAGCCATTTTTGAAGACTCATGGGTCTATGATAGAAATCAGGTTTGTGAAATGATCCCCCGAGAGATCATTTTCGGGATAAACATCTCTGGATCTAGCAACAAATAATATATACCAACCTATTCAAAAAAAAAAACAATAAGTTGGCATGGAAAAAAAAAATAACGTCTCTGCGGATATCAAAATAAATCTAAATAATTCAATATAATATATATATATGTATATATATATATATATATCCTTGCGTCTGGATTATGGGTCACACCTGTCTCAGCGCTCAGTTTTCACCATTCCACCAGGCGTTTCACGGCGTCCCTTTTTGGGTTCCCACCGTGTCAGCACCGGCCACCATTTGTGGCGGCTGAAATCTGGGCCAAGTGAAGCTTTGGGAACTGGGCCATGTTTGAAGTTTTTTTGAATGACAAGCCACAGCAAAAAGTTGCTGTTCATGAAACGCCGAAATGTGTATATGATTGTCTGGTTGGTGGTTTCAGCCCCTCTGAAAAATATCAAAATCAATTGGGATGATTATTCCCAATATATGGAAAGTCATAAAAGCCATGTTCCAAACCACCAACCAGTTGTATATGGCACAAGAAACCACTCAGCAGATTTGAACACTAGCAGAGACGCGGTAGCCGAGGATCAGGCTTCGTACCTCAGGCTTCACTGGGATCCACCGGGGATGAGGGTCCCACAAAAAAAATTGCCCAAAATCCACTGGGTTCATCGATGAAAATTGCCCTTTCGGGGCAACTTCATCATTCATCTAGTCTATCTGAGTCTATCTGATGATCAATATTGTGTATATTTGTGTATTAGGATTCTTAGGAACTAGTGAAGTAGACAGTCATAGATTCATCGTGAACTGATCGTATTGAATGAGATCGAGTTTTCTCAGTCCACCCCCTGTTTCAGCCCCTTGAGGACCCCACCATCAGAGGAACCTGCCACCCACAACTTGGTCGAAGGGATATGGGTACCGCAGGTCATGGGGGGTGCGGTGTGCCCCACGAAATGATAGAAATGGGGAGTATGATTGCTAAGCAGTGGATCTGGGGTGTCTGATTTTGACCCAGTCCTGGGGTGAACTATTGAACCTCTGGAACAGCCCAGCGAACTATTGGGTGTTGCTGCTATCATAAGACTTTAAAAATGGCAAGGACTCATTCATCTTGTTGGTAGGTCATCCCGTGCGTGACCTGAAACATCGGAAATCCAAAATTTGATGGTGGATCATCATGGCAATTTCAATCTCAAAAGGGATGATAGCTGGATTCTAAGGTCCGTTCGTTGGCCATTGGTTATGGAGGGATTCTGAAAACTACCACAATGGAAACAACCATTTAATTTGTTGCTGGTTGTTTGGGGGTTCCAGGAATAAATGCAACCACCAGTTTTTTCACCTTTGCAAACATCATCGCCATGTTTGTTTTGTTGAAATCCATTGGCTTCATGGTAAAACACCCCATTACAGTCCCATTCCGCTGATATTCAATACCTCAATAAGAGACCCGGAAACTAGATGATGAAACATACGAAACCAAGGTGTCTATGATATGATTTTCTTTGGTGGTATGTTCATATTCAACCGTTCATCAAACACCGGGAACCCGTTCCACCCTGGAAGCAGCCTGGCTTTGGCCCAGAACCTCGTGCCCGAGCCTGGAGTGGGGTTCTCAGAAACACGTACATTATAGCAACTCCCAAAACACCAGAAAAATAAAATCCTGAACAAAAATAGTGGTAAATCTAACCTTATCTAACCTTGTCTATCATCTACTGTATCTTTCTGGGGGCTACTGTAATCTATTAGATCCATTTTACTATAATTTCAAAAATCTTACATAGATTCCATTGTACCCCCGAAAACCCAACAAAAAAACATGTATTTGGAGGATCATCCCAGTTAGTAACTGGTTCGTGACTCTGGTTAGTAAGTTCCCGATTCCTAGGGTTATGCCGTTTATAACTAGGGAACCTAACCCCACAAACACTAACCAGTTAGTAAGTGGGAAGAACCCCCAAGTAGTAAACCATAGATCCATTTTGGGGGCTACTATATATCCATTTTAATCTATATATAAATATTTATATGTGTCTATGTGTATACATAATATCAAAAAAAAACATCCATTATACCCACATAACATGCTACTGCTACTGTGGATGGAAGAAATCCTGCACCACCAAAAGGATAGTATTTCAACACATTTCAACCCTATAATGGGATAAACTGGATAAACCACCTACCAACTGGTGCAGGATTTCTTCGTCGAATCGCAAAAAACGCTGCCTCCAGCGCATCCTCCAAGAGCTGTCGGGCGCGCAGGCCCATCTCCACCTGACGCGCCCCGTCCCATGGGGATAGATGGATCAAAAATGTGAGGAAAAAACATGAAATGGCAATGACATACCATGAAATATGGTGAAATACAGTCTGAAATACCATGAACTATTATGACTTAACATAAAATACCATGAAACATGGAGATCTCATCGGATTCCATATAAAAACGACCGGAAAATCTACCATCCAAAGAGTCGGAAATGGAATGGTTTTCAAGTCGTTCGTTGCTACTGATCTGGCGCATGACCTGACATGCACCATTTGTTGTGGCGATTGTAGCGCCACTGCCACTGGTACCCTCTGGTTATGTCAAAATAGCTATTAAAAATGGCTATTTATAGTGGATTTTCCCATTAAAAATGGTGATTTTCCATAGTTATGTAAACGTTTACCAGAGGGTAAATCCAATTCCACAAGTCTCCATTCAATAGACTGGTCTTTGCATCCTCTGTGCTGATTTTGACGTATGTCAAGTGCAACTAGCTTGTAAGTGCAATGAAACGTTATTGCCCCACCGCACCCCAATGTCAAGTGCAAGAGAACATCCACTAGCGTAGCATGATGGTGTATGTCAAGTGCAACTAGCTTGTAAGTGCAATGGAACGTTATTGCCCCACCCCACCCCACCCAAACCACATGTGTATATATATATGTATATATATATATATATGTATGCAAGATGTAAAAAAAAAAGTTTTCCTCCACGCCAGTATCGCCGGCGTTAGCATAAACAAACATCAAGAATGGGGACAGATATAAGATGTAAACATCAAACACATGCGGATGTACGAGTACCCATCAACTACATACATGGGGATACATGGGGAAATCACCTGATATGACTATCAAGATTGTGGAAATCATTCAAAAAATGGGTTCTCAAATTCTGCCAGCAAGCATGTGATATAAGATGATGTAAGTATGTACATATATATATATATGCAATGTGGATGGAACAGAAAATGGCACATCATCAAATTGAAATCTACAGCCTCCCAATCCATGACTCACAAGAAATTCCGAAAATATGTCGGCCCCTCCCACCTCCATGACGTGGTGGTGGCGATGATGATGCTCAATCTCCGACCTTCCCAGTGGTTGCAGGTTATGTACCTGTGGATCATGTTCCTGTGGTAGTTTGTACCACAAACCCAGCATCCACTGTTTGAAGCTTAGCAAACAGTTTGGGTCATACTGCAGCTGCAGCTGCTCATCATCATGAACGAGGCGGCGCTCAAGTGTTGTTTTTTCTTGTCAATGTATTTAAAAGAGTTTAAAAGAAGAAACGTTGCTGTGGTATCAACACCACCTCTCTATAAATAGATGGTATTAATTCGACATTAGAGTAAGGCGGTCCTTTTTTACACCACACTACTCCGTTTTTTTCACAACTCCAGCAATGAAAAATACTCATCTTCAATTTTTGTGATCTAGAAATCGACCCAGTGACTCGCCAAGTGTTTCCCATGGAAACAACACTAAAACCGGCTGGTGCATGCCATCATTTCTCAAGTATTCAGTTGAGCCCACATGGTGAACAGGATGAATCCCAGTTCATGGATTGTGATCATCCCCAAGTAGTAATATGTATATATATATATTTAATATGTATATATGTATGCACATATTGATACATATATGTACATATATATATACATATATACATATATACATATACATATATATATATACATATGTACGTGTATATATATATAAGTATAGTGGATAGTATAACCATGAACTAATCATCAACCAACAGGGAACGCAGCCGCTGCTCAATCCCCCATATAAAATGTGTGGTTAAAACCCATGTTCACCCTTGTGTCCATGGAAAATCCCATTATATCAAATAATATCCCACAATTCCCATTCCCATGATTCGCATTGTTGGTTCTATCCCATGAATTCCCATTATATTCCACTAATTCCCATGTTATCCCTATAAAATGGTTGATTATATATCAAGTTGTATCCCATTACATCAAACCATATAGTTATATGCCATATACATCCCATTCATCCCCATATTTCTATCCCATGAATTCCCATCAAAATCCCATGATTTCATATGATTTCTTGGTTCTATGTGGCTATGAGTCAAAACCCTGTACCCCCACTCTGAACAGCAGATACGTAGCTTAAATAGCTTGCATTCATGGATGCTCATCCTCCACAAAATCTGTTACTAATGGTGGCTCTTCAACATGTTAAAACAATATTCATTAGTAACCATCCCCCAGTCACCACCATTTCAATTTATAATTAGCTGGTAATTGTTATAGCTGGTATAGTCTAGTATAAACCTATAAACCAACAATCTTTAGAAATATAGAATATATATATATATATATATCTGCTATGGAAATAAACCAATTCCCAGTCGCTGATAAAGAAATGGCGCCTGCCATCTCCGAAGTCACCCGAGGTCGCTGGCGCCTCACTT